GGTAAAGTATTCGTGGTGGGTGTTGCTCGAGTATAGAATTCGTTGAACCCGACTGGTTGTAAAATGTTACAGATGTATGTACGTAACTGCACTGTATCAAAAAAAGTTGGGGGGAGGGGGGAAGGGAAGGATTTTGAGATATTGAAAGCTGCAACAAAACAAGAGGAGAAAAATAATTAAGAAGGCGGCGTAAAGATCCAGATTTTGTTGATTTTGTTTAACCTCATAAAAAAATTAAAGAAGTAACTGGTACATTAGTAGGTACTTTAATCCCTTGACCCTCACTGGATAATACTTTCTGCCTCTTACAAACCTATATAGACTCTTTCCGCCTCTTTTTTATCATTTTACCTTTTTGCCTTTTTCTCCTCAGCTTCACTCTCTTCACACTTCCCTTGGATCTTTAGATAGGAAAAGACGCCATATGGTGCATTTCTCATATGTATGCCCAGGTGTACAACACTTCAAACACAAGGTGAAATGTGGATCTACGTGGATGTTTAAGTATTATCTCGATGTTCAAGTATATGACTAGGGAGGTGATAACTTTGTTTGAGATATTATCCCAGATGAATATCATATTTTCCATCTAATCTCCTCAAATGAATATCAATCTATGGTATACTGACGCTTTCTCTTCTGTCTTCTCTCTCCCTCTTTTATAAAAAGAAGGTTGGAATTATTCATATCCATATTCATATCCATATCCATGGTTTTACTCCAAATCCCCATGTAAGCGCGTCCAGCCCCTCGATTTTTCTACACGCGATGATTGGTTTAAATGTTCAGTCAAAAACACGAAAAGTTCCGAAGTACAAGGAAACACCAGGTATACATTTAATATCATTCACTGTCATTCACCCATCCAGCCAACCATCCATGAAAGAAATACCCCGCCGCCGTCATTTTACACGAAACAGCCACTCATTAAGTCCGAAAGTTAGATGAGGAGGTTGGTGATCTACTAAGGCTGAGGATTAAGATTATACTGCGTAGAAAAAGGAATATTCTTGATATTATTACCTATTATCACTCTGATCATTATCATCGTTATCGTCTCTTGCGCCATACACTAACTACTAGGTAACTAGTAACCCTCCCTTACTTGACTAGTCGAGACTCAAAAGATTATTCGAGAAAAAAGTAAATTTTCTAAATCTAGAGGGGCAGGTTCCGATGGAATTTTTACCTTACATTATATTACTATATTTACCATGAGACGAGGGGTATAACGATATACCACGATTAGGAACAAAGTACCTAGTCCTTGATGATAATTGGCAGATGAATGATAGATCTATGCTATTCATTCAGTGAGATTGAATTTACAAAAGTTTATACAGAAAACTTTATATGCAAAATCAATCAACTTCTTCCCAGTCCATTAGTTCCTCGACCTCAGACGCATATCTGCGGACAACTTCCTTACCTGCGAATTATCTCCCAGATATATATCTCACAAACATCGCATAACTCTCTCCTCTCTACCACAAACGCCCAACTAAGCCTTCTAAATCCTCAATCCTCAATCCCATCCAAACCACCAAAATGTCAACCCAATACGCCAACTCCATCCCTTTTACCGCAAACCACACCCAACAAGCCTTCAAACTGCTCGAACTACCCCCCGAACTACTCACCCTCCTAGAATCCGATACTCCTCCCACGTAAGCAAGCAAGCAAACAAACAAACAAGCCTCTTTCCACGCGCCCCGCTAATCCCAACCCCCTTAATCATCCATCCATCCATCCATTCATCCCTCCATCCACCTCCCCATTCCAATTCCAATTCCAACTCCAAAAACCCCCCCCCCACTAACAAATCCTTCCTCCCACCAACCTCTAGTCTCCAAATAAGCGCCTCCTCTTACGCACCCCACCACGCGCATCTAAGCGTCTCCAACACCGCCTCAAACCACATCCTAAAAACCTACACTCTTCGCCAAAAAAATACTTCCAACCCACTTATGTTACTTTCACCCTCTTCTGTCCAAAAGATCCCCGAAGAAGAACAAGAACAAGAACAGGCACCCTCATCTTTTACATCCATCACTCAACCAAGCATAACGCGAATATCTAGTGTAGATCAGACTATTGAGTTGATAGAACAGGAAGAAGAGCAGGATTTAGAAGGACAAGGACAGGGAGGAGAAAATTCAAAACAGAAAGAAAAACCAGTCAAGGTGAATAAATGGCATGAGAAATTTGCGCAGAGTAGAGGGAGGACTTCGAAGTGATGGGATGAAATGAAATGAAAGGAAAGAAAAGGAAGGGGGTTTGTTGTATTGTGTTATATTATGTATATCTACATAGGTAGATAAATAGCAATAATCTTAATATTCTCGTTCAATGAATATCAATTCTTGTTTCTTTAAAAGTTTAAAGTTAGTATTATTTATTATTTATTATTTATTAACGTAACTTGACTAGAAGTGGGTCATGTCATGATATGGGTCAGGTACCTTTACACCAAAATTTGTATGTAAAGATACTTAGAGCGAATTTTTCTAACTCTATAAATACTAGAGATATAGTTTCGATATTTTAAAGTATGATATATTCAATTTAAATATTTAATATGATAAAATATTATAGAGATACAATTTTTTTTAATAAAGATATTAAAGTTTCTTTCAAATTTTCGTTTTTGTCTAACAAAAATTACTATGGGAGTTTTTAAAATCGTATTAATTCAAGAACAATATTATTAAAAAGTGTTTTGTAACTTTAATACTATATTTTTATTAGATATCAAGCCTAATTATCAAAAAAAATAAAATTATCTTTAATATCCATAGAGATATAAAAAGTCGTTCTAAGTACCTTTGCATACAAATTTTGGTGTAAAGGTACCTGACCCATACCATGACATGACTGTCACGATTCATTAATTCACGTGACCTCGAGGACCTTTTGGACCTTAGGGTCCCAAGGGTCCTCAAAAGATGATATAGGGTATATAAACATTCATTTAGTCTCGTGGTTAAGGAGCTTCGTGCTCAACTTAGTTATCAATTAGTTTACCTACATTCTACTTGATCTAGTAACGACTTCACTTCCAAGTGAAGACCAGACGAAACCTTAGGCAGCCGCTGCCTCCAGTATAGTATCGTTACAGGTATTAGACTTACAAGGGTAAAAAGGTAAGAGAACAAGAGTTGAATTTTTATATTTTAATTAAGACTTATATCAGTCAATCAATCAATCAATCAGGTTAGTCTTATAACCGTACTACGGAGTAGGTTTTGGGAAAAGGCGGGAGAAAGACTAGGAGAGAAGGAGGGTGAGGAGAGTGAAAAAGAGATGTGATTTGAGCTTTTTTAATGGCAAAATCTAATTGTGGGTTTCATTATTAGAAACTAATTATCTTTTGTTCTGCACTCTTAACACACTTTGAACTTCTCTTTCCTTCACTTCTTCTTCTATAATTCGTTTTATTTCCCCTCTTCTCTGCCTCTCAAATTTTTATTTCACCTGCACACATCACCTACAGCCATCATCACCCAATGGGGGTATTTACAATTCTTGTATGTAATGAATACTTAAAGTATCAAGCTAGAAGTAAGGTTTGAAGAATTATGACATCTCCTCTGCAAATTGATGTAAATAGCAATTTCATGAATCCACATCACACCTTTTCTTGCCATTTTCATCCCCGTTCTATCAGACCCGACATTCTGTATATAGCACAACAAGTCCAGAAGAATCAAGTCGAAATACCAGGCCAATCTATCATCCATAATAAGCTCAAGCCACATATGCAAAAGATCACAAAAATTCAACTTACAAAATCTCGTCCTTTCCTTATTCCTCTTCGAAACTCTCACTTCATCACCAACTCTCAAAATCTTCCCCTCACTCCCGCCACCCAGAAATCCATATCTTCCAAAAATAGGATTATACTTCACACCATCATCTACTCTCCTATCTTTCATCAATAACTTCAATACTCCTTCTCCTTTGGGTGCTCCAGTTCCCTTTTCATGGTCGACATTTAAAGATACACATCTTCCACAGTTGGCTGTCAGGATAATTTCTTTGTCTTTATCAGAACCAAATGTCAATCCACCCCAGTAGTCTTCATCATAGGCGGAGGGGGAACCAGAAACAATTACATTGGCGCGGAACTTGGTAATATCCATTTTGGTGTCGCCTGGTAGACGATTTGACACATCATCACATGATGCTTCCGTGATGACAAGGTAAGGTGCGCAGTCATTGAAGGCAATTGTTTCATCAACCTGACTTGGAATTAATGAATTGATTATAGGAATGTATTGCAAGAGTTTCTTGGTGGGCGTCAAATTCATTGGACCTTCAGTAGCTGGTTTTCCAGGAAGATTTCCAAGAACGAGTCGACGATTATTGCCAGCATATGCGAGGATAACTTCAAAGCCAAAGTATTTGGTAAACCATTCATTGTACTTCGCTCCCATATCATAAGCTGTGGTTGCGCTCCCATGCATATCGACCTTGACTTGCTGAAGATTGGAGAAGGTAGAAGGTGAAAGTTCGATTTCTAATGTTGGACGTTCCTCGTTTGGAGAATTGGCGGCGTCAGGTGAATGATAAGTAACATAAAGAGTTGAATCTTTAATGGATGTATGGAATAGGACCATTTCGGGATGATGAGGCACATGCATATTTTGATAACGACCCAATTTAGAATCCTGATCGTGAATTTTGAGAAGCATAAACTTTCGATCGTAAGAAAAGCCCTCTTTAGTGAGGGTTGCAGAGGGTAGAGAACATCCTCGGAGAGATTTTATTGGGTATATATAAAGCTATCCGTTGTCAGTGTGATTGCACCCTTTAGTGGAAGTATTATGTAAACTACCTGACTGATGGTCATTTTTGGACGAGAGGTAAAATGCTCCACCATACCCGACATCAGTTCCAGAGACTCTACGAGTTTCTCCTCAGTCTTTTGAAGCTGTTGTTTTGCCGCTCGAAGCTCCGATTTTTTCATTGACAGCTTGATCAACAGATACAAAAAGAACCCGATTCTGAAAAGTGATACAACGTAACACTCGCCCAGAAAAGGTACATTTACGCTGCGGCAAGCCAATCTATCGAGGCTGTCTCCCAAATAGTCCATAATTGATTCTGAAGTTGCCATTCCTCCGGAGCTAGAGGTATTTATCGCTTTCATTATAAACCACTCGAGATTTCGGAGAAGTCGTTGAAGGAGTTGACCTAAAATTGATCTTGTAAAGAGAAGCCCCAATGAAGTTCCGGCAAATCACTTTATTCTTTGAAATGTCGTTGAGATGTACAGGATGGGACGGATAGAGTGAGAGCTTGATCAGACTTCCCTAGTTCGAATGGAGGGGTTAACCTATCTGACGAATCAGAGAAGGCCGGATAATCTTACCCGATAAGGTGGGTTTATTCTTCACCATCATTCTTCAACCAGCAGCGACAATAATGTGCATATCTTCTTGGGTATCCCGCCAGCTTTAGGAAAGCAATGGAACATGATAAAGATCCGCATACTTTTGGTGGTCACGTCAATGAGTGATTCTCCATCTTGACAGCAAAGTCAAAAAGAATGTGTACAAAGCAGACCTCTTCTCATCTTAAATTACAAGAATTAAGGACTAATATCAGATTACTTTCTCAGGAATTGAAAGATCCTTCCAACTTCATCTATTCAGAAATGCCAATCTCTCAATAAAGGTTAACATAATCCAAACTGTCATGCAAAGCTGTTTCCGGAGAGTTATATAAATAATAAATCTAATATACACTTTGACCACTGGTGGACCTCCATTTCTTTCATAATTTGGTATCAAGATATCAAGATGTATCAGAGAAAAAATAGGGAAATCACTGGTTTCATCACGTGGCCAGATGTCAAAATCATCTCCGTCGCTAATCCTATCCAATATCCATGGAAAAACCCCGCATCGCTTCAACCAGCTAAGTGGGATGTTTACCTCCACGTGCACCAACCATAGGACCTCAATTTCACCCGAGCTTGTGTACCTGCAGAGATACGATTTTATTGTCATAGGGATGCATTTCAAGATGCATCCTGGTCTTGAAATGCATCCTAGATGCGAAGGGAATCCACTATCTAACATTTCATATAAAAAGACCATGAATTCCAATTCTTGACGATGGAATGCTTCAGCTGTCAATTCTTGATTCCAATTGTTATCATGTTTTCTTTAACTGTTTGGTTCAGCATTTTGTCAATTGCAGGCGTTGTTTCAGGCGCTCATCCTCCTCGTGCTACCCCAGCTCTATATCATAATCCTCAGTCAAGCACGGAATCTCATGGTGCGAGTTGGATAAACTACACTGCCGTGCCAGGATTCTTCTTACAAGATGAAGCGACAACAGATCCATCGACTTTCGATTATGTATGTATTTTCTCACTCCCTCATCAATCGGGATGCACCTTCAATTTTAGAGTTCATCTCATCACACACGTATTGAGCCTTACCAAGCTAATCCCAAGATAGACTCAATGGAACTTTGGTCTCATCAACCGAACTTATCCCACCGACTCTCACGTCTCAAAAAATGCAACCCAATGGCGAAAATTTGAGAACTATGTTACTTCTTTAAACAAGAACTCACCGAAACATTTGAACTATAAGGTTTTGTTCATGGGTAGACATGGCGAAGGCTTTCATAATGCTGCTGAGACCTATTATGGAACTCCTGCTGTAAGTTACTGTGATTGAGAGATGTATTTGTAGATCGATTGCTAATGATGAATGTAGTGGAATGTATGTGCTTTTTTGAGTAGAGAATTTACTTGCGGCATGTTACTGATGACCTTAGTGTTATTATTCCTTAATAGATGGTAATTCAACCGTCACCGTAAGTAAAATCCTTTGAATATTTGAACTGGACTCAACATCTTCTAGTGGGCCGACGCACATTTAAATTCCAACGGAATAGCTCAGGCCCAAAAAGCCGCCGACTACTGGCTTTCGCGCATCCAGCTCCAAAACATCCCACTACCACAGTCCTACTACACCTCCCCACTATATCGCTGCCTTGAAACTGCAAACGTAACTTTTTCCACTCTCCCTCTTCCTAAATCTCGCCCTTTCAAACCTTTAATCAAAGAGCTTTTCCGAGAAGGTATCTCCGGCCATACTTGTGATCGAAGAAGTAACCGAACATTCATCCATGAATCGTTTCCCTCGTATAAAATCGAGAAAGGATTTTCGGAAGATGATCTGCTTTGGAAGGAACTTGAGGGTGAAGTTGCCATTGATCAGGATATTAGGAGTAAGAAGGTTTTGGATGAGGTTTTTGGGAGTGATGATAATACTTGGTTGAGTATAACAAGTCATTCAGGGGAAATTTCTAGTATTTTGAGAGGTATGTTTTGTCAATTTCTCGATTTCATCGTACTTCGAGCTCTCTTTCATGGGACTCTGGACTGCAACCTCTCAGTGTTCTCCAGACAGCAGGTAGCAACATCTTTATGGATTGACTAGAACCCTTCTGTCGATGGATGAGTTACATATTCCAGACTGTATCCTCATGTTATGGCTTGATTCAAGCCCTATCCTTTCTCATTCCAAAGTATAACACTTTACTAACGTTAAGAAAAACAGTCCTGAATCACCAAGTCTTCAGATTAACAACCGGATCCATCATACCCGTTCTCGTTAAAGCAGAGACGATCCCAGGAGACGCAACATCGACGTCTTATCTACCAGTAAGTATTTTCTTTTGAGCCCGATTGCCATTCCTTGTATTACATGCAATAATCCCTCGCGCTGATGCTGATGATAATGAATCTACTGTAGTGGACAACTATATCAACATGTACTAGTCCTCCAGCCAACACGGCTACCTCATAAGATGAAGGAACGCCAAATGAAGCCGAAGAAAGAATAGAAATATCGTCTTGGTAAAATCATTCATTTATAATAGCTACTTACTGGTACAATCAATTCTTAATACCAAATTTGATCCCCTCGGATGACATTTCTTTCCGGTTTCAAGTGAGATCCATTGCTAGATTCCAAACATCCCCAATTCAGAAAGTTCGCTGGATTTGGGCACTACCATATCATGTCTGCGTATCATAAACCCCATCAATGTTATTGGCATCAAAGTAATGTCCATTCCGCTTCTCATCCATCGCAATGTTCAACCCAATTCTAAGAGGATTAGATGGAATTATATATCCTTCAATACCATTTATAATATTTTTATATGTAAAAGGACAAATATAAGTTTATAATATAATTATATTTCAATAAATCTATTTTCAGATTACTTCTAATCCGGATTATCTTTTTATATCAAAAATCATTATTTTCGTCTATTGGTAACTTTATATCGAATAAATAAAATCGATTCAAATTTAAATTATAGATTGATTTAGTCTAGTACCCCTCTTTTCGGCCACCCTTTTTGTGACGCCTCACACCTCCAGGTCACGTGGCATGCCCCGTTTGTATTTAATCACAGGAAAACTCGCTACTCTTGTTTTCCTTCTTCTTTTCTCCTTAGCTTAGTATTTTCTAATACAAGATACTTTACCCAGTATTCTTGAGTGTGACACTTTTACACCAAAACTTATGATTTTCATCTATTAATGACTTTATATTTAATAAATAAAATTTGATGAAATTTGAATTATAGATTTGTTATATAGATGTTACGAAGTAACAGCTGATCTGTCCATACGAGCTTGGACCATGTGGAAAAGCAAGTAGATTCACATACAAAACTATATGGCAATTGACTTATATGGTCTCCCCACCCTAAGCAAGCATAGACATCGAATCTGATCGAAAGCACGTGATCAAGGATTCCCACCGAGCCTAGGAATCCCACTATGGTGGGAAATATTCCCACCTTGATGGGACGATAGAGGGCAGTGGGATGCATAGTACGAAGGTCTATATAACTGGAAAGAGTTTCCTTATTATAGAGCTTCGTGCTCAAGATCAATCATTTAGTATACTCTACTATTAGTTACGAATTGCATTATTGTCATTACTTTAAGTCCCTGCTTGACGCCTAGTTATAAACCACCTCGAGAGCCTAGAGCACTTCCACGTGATCTAGACAGCAAACCTCGTAACAAGTATATATTCTATAATTTATATAGACAAAAACGATACTTAGTATTAGACTCTCTTATTTATCCGAATGAGATTAGTTAGTGGTCCCCAGACTAGACAGCAGGGTGACGGGGAGGATGATGGGTAATAAATGATAATCTAGTGATGATCTAGAGATTTGAAACAAGCGGCTTCACCTATCTACCCTGATCCTACTATAATCCAATTCTGCCAGCTTACGATATACAATATGAAAAAAGCGCCTCCGTCTATCTACTTCAATCCTACTATTCCAATTCCAACTCTGCCAACTTGTACTATGCAACATGAGAGTAGATGAAACTAACTAGACCATGTACATCGATGAAAGGAAGACATATGCATATGTCTAAATGGGGGTTTGGAAGAAGGAAGTGGCGATTTTGTCATTGGTAGACTTTGATAATCTAGTGCGGCACTTGGAAATATCTAGTCTCACCCAGGTACTCCGAATTATAATACTAGCGCACCTAATAAGCTATTGGAGAAGAACCGCATTATATTTTATAAATTACACAAGTATTTTCGTACAAGAGAGACAGACAACAAAAACATACATTCATTTAGGATTCATACTAAATTCCAACTCTGTCAATATACGATATACAACATGACACAAGGAAGAATGTAGGACCAAGTATACAGAATAGGTTGCTCAGAATAGCGGATATGAAGAAGAGCCGCCCCTTTTTCGAACTAACTCCCTGATCCCTTACAATTCAGGTGCCCAGAGATCCAGATATGCAACAAAAACACACATTGATTTAAAATCGATGCTATGTTCCAACTCTGTCAACTAACAATGTGCAACATGAGACGGGAAAGAATATGAGGTTAGCTTTGAAAGATAGATATCTGGATTGGTGAGAAGTGCCACATCTTTGAAGAACCTTCTCTGGCTTATAAATCTACCATGAAAGCAGGTGGCACGCATACAGACTCTATCTCTGCTAACTTGACACCAGCTAACTGGATATTCTTATAAAGAGACATATGTATGAATATGAGGAGACTACAAAAACCACATGTCATGTACAAAAATTCACATATGCAGCAAGGAAACATCTATTCATTCGAAGCCCGTACTAATTCCAGCTCTGCCAACTTACTATATGTAACAAAAATGAGAATGTTCGATACTATGATACGAGATAGCTTGAGGTCAAAGAGATTAAGGCTAGATGGGTCGAATTGAAGAGCCGCACACAGAAACTCGTATATTCGGATAAGCAGATATGCAACATAAAATCCATATGTATCAAGCTAAACCAAACCGATTGGATCTAAGTAAATTGAAGTTAAAAGCTGCACTGTATGAGCAATCTCGTACTTCGTATAAAGGCGATATGCAACACAATAAGATGTATGCTCAGTCAAGCAGCGCAAGTAAAATGAAGCCAAGCAGATATTAGAAAAGAGCCGCACTAAGTATATGAAACTCGCATTCTCGCATAGAAAAGATATGCAACAAGAGAGATATATTTAGTGAATCAATTGAGCCAGATAGGCTGAAGGAAATGAAGCTCGTATATTCGTATAAAAAAGATATGCAACAAAATATTCGTTTAATTATTCACTTATTAATCATGATCCGAAACTCGTATCCTCGTATAGATAAAATATACAACATGAAAAGAATAATTCAACAACCTATGCTATATAAATAATAATAAAGAATCAGATTCTGAATTTACAGAAAGGGAGATTCTGGATGAGCTTTTATTGTGATATGTTGGGGATAGTTCCTTCCACACTTTCGCACCTTCTGACTCCATCAGGGTTTTCGTGAGAAATAATCAAGGAGACATAGAACAAATACTCTTCAAATGATACTTTTGATATAAAACCAAGTCGAGATATACAAAAAATACTCCTTAAATGGCACTAATGAAAAATAACTAAGGCGACGTCTGCAACAGAAAGTTACCATATTTCCCCTCTTCCCACCGGGAGAACTTACTATAACAACCATCAATGACAGACAGATATACAACAAACCTCACTCATTCTTCCACCTATCCATATTTATACTCAACTGAAACCCAGATTCCTCATTTATGCTTGAAAGCTCTCCATTTATCATACCCGGTCATCTCTTCCACCTTATCTTCATCCCGTACTCTCTTCATCTCCCAAATCCCCTCCCGAAAGAAGGAGAAACCGAGACAAATATTGTTGGGTTTCTTGAGACTAGAAAGAGCATCAGATTGAATTTTTTTGATTCTCTAGCTAAGCAGTTAAGCTGCGAGCATATATTCAAAAAATGAAGGAATAGGTTGGGTATTCGGCCTTCGGAATTAAAGTGCTTTGAAATCAAAATATTGAAAGCAAACAAACAGTATACCAAAAAGGAAAGAATGAATTAAAAGTTGAGTTTTGTTTGCTCCTTATATGCATATGCACTATATATGCATATGCTGCCAAGATCCCAGGAGGTCAACAAATATCCAACAATGAAGACGCAATATTCTTTTTCCCAAGCAAGCAGCTCAATTAATTATTTCTACAAGCAAGCGTCAGTTTATGATAGTATCTATATAGGGAAAAGAAACTTACCTTCCACTCCAATATACTCATAACCCATCACCATCACCCTCACCATCACCACTATAAATCCAACACCCTCATTATGTATATCGACTTCCCTAAAACTATAGAACAGTGAAACAGCAAGATATATAACAAACCTACGCATCTATGACCGGTCCACCCAACCAACCTATCAACTCACACCGGCAGTAAGGGTCAAACACCAGACTTTCCATTATGCCCTCATACTTACGATCTCGACAATTCCAATTCCCTATCCATCCACCACATTTTCAAGCTCTAATAGCAATCCCCAGATCGACGTTCAATCACCATATGAATAGATGGCCCTTTAGAATAATCCAGTATAATTATGACCAATGAGATGATCACTTAGGATGGGTTTATTGTATGGTATTTTGCACCTTTCTGTTTGTTGCCTCTTATGTTCCAACTTTCCACAATATACCCACCCTACCCACACCAAAACCCATTCACTCACTCCACCCATTCACCCCAACTTTAAAGACGACATAACCTTCTTCCCTCTGTACCATACCATACCATACCATACCAATACATCAACACATAACATCATCCTCCACCCCACCCCACAGAACCAACACAACCGTAACCCATTAAACCAAAGCAAAAATCGAAAAGCCCACTAGCAAAAAAATAACCAAACCAACTCCCCCACTAAACTAGTCAAGAAAGATGCCAAATATTATATATCATGACATCGGAAATTTCCTGCAGATCCATTAACGGTAAATATCCAAACTCTAAATCACATCAATTTTTCATTAATTTATCTTTTCTTTTTAAAGAGAAAAACCAAGCAACCAAGCAACCATCCTAAAGTTTTAAAGAACAAACACATTAAAAATAAATAATCCTAATCCTAATAATCCTAAACCAAAAACACCGCCCCAAGCAAATCAACCACTCCATCACGACTCGGGATCTTTTCTCTCTAAGTTTGAGATATACTGTACTATACTTAAAAGAAGAAAGAAAGAAATTAAATACTTTTACCACGAAAATCTACATAATAAAGCACATGATGATATCAAGAGGTAGATAAGAGATAGAAAATAGTAGATCCGAATTTCTTTACTTCCCTACCTAGTGTGGAGTTTTCTCCCCACAATGCGCTTTCAGGTTCCAGTCCTTCTCATCGGGGAAAAGAAATGTCATATTGGTGTTAATATTGATATTAATATTGGTTGGAACTTGGTATGAGTATTGGGGAACAAGGAGCGAGATCGACGGTTTATTCATGACATGTACCGTACGCTAAAAACTAGAATCACTAGGAAGTTTATTGGGGAAGGAGTGAAAAAGTAAAAAGATACCTAAATTAGAAGGAGGAACATGATTTCATAATGAGCGGGTAAATCTCTCACGCAATCCTGGTGTTGACCATGACGTTTGGGATATTTCTACTGGTATTTTTTTATTACTTTACTGGTATAGTAGAATAGACTTTGTATCTACCATCTACCATCTACCATCTATCATCTACTAGCACATATATCTTCCTCTCCTCCTTGATTCAGTATGCACCCATTTGAAGCAGATTAGTGCTTAAAGACCTCTAACTAGAAGGCACGCAGTGAAAAATCGACATGGTATTGGCCATAAGAGAGGAATTCCAACTTTCTGCTGGTGCAGTATATATTTCTCTCCGTAATTATCAATCAACTACCAAGAACGCAGATATGAAACTAACATATTTGCGACCCAAGCAGAATGACACTTGTCAAGAACATCTCTTAGTCGCAAGAAATTTTGTCCTCCTTCTCATAATCACTATCGCAACCCAGATCCAGACCCAGCTATAAAGACTAAGGAAGGCTAATAGGATTCCTAAACTGAGGATGTCCTTGAATGACCATTCCGTAGCTAGTCGAGCACCACCGTCGTTATTGTGACACTGAGATCTTAACTCTCGCTTTTAGATCGCTTCGTTTCTCCCTGCCTCTGCGTTATGGGCAGTACACTACATGCCATCGACCAAACCAGACACAGTCGCAAGTGCCAATATAATGTGTATTAAGATCTAGCTCTAGAAGCAAACCATCAGCGATTCAGCAGTTCGAATAGTGGTACAGTGTACCAATACTAGTTGATTTCCGCGGGAACCAGAGAAGTGAATTACCACCACCTGTGTTCAATTGAGGACTAATGATCCCAATGCCATTGATGTTGGCTAAGATTCGCATTAAAACTTCGCCTTTGGATAAAAATCATGATTCTCACAACCAACTTAGATCCGCAGAACCGTACTTTGTGATGGCGTTGAATGATTATCGGTTCAAATTAGCGACAGATAGGTTTCTCGCAAGCCTGACTTGCAATTAGCGGCGTTGAATAGAAATGATGGTAAAGTTCCATCCCAAGATGCCTTCCCTTACCCCTTCAGGTCATGCTGTCTGTCATGTCGCGATCTGCTGCGTACCTTACATGTTTGTAGGCCGGTTTGGACAACAGTAAGAATCTAGACCATTTTCCCAAATATCGCCAATATTAGAATAAAACATTCGTCTAATAAATCCTGCTTTGCACTTATGTACCCACTGAGGTATATTTTCTACTGGTTCGCACCCGAAAATCGGAGCTTCTACACTACTATTAGCATCCATTCGATATGACGGTGAAATTCCTCCTTCAATCCGGTCGCGTATCCGTAACGTTAACGTCCTCTAATAAACGCGTCCACCAGTCTTTGACTCTCAACTTCCCGAACAAATCACACAGAAAAGTCGGATCAATCGGCTCTCCAAATCCACATTCGTAAATCTCGCTGCGAGAAAGTAAATCCCAGTAAATCCCTCACTCAAGAAATATTCCTATGCACGGTAAGAGCGGCACATAAGATCGGTTTATTCATTTATGTTTCTCCATTGAACATTTATGGGGTCTTGAGGGAATCTTCCGACATGTCAATACCGCCAAGTTGTAACTGTAACGCTGCAATTGAAATAATTGGACGAGTCCCACTATCCCATAGCGATCCCCGGAGATGTTCGACCGCTGTCCCTACATGCGTCGTTTAAAAGTCTCCACCGCTCACCGCGGAATTAAAGTTTGAGGCGAACTAAATCGAATCCACCCGTCGTTCAAAACTCGCCACGTACTATTTGCGGGTTTGGTCTCTGTAGAATTCTAAAATATATTAATTGACTCGTTCAGGTAATACGCTAGAAGGGTCTTGGAAGCTGTAGAATGTGCTTAGTGTGAGGTCTGTGAGAATGGCTGATTCGTGTTGTTTGTGCCACCTCCCGAGGTATCTCCAGAGTCCAGAGTCAAGAGTTTCCTCATCACACGGCATCGATTCATTTGGATGATCGGCTTTGTCCAAGACATACATAAATACGGAGTAGTGGTGATGTTTGTCGATATGTATGTATCCTAATGCATCGTACCTTTAATCATTAGCCCTAGAAAGTCTCAGATCCGGAATGCTCGATTTGCCCCTCCAAACTGTATAGCTTTAGTCTCCACCGAGAAACATCATCCCAAAGTAGCAAGAGTTCCTTCCTTTCAATAACGTTTTTGAGCTCCAGTATTTCCCACAATTGGAATTCTTCTTCGTATTCTCCTGTCTTCTCTGCATATATTTGCCCGTCAACTAGTAGATCCTTCAGGCGTTCCGTGTGCAACCCCGCCAATTGCTCCACAAACCAAGTTCTTGAGATGCACTCCCGCTTTGAGTAAACGGCGCCAATAGCAAATAACCAAATCAGCCACTGACGAGATTGTTCTGTAATTTTCGAGGTATCAATTGTGGATAGAGATTCTTGTAATTGTTGTAGTAGGATCGAAGGACCAATAGTCGAATGTGGAAATTCATCAATAATCGATTTCATGAATAGTAGAGCTCCGATACGAGTTGCTTTGTTAATACCTGATTCTTGATTTATTCCCGTGGACAAGGGAAATGATAACAATTCATACTCGATCCAGTAAATATCGTTGAGAAAATCTCTCGGCTCGAGAAGGTTTCTAGATGAAGCAGCGAATTGTATGGATTGGTAGAATATAGCTAGATGTTGCATGATTTCCATGAGATTTGAGTGAATTCCGCATTTGGCGAATATAGTTGCAATGGAGGTATTGATCGACTGAATCATATGTGCAGGTAAAATTTGAGATATTGATATTTCCGAATGACTTCGTGGCTCATAGTAAAGATATGGTTCAGCAGCATAATCAATCGCACCAGTGATATCAGACCTTGAAGATAATTAAAATCCAATTTCTCCTGATTTCTATCAGAATGACCTACCGACGTAGTTTTGCCTGTATAATGATAGGTAGAGATGACATCGTGCCTCGCGTTTTAACCATTTGTTGTATACCACGCATGTGAATGTGCCATAAATCAGGATGACCTGTATATGCCTAGGTGAAATGTCAGTAGACATCAATTAATTACATAGCAAAATTTGATATGAATTATAGACATACTTCTCCCAAAGCCACACAAGACAGAGCAGCAATAGTACTGTCATCTGCTATTTGACTGTTTTTTTGGAGTTTATCTTTGACATTCTCTAGAACTTTCCCTAGATGGTACACAGAATCCTCCGATCCCTTTCCACCCTGAAGCAAGGAGAGATAAAGCGCGGCAGCATACAATATCGCATGAAACATTACTGCATCATTGACCGTGAAACGAAACCATTCGCTTGAACATAGAGGATTTGAGGAAAGGTATTTGGACAATGGATACATTCTCGAGCTAGCATAAGTAAAATATCTGCATAACAACAGATGTGTCGCTGGTGTCATTTCGATAGGCCATGGAGATAAGCTGAGAGCGGTTGGAAACCCGATGAGTCCTTCAATAACGAGATCATCATTTCGACGGCCACCTGTGTATACGACTGACTGAGGATCCACGACATGTTTTATAGTTGTCGAACGGACTTTCGGCCTCCTTTTACTTTCCCGGGTCCTTTTGCTAAGGTAATCATTCCTCACATGTTTCCGTACAAACTTTCGTACATTGACATCGGCTTTTGTTCCTTGCGCAGATGAATTGACAAAAGCGAAGTTTTGATTTGGTTTTCTCTCGTTATGGTGAATATCTATGACTGAGGAAGGATGAGTTGTGGTTGGGGATTTGCTGGTTGGCAGGCGACTTTCTTTGGAGGGGAATGTGATAGCTTTCCACTGCCCTTTGCGTGAGATATTCCAATTCTTATACACAGAAATTTTAAGACCTTTTTCATCCATAATCTGCGTGGTTTTGATGTCAATTGAGGGATATAAAACTTGATTTCAGCCTGTTGGCGACAGAATGAGGGATTTTCCAAATGAATTGTAATTAATATCCTCACACATTAATCAATCTTTCAATCGTGAATATACCAGAAAATAGCGGTCAACTCAAATATGAAAAACTTCAAGAATATCTAATATATTGAGGTGCGAAGTAAATTGAAAACATCTCATGCATATCAAATCTTTGAACATCCCGATTTGGAAATTGGCATTTCCTCTTTGAGTAAATGCCAGTCACCTTCGTGACTGCGGGGCATTTTTACACAGTGTAACAAGAGCTCACGTAATCAGAAATTCTTTTGAGACTACACTTCAACGACAATTGGTGAGTATGGCAGTGAGTCTGTGGTTGAGGATTACTCTTTTTTTAGGATTCATACTGATAAGGAAATGTTAATATGTTGGTTTTGGACTTTATCATTTTCGCTATAGACTGTATGGTACATATAGTAGGATCCATGAAGTAAAGTTTTAATACCAAGTAATACAAATATTATCTAAATACATTCAACTCTAAGAATTGCATCAAATAACTGCTACCATTTCAATAACCTTTCTATTGTGCACAATCCTCCTCCTCAACGATACTAATATTGGATACAGCTCTTCCTCACCACTCACTCACCACAATCCTATGCTCTTTGAAAGAAGACCCTCTACCCAATCTTGAGCCACCAAAATGGCTCTCAAACCACCCAGTAATTACTGAAACCTACCGTCTCCGACCCAGCACCATTGATCATCCCACTCTGACTCTGCTCCCCCCCCCCAAAGAAATCTCAAAACGCTCGGCATATCCATCCTCCCACACAACAACGAGAACCGAGCCCGTAACCCGTCAATAATTTCAAGTTCAAGTAACTCCACGTACGATTTACATATCATACCCTCAGTACTGCCGTGCGCACAAACGATCGCGCTTCGTCTTAACCATGAAACATGGCTTGATCCGCCCTACCGCGATATCAAAGTATTTGGAGATTATCCTGAGTGTGTGTTGTATGAAATTTAATTATTTTTGAATAAATTTAATTGAGAGGTCATTATCGCACTCGTGGCATATAGAAATAGAACAGGAACTCAGGAGTATTGAACTACAAAACATTTGCCCGACGCGTCCCGTTTCCTTTGAGAATTCTTGGCTCACCATGTGGATATAAATATATATATATCTTTTACGTTTCAACATGTATGAAAAACTGATAATAAGCATATAAACCCTTTTCTTGGAAGATTCAGAATGATTTACATATGACAAGGTAAATATGGATATGAAAGCTAAATTCCAGTACTTGAGTCTTGTGTGTTTTGTTGAGAGTTTGAAATTAATGTTATTTCTAGAGATTGAGATATTTTGAGATTATGTGAAACAGATATTCAAGCATATCGAATTTTGATTTTTTTCCTTTGATTAATGAATTTAATATTATATTTTCCTAGAGATTTTTTGAAATCTAAGATGCGATACAGACACTTGTCGCGATAAGAAACAAGTATGCGAGCTACCCCTTAGGACGACCGTACTTATTCCACAATTATCTTTCGTAATTTCTCATGATGTCGAGTTATTCTGCCTTGTCGTCCAAGATTCTATATATAAACGTAAGATTGCGAAACTTTATCTCGTCTGATCTCTATAGAAACTTCTCTCAGTTTAAATTTGCAAGGGGATGTTGGAGGGCGGGGTGGAAGCAAAACATGAAACGAAAGCACGATGTAAATTTTGATATCAATCCTGAAGGACGAAAGACGCGACGAGACGGCATTAGATTTGAATTGATCCAGATTCTTCTAAATTTCCATTATGAAAGGGATTTAGAAGGTTCAATTGGAAACGGTACACCCTTCAATTAGCTCTATCCTGCAGCCCATCCCGCTGCCGACCTCGGGTGTTTTCGATCGAAGCGCGATTCCAAGTATTGTGAAATATCTTCCCAGGAATTTCGTACCCTACCGTAATCATTGACTCGACTAGAGTTCTTTTCTCCCAAGATCTTGGTCCATCAATGAATCTACCGAAACAAATCGCAAGTCTGAACAAACAGTAAATTTGTGCACGAATCATGGCCTTTCGAATTCAATCGTGTTTTCGTGGGGGGTATCCAAATACTGCACCGAGCAAAAAGTATGCCTGTAGCTTTCCGCACCATGAGGTCCGTGGAGGTACTTTAGCAACGGAATCAAGGATTTTCCCCTTCATTTTCGCCTAATTTTGTGGTGGTTTGTCGCGCACCCATCAAAAGCAACCACAAGTTGAACAGCCAAAGGCACATCTATTGCTTAATCGTAACTGGAGGAATTCAGTAACGCCACCCGTCAAGAATTTCTTCCATGCAATAGTGAGATAAAAAAATTGTTCGTTCGTCCTTTGCCCTCCGGATTGACCGGTGTAGGCTAGAAAACACTCGCATTTCTCATTTTAGGCCACGGCTGCTTGGCTTAGTAGGCTTGAGACGCCTAGAAGTGAGATGTATGAAGGTCGTATCACGTAGTCAAACAAATTTTGAGTACTTCGAATTGAGAGTCCGTTGCAGAATGATTTATTCTTATCTCATCTCATCATGGGAGGCAATGAAATGAAACCAGGCTTTTCACAGCCAAGTCGAACTCATGAATGCAGGAGGGAGAGCCCAGCTGGAAAAAGAAAAAGGCAGCGGCAAACTCGTAAACTGTCAATGGTTCACTCTGACTTACATATGGATTCTTACATCAATTCAATTTATTAGAGCAAGATTCTTTTTGGAGTTGCTCGCGTGCCTGTCGTACTCAACCCCATGCAAATGAGGGATATAATGTTTCCGGACTGTCCCCCCACCAAGACTAGTGCTCCGAACCCGATCGGATTCTGACGTATGCATCTCACTGTACCTGCCTTGTGTAATTGCACAAAAAGCAATTAATGCGTAATTGGAATCATATATTTCACGTGACTATAACAACTTTCATTTCGGATCCGCAAATTGCCCATTGAGGAGGTAAAGAGTTACATTGCATTTGCTGCAGCTCGAAATTATGCAGGGTTCAAATCCGAACGATGAGATGAGGCGAAACGAAATCAAAAACAGCCGAGAACTGATCATCAAGCTGCGAGAAAAAAATTCTACTGCTCCAAGGCAAATAGTGGTTTGCTAGGTTTAGCTTTCTATAGTGTGAAAGCAGTCTTACTAAGGATGAGAGCCTGTCAAAGGTTGTTGAATTGGTCTATCATGGGGTAATTTGATACCCCAAGGGAAAATACGGAGTACCCCAAAAGAAAGGCCCTTTTTCAGAAACAAAATTGGGGTATGAATTATTTGTCCGAAGTTTATCAGAGTGGGCGAACCATTTCTGGGCAGATTTACTACAGAATCCAGATGAGAGAAGGCTGGTTGGTCCTAGTTAGCTATGTGATGCTAATACAAGTTCATGACCTCGATTGAGTTCATTGGTGTTGGCTCTGGGGGACGAAAGAGATTATTCCGTCATCATTTTGACATTAGCATTTGTAGACTCCTGGTAGGCAAGGACTATCAATGTCATCTTGTGATACACTATTGACAAAACCCTCTCGGAAAATTTGATTGATTCATTTTCAAGAACACAGCGGTTTGCGTGAATAGAACTCAGGGTCAAACTTAAAACCCCTCCAAGCAAAATACCGCGTCAACGATAAGCGTGCCCAGAAGTAATTATATTGCAATCAGCCCTTTTGTGTTCATATGCAGATGGGAGAAATGAGGTTATCGCAGGCCTTTTTCAGCTAACTTAGAGATCTCACGTATTTTTAGTTCCAGGCGCTCGAATGGAAATGGCGGTAATAATTCCGGAATTTTTGCGATGGGAATATGGATGTGACGGTAGTATTGTATTGGAACTATGATGTATCGGATCGGATATATTGGATAATTACATCGTTGGCTACAGCCGACAAATGACAATTATAATTGCGATGGGGATTTTGAGGGATTTTGAACGGTTATTCGGTGCCTTTCGGTACTGCCAATACCAGTATCCCTTACACCGGTCAAAAGTGGAGGTTGAGGATGAGGAGCGCTTACTGGACAAGCTGACCTAATTTTCAGAGACAAAATTCGGAGCGACTTGAAGCTTGAATAGTGGAAGGATGTATACATCCTCTATCCATTATTCTCTTTACGATGGATGAGGCTGCCGATGTGCAGTTGGCAGGTTCCGTCGCGTCTTTTTGATTTGCAAAGGGTATGCACAGAGGTGGATATGTTTTGACCGCGTTCTTCTATTTCTGCGTTCTATATCATTTACATATTGATCTTTCTCCAGTATTTCTGTAGGTAAAAAGGCCGAGCAACGGTGAAAGAAAGACTACAGTCTACAGCGCATCCTCTCTTTTTACTCTGTGGCGTACCTCAATCATGTTCGTGATAATTGCATGTTGTCCATACCAATTATCGTATCAATGAATTTTATGTAGACTGTTCAGATCACCACGTACCGTATGTACTGTATAAAAATGTCGGTGCAAGCAAATAAACAATCATCTCAGATGCTCCACCTCCAAAATGTCAATTTCACGATCAAGCTTTACCTAAACAATTAGTTCCCATCTTCATCCAGGTTCCCCTAGTCATTTACATAGAATTTTATGCAAGATCTGGTATCCCAGTAAATACCTCCGTACTGTCTTAACTGCATCCCGCTGAGTAGCTGCACGGTTCTGTAGAGATACCTGCGATTACAGGAGAGATAGAGTCTTAGTAACGTCATTTAGCGCAATTGCTATCGTGCCGCAATGCCGGGGGGATGGGTTTGAATTGGTGGAGTGAGATTATTGCGATGAGGTTTGGTACGGTGAGGGGGATGTGTGTGGAGAGAAGAGGTGAAAGGGGAAATATTGTGAAATGGGGATGGAAACAGTAGAAGCGAGAAATGAAGGGGCAGATGAAATTGTTAAAGTGTACGTTGGCGAAAAAAAAACGTGTACAGAGTAGCATGTTCGGCGTAGGCGTGTGGGATCAACTTGTGGAGTTCATGGCGCGTTCAAGATATGTGAGCGTGTGGGATATGGCATTGATTGTTTCTAGTTTGTATTCCCCTATGAATCCCTCCAGACAGCGGGCGCGGCTCCTCGTCCTGGGTCGTACCTACTAGAGTAAAAGTCTCAAACATCGGTATATATTTATTGCCAAGATGATATCCTTTTTCACCACGGTGCACGTATTGTATCGGCCAAGCCTCAAGTCGTCTTGTCTTTCCTGCAATACCACCGGGAATCTCCCAAAGCAATGCTGTCGAAAACGTAAAATTTAGACTACGAGTAAGGTTCAATACCGACGAGATAAGCCTGTGTGGGTGTTCATTGTCTTGGAGCCTCAGAGATCCTCTAAACGATTCAGTTACTTCGTAATTCCAGTTCTAATTGAGATTATTTGAAACAAGGTCTTTCGATGATATTGTGCACCGGCTATCAATTCCATTTTGCTTTGTTTACAATTTAGTTCGTGAAGGAATCGTAGTTTTGCAGGGAAAGACTGGACAAAATCTCCAATTTCTTCAAATTGTTTGACAGCGACGCAAAGATGTCAAACCCTAAAGGAAAACAACAAGCAAAGCACAGTACAATCAAACAGCGAACTCGTCTAGCAGATACCATGTCACTCCCTACGGCCAAAGACCTTCAAGGCTCAAACTCTCTATTCCCAAGTTGCTATCGATATCTCCCCGTACCTTGTTGTTTCTCGCCTTGCCTTGCTTACGGGCACCCCGTCCAAACCCAGGTCCCAGCACCCATTTCCATCCCGCAATAGCCATTATCTACCGTATTATGCCCCATACCACTACTGCTTGTAAAATGAAGTAAACAAACCTACTTACCCGCCAATCACCTGCAATTAATTATTGGACGTCTGGGATATGATAGGAGAGGACTGGGAAGGAAGCGTATAGGTGTGAAGATAAGTTGTAAATTACCATTTGCAAATTTGCAATCTTGAAGAACGTTATCCAATGAAAATCAGCCTTAGTGATATGAAATTATGATGTGGGAAATTGTGAGATGGAGTTCTCATTTTATTTTTCTTGTAGCTACATGTGTGCTGGCAACTGAGAGATGAGAGATTCGACAACAACCCACAAACTACCTATATCAAGTAAGCCATATAGTCCTAGAAGGAAAAGTATCATCACACCCAAGTACTTTCCGAAGGCATACCGAAATTTCGCAATCTTTCCTGAGTATTATTGAGGGAAAGAAAACGTGCATAGAGATATTCACTGTACGTTATACCTTATTCCATGTTGGATTCGAAACGCTGGAGGTAGACGCGGCGATTGAAGGAGGCTGGGAAGGAATATAGTAGGTAGTATTTTTTTTAATTGATGGGTCTGAGTACTGAGGTAAGACAAAATGTAGGGCATGGCATATGTTCCTCTTTCCAGCCCTGAGATTTTATCAGCGCTATCAGCTCCAGTCACCTAAGCAATATTGAATACAGTAAATGTAGGACGGATATCTAGGCGTCTTCCAAAACTTCTACGGTATTCCCATGCATGCAGTGATTCTCACGATGCATCTCGATCCTGCAGTAGTTGTAGGTAGTAATTGCCCATAGTCGAAAGTATCTTACATTTCTCCGCAGCTGAAGATCCCTAATGTAGCGGATTGTTTTGCCCCCTCGATTTCAAGCCCCTCATCACGATATTCGTACCTGTTACCTACTCACTCGTGGTGGTGAAGTTATTGATATGATGGATTAAACTTCCCTCTTCACTGCCGAATACGCTCATTCACAGTTGTATTATGTGCCATCTTCATACTGATTCATGATTGCGTCCGGTTGCTTGTCATACCTTTTAGAACAGCTAGCTCACTGATTGGCCAATTGGCAAGTTCCTATCTGATAATGGCGAGTCGTCATTCGCTGCCGACCAAGCATCCGACTCACCGATACATTTAGTGACACCCAGCTCACACTTTGATAGTAGTAATTGGAGCGATCTAAACTCAATTGGATGGGACATTTCTCGGCATTTGCTCGAAAAGGTCATGTTGGAAGGTAACGGTGAGCGTGAGAACAGATATTACTACCTAGTCGAGATTAGTCGATTAGATTTCAAAAAGATGGACACTGGATAACTCGGCTTTCATTGCTAGGTACATACACAATTATTGAAGGAAGTAAAGGTTAATCGGTCAAGGATTCTGATCGGATATTGAACAAAAATCTTTACTCAATTAGGCGTGGTAGTCGAACGCTAAGCCGGGTCTAGCTAAGATCTAGGTTTTAATGGAGCATTTTGGAAATCATTCGAAAATCCCTCACCAAAAATCAAAACAAACCGCTACTAACTACCATGACACTAAGTAAATATCATCCACTTTCTCTTAATCAATACGGTGACCTTTCTAACTCGAGTCGATAGGAAAGTTTCCCTAGGCCCGTTGTTGCTTTCTGCCCCAGACCCTCGCCAGACCCTCTTCAGACGAGACTTGCTTTGCTCAAGCTTATCCATGGGTCTCGTTCCAGGGCCCCTAGTAGATTCTTCTTCCCATTTGCAGTCGTGCCGTCAAAAATGTCTGTGTCCACTGTCCGAGGATGACGCCGAAGAGTGAAGAAGAAAAATGAAAAGTTAACCTTACCCGATCTTGCTTGAGACTGGGATAGTTGATCACACTTAGTCTCTCAGATATATAATCCTCTTCCATCCTCCCTCTTCCAATTCATTTTCTTTCCAGTCTATTCGGTTTGCCTTTGTCACGGTGGGAACTAATAATAATCTTTCCTTCACATCCTACCTTCCACCATCGCAATGGCTCACGGAGACGTTGAGAATGGCGCTTCGGCGGCCAGACCTGAGTACGAAGACGAAAAGCTCGGAGAATATGGTCAACTCGTTCGATATATTTCAAAATACAAGGGGAGAGAAGAGGGTGAGAAGGCTGCTGCCGAGGAAGAGGAGAACGCCCCAAAGAAGAAGGGTCTCTTCAGCAAGAAGAAGATTGGCAGTGATGGATCTGGCTTCGAGACTCCAGATGACTGGCTCAACACTGGTATGCGACAGGGTCTCTCTGCCCATGAGGTAGAAGCTCGCCGCAAGAAGACTGGTTGGAACGAATTGACCACTGAGAACGAGAGCTTGTTCGTCAAGTTCATTGGTTTCTTCAGAGGTCCTGTACTCTATGGTTAGTAAATTCTTATCCCCACATTGATGAATCGTTCTAACATCGGCTTCAGTTATGGAAATTGCTGTCCTCCTCGCCGCCGGTCTGCGGGATTGGATTGATTTCGGTGTTATTATCGGTATTCTTATGCTTAACGCTGTTGTCGGTTGGTACCAGGAAAAACAAGCTGCCGATGTCGTCGCTAGTTTGAAGGGTATGTTATCACATCAATCCACTCGATACAATCTCGTTGCTGACCTCAATCGCAGGTGATATCGCTTTGAAGGCTACTGTTGTTCGTGATGGCGCTGAAGTTGAAATCTTGGCTCGTGAATTGGTTCCTGGTGACATTGTAAGTTACACCACATGGTCACAGCATCAATTCTCAATCACATTACTAACTCTTCTATCAACAGATCGTTATTGAGGATGGACACGTTGTTCCCGCCGATGCTAGAATTATCTGTGCCTATGACGACCCTAACGGATATGAAACTTATCAACAAGAACTTCTCAACCAACGCAGCCACGAATTGAGCGAAAAGGAAGAAGATGATGAGGATGATGCCCACGGAGGCAAACACGGTTCTGGTTACGCTCTTCTCGCTATCGATCAATCTGCCATGACTGGTGAATCTTTGGCTGTTGACAAGTACGTCGCTGATGTTATCTACTACACTACTGGTTGCAAGCGTGGAAAGGCCTACGCCGTTGTCACTCACGGTGCTCGCATGTCCTTCGTTGGTCGTACTGCTTCTCTCGTCACTGGTGCTCAAGATCAAGGTCATTTCAAGGCTATCATGAACTCCATCGGTACGTCTTTGTTGGTTTTGGTCGTCGGCTGGATCTTGATTGCCTGGATTGGTGGTTTCTTCCATCACTTGCAACTCGCTACCCCAGAACACTCTTCCGTCAACTTACTCCATTACGCTCTTATCCTCTTGATTGTCGGTGTTCCGGTCGGTCTCCCAGTCGTTACCACCACCACTCTCGCTGTCGGTGCCGCTTACCTCGCTGAGGAGAAGGCCATTGTCCAAAAGCTTACTGCTATTGAGTCCCTTGCCGGTGTTGACGTTCTCTGCTCTGACAAGACTGGTACTCTCACTGCTAACCAATTGTCTATCCGTGAACCATTCGTCGCTGAAGGTGTCGATGTCAACTGGATGATGGCTGTTGCTGCTCTTGCTTCTTCCCACAACGTCAAGTCTTTGGATCCTATCGACAAAGTTACCATTCTTACCCTCAAGCGTTACCCAGCTGCCCGTAAGATCCTTGAACAAGGCTGGAAAACCGAGAACTTCACTCCTTTCGACCCTGTCTCCAAGCGTATTACTGCTATCGTTACCAAGGATGGTGTTACCTATACTTGTGCCAAGGGTGCTCCCAGCGCCATCTTGAGAATGTCTGAATGTTCCGCTGAGGTTGCCGGTATGTACAAGGCCAAGGCCGGTGAATTCGCTCGTCGTGGTTTCCGTTCTCTCGGTGTTGCTGTTAAGGAAGGTAACGGACCATGGCAATTACTCGGTATGCTTCCTATGTTCGACCCTCCCCGTGAGGATACCGCTGCCACCATCGCCGAAGCTCAAGTTCTTGGTCTCTCCGTTAAGATGTTGACTGGTGATGCTATCGCTATTGCCAAGGAAACTTGCAAGATGTTGGCTCTCGGTACCAAGGTTTACAACTCTGACAAACTCATCCACGGTGGTCTTACTGGTACTACTCAACATGACTTGGTCGAGCGCGCTGATGGTTTCGCTGAAGTTTTCCCTGAGCACAAGTACCAAGTCGTCGAGATGTTGCAACAACGTGGACATTTGACTGCTATGACTGGTGACGGTGTTAACGACGCTCCTTCTCTCAAGAAATCTGACTGTGGTATCGCTGTCGAAGGTTCAACTGAAGCTGCTCAAGCCGCTGCTGATATCGTTTTCCTCGCTCCTGGTCTTAACACTATCGTCTCTGCCATCAAGATCGCCCGTCAAATTTTCCAACGTATGAAGGCTTATATCCAATACCGTATTGCTCTCTGTCTTCACTTGGAAATCTACTTGGTCACCTCCATGGTTATCATCAACGAGACTATCCGTGTCGAGCTTATTGTCTTCCTTGCCCTCTTCGCTGATTTGGCCACCATTGCCGTTGCTTATGACAACGCTCACTTCGAACAACGCCCAGTAGAATGGCAATTGCCAAAGATTTGGATCATTTCCGTTGTCCTCGGTATATTGCTTGCTCTCGGTACCTGGGTCATGCGTGGTGCTCTCTTCTTGCCAAACGGTGGTTTCATCGAGAACTTCGGATCCATTCAAGGTATGCTCTTCTTGGAAGTGTCTCTTACTGAGAACTGGCTCATCTTCGTCACCCGTGGTGGTAACACCTGGCCATCGTGGCAATTGGTTATCGCCATCTTCTTGGTCGATGTCATCGCTACCCTCTTCTGTGTCTTCGGTTGGTTGTGCGGTGGAGCTGGTGAGCAATCTGACCCAGCTACCAAGAACGTCCTCCTCTCCGAGAATGGCCACACCTCCATCGTCACTGTTGTCATCGTTTGGGGTTTCTCTATCGGTGTCACCATCATCACTGCCATTGTTTACTACTTGATGAACCAATGGTCGTGGTTGGACAACCTTGGACGTGCCAGACGCAGCCACGCTGACACTCAATTGGAGAACATCATTGCCCACCTTTCCAAGGTCGCCATTGAGCACTCCCAAGTTGACGGTGTCCACCGTTACCACATTGTGCAAAAGCAAGCTGAGGTTGAGGATGATGATTAGATATCACGTTAATGAATTGGGTACCACTCTCTTGAATAGACAAGACAGTTGGAAAAAGCAAGAAAAATATCAAAAAAGCCACAAAAAATTTGACACTTTCACTTGGAGAACTTGGAGAAGAAAGGCGTTCCTAATATCCCCTCGTCATCATTGATTCGACACTGTCAATGTGGTCGCGAAACATCAACAAAGCCTGCCCGTACGGAGCTGCAAACTTCAACGTTTCAACACCACCACCGCCTTTGTCGTCATACACCTTTAATCGTCGCCTACCTTAATCCATAACTCTTTTACACCTTATAGACCTTTATTACGAGATGCGAGATTTCTTTATGTTTTATGTTTTATGTTTGAATAGTACTCTATATCATAGATGGGTAAATGGGTTGGGATATTCCAGGGATGTGTTTATGTCACAGAGAAGAAGAGGATGATAAGATGTATATACTGAGAAATGGAACGACTTCATTACATTTTTCTGATGTGTGCCTTATGCTTGAGTGATATGAATTGTGACCTTGATTGAATTATGCCTTTTTCATTTTATTTTCATTTTTGTTTTGTTTTTGTTTGGACATTGATTAGATGGGAAATTACTCTGCCGCCGTTCATTACCGTTTCTTTCTTCGAAATTCCAAGGCTCCATTCATTTTTTCCTATCTAATTTCCCTGGGATTTGTTCCACTCTCTTGTAGGCTCTCTGTTTAATCCAGATCTTCACTCTTTACCTAAAAGTATGGGGTTTCACAAGTAAGCGCCTTTACCCTTTCATTTATTCGACAATAGTTCATATAAGCAATCCAGAAATAAATAAAAATATTTTTCTATTATTATTATTACTATGATTATTATCGAATCCTTCTACCTTACAGTCCACCGTACAAGCTCCAACGCGAAAAAGACAACATAATCTCCACCACATGAAATTTCCTCGATGAATTGGTACCTGGATTATCCCATCTTGAACTTAGTGGACGTATTCAGACCCGCTGGTTCGCGGACGAGTCGATTTAGCGAGGGTCATTCGAGGGAATCAAGGCAGGTACAAAATTACCCTCCTGCGCGTATGGATAATTTAATGTTGGCCCTGGCAGCTTGCAGGAAAAAGTCGATGGATTTGGCAGTAGATGTTACGATATCACCCGGGAAACAAGGAGGATGCTATGATCACATGGATAAACAGGGTATTTCCCCTGTCTATCGAGCGATATGGAGGAATGCTAATTTGTTGTACCTGTCTGTATCCACCGCGTGCCTTGAAAATTGGAGCGGGTGGACAGAAATAATAGTCTGTGGGAGGAAAAGGAATGGCTTACAGCGGTGACGGGTACGTTTTCTGCATGGTCCGTCGGTTGTTCGTTTGCTTCTTTGCTTGTTTGTAGCTATGGTGGGTCGCATGTATTGTTTGCTTCCGTGCGACCGTTGGGGGGAAAAGAGCTTGTGAGGGTCTCTTCTTCTTCCTTTGCTGTTGCTGTTGCTGTAGTGGCTCAGTGAGTGTTCGCTGCGACGCTGTTCTTCTCTGTCTGTAATCTGTGGTAGATCTTCGGTGAATTGCTGCAAATTTTTTCAGGTACAATACCAGTGCGCAACAAGCTTAAATGATGCCTGAACACATATGCAGTATGCGCTCGGTCCAGCGACAACGAGACCGAGTGCGATACAGCACGCAGAGTGAGAGCGGTGAACAGTTACGATGGCACGGTGAGTGGCAGTTTAGTTTGTTTCTGCTATTGCCAGTCATCCTCGGTTCATACAGCTGAAAGCTCATCCACCGCTTCTGAAATCGATTTCGAACTCCATCGAAGAACGTGCTCCACCGCACCAGCAAACGCAATCGGGCCGCGCCCGTTCTTTCCAAGCTCCACGCCGAGGGAACGTGAGGGATCATCCCTTTGGTGTTCCGTCCATGTCTTCATCCGCATTTTGTATTCCACGGTCGGGGTCTCCACTCGCTACTCCGTGCTAGAGGAAGATTTGGAAATTGGAAGGACTGGGAAATGTGGAGTATGGAGAGTGGAGGAATCTGGGCACGGGGAACCCTCTCGCATCGTTCGTACATGCAATATTTGGAGTGGAACCCGTACCTGATTATGGGCAGTAAGTAACATTCAGAGACAATATCCGCTATTGTCCCGATAGGCGGATCCGAATACTGATGCGGGACATCGTATAAGGTTAATATGTCTCAATATCGTTGCTATCGATATTGATACGGTGAGTATCGATTGCATTGGATAAAGGAAATTAATTACATGACGACGTATTCGTTGTCGATTGTTGGGGTTCAGTTCGGTAACGATTAAGGTGAAAGGAGGTTGGGGAAATGTCTTACTTTGTATATTTTGGGGGCATTCACCGCGGTCTGTGTCGTGGCATGAAAGCCTCACCGTCTTTCAAGACCCCCATATGAAAAGTCACTCCCGAGGTCTTTTGGGAATTATGCCACATCTGTTATGAAAATCTATGAATGGGATGAATAATTAAGTCTTCATAATTTGGAAATGCAATTGACCATTCACGAACAAGTAAGTACCGACATGCCAAGCAAGCATGACTTCTTGGAGAAAACCTTGATACCGCGCGAAGAACGTTTGAGGAACGAGCCAAGATAGGAGTTCTTGACATCGTAACAATGCTGCTGTATGAAAGAGTAAAGGGGTGTACGAGTAAGTGCTCATCGCCAAGCAGACAATCATCGTTGAAAATACCACGAAATAAGGTTCCGGACGACCATTTTGTCGTTCCGCTTGCATATCCAAAGACACCTTTGATTGCGACTTGCAAGTGCCGTGCGATAAAGTCACTTGGCTGTGAGCTGATCGGACTGGGCGACACAAAGTAACTCTCAAAATTATCGCCGACGCTTGGAGAGTTCTTGGCTTCAAGAATGATTCAGCTAAGCCAGGTAAGCAGTTGACTGTGTATTGAATCTTGCGAGAGATTTTACAAAGTAAATGCGAAGACAATGCTGTCTGTATCCCTCCCGACGGTGGCTTGGTGGTGTACGACCTGAGGTGTGAAAAACACTCGAGTTCTACCATGAGAGGTCTTCTGTATCACGTTTCAGGAGAGTTGCCTGGAGCTGTACTTGTTGTCTTTTCACAAATGCAAATGCAAATGCTTGGTATTGCGATCATGGGAGATATACGTAGGACTGGATGACTAGGAAAAATATTTTGAGAAGAAATGGGGGACATCAATAGTATATTCACAGTCTTGAAGCTGAATATTCACTGTGCAATCTCGAGTGTCTTACACGGAGGGAGTTTCGAGAGTTAGGTAATAATGATTGATTTCATTTCCTTACGATCAACACACGCGAAGAGAAGATGAGGAGAATGGAATAGGGGGATGAAAATTATAGTATAGGTAGTGCGGGTTTGTCTCTCATTCTTCTGGTTCTTTTGTCACTTTTCGGGGCAAAAGTGATTTCTTGTATGTGTTACTATGAAGACATCACAAGTGTGGATGTTGAGCAAAGTCATAACGCCTCCAGAATCAATGTTATTTCATGGTTTCAACAATACATTGTCAATATTTAGATACGAATTACATGATTGTACGCCAATGTTCTAGTTTGTTTAAGCCCAAAGCATTTATATCAAAGTCACTTTCAGCCACTATTTTCTCTTCTGTTGATATCTTATGAGGTTAGAGAGAGGATGTATATACCTTATAGATGAGTTCTAGTAGACAATGTTGAAAAGTCCAGAACATATGGCATCTTGAGCATACTCATCGTATCTAGACTACCTATCGTGGAACTGTTCTCCGACGCTACTTCTTGGGATAAACAAAATTACCTTCTTACAGGCTACTCCGGCCGTATAGGGAAACTGTTCTTCGATGGCATTAATACTTGCTTGAACCTTATACTGGAGGCTTTATTCTTGCATGACTGTCTTTGTTCTGATCAGGGATTCCTTTTGGTGGAGATGAAGTATCATCGTACTCATGGTAATGGAGGTGTAAATTGAGCGAGGAAGTGCCTCGAGAAATTTATTTCCTCATGATCAGATGATCTAAATCCAAATGGTGAGACCCATTAGAGGTGCACACGCTAGTAGAACTAGTTGGTGCATGATTGATATTTCCACCTCAACTGTATTGAGGAAAGAATTGGAGAATATTCGATTCATTTGTTCAAAACACGTATCTATTAATTAGAATTAAACTCTTCACCAGTTCTATCTATGCCATGGCGCCTTTAAGGCTTTGATTGGAAAGAAGACGGCCACGCAACATGAACGTATGGAATTGCTGTTCTTGATTTTAGAGACCTTCTCATGCCATCCACCTCAATCACCTCACTTTTCGTGGGTGGTGATTCATCCCGATATCCCACCGTGCCGGACTATTCACCACCAGAGCAAAAGCGTATTTCAAACACTATTGCTAATATCGACGCTCCAACCCCGTCAGCTCTTGTTATCCGTTTTGTGGTCAACTATTCTCTATTTCATGGTAGATTCGTAGACTATCTTTCTTGTATCATATACGTAGATAACAAGGTTCTCGTTGCTTACAGCTTGGACTCTACTAGTCGCATGTAGAGTTATGTTCCATGTGTATGAAAACAATGCAACACTATTACTTCCCAAACAATGCACACAAAAACCTTTCCAGCATGGTGTTGTAAAAATTTGGCAACATGGTGGGTACTGCAGAGTTTTGGACCTAGGCCTCAAACTCCGTCGTTTTAAGATTATCCCCCTAGCTTTAGGTTTTATATGAATTCTCTGGAGTTAAAGCTAAGATGTTCGATATCTGAATACATAGTATTTCACTTCACTGCCCATGATGAAATCCGCGGATAAACATCGCGATTCGCGATTGTATTAATACCGTGTAAAATATTCACATAATCAATCACAACGCAATGTCATCTATAACTCAAAGACACCAGTCGAGACAGAATAGAAAGTGTCTGGACGCTCATGTCAAGGTAATATTTCCAAAACACCTAAGACGATGAAGGCTATGCATAAAGTCACCTAAGCAACTGGATGTCCCGATAAAAAAGTGTATTGTGTAAAATAAAGCTTGCCTAGGTATGGCTAATCAAAAGCCGGCAATGGAAAAAACGCCGCGTGTCCTTCCTTCATTGCCATTCATGAACAAATGTCAAAGTTTCACTCGATGGACCGAAGACTACTCAAGCAAACTCGACCTTAAAATTGTGAGGACCAAAGCAACCATTTCCATAGTTCCATCATTGATATCTATCTAGCTTCATTGATGATGTTTTCCCATCGTTACCTCAATCTGTTCAGACTGCTTACGGCCTGGTGCTACCTATCAGGTACCTGGATAAAGTATTGGGTTTATTGAGACCAGAAAGAGCATCAGATTGAATTGATTGATTCTCTAGCTAAGCAGTTAAGCTGCGAGTATATATTCAGAAAAATGAAGGAATAGGGTTAGGTATCCGGCCTTCGGAATTAAAGTGCTTTGAAATCAAAATATTGAAAGCAAACAAACAGTATACCAAAAAGGAAAGAATGAATTAAAAGTTGAGTTTTGTTTGCTCCTTATATGCATCATGCAATATATATGCATATGCTGCCCAGATCCCAGGAGGTCAACATAAAGTTACTACCATCAGCTATGCTCTCTCTTCGGTACTTTCTTATTCACTTTCCGGCTGTCTGCTGCAACTGTCTTCCTTCCCTTTCTCTTTTTAGGTCGCTTCTCCTCCTTGTTCTTCTGCTCATTCTCTTCTTCTCATTCCTCTTTGTCACCATGTTGTTCCTCCGTCCGCACTTCGTCTCCTTTTTCGTCTCCCCGTCCGCTCTTCCCACGAGTGTCACCCTCATCACTCTCCTAGTCCGTGCCATCCTCCTCATCTTTATCACTTCCCTCATCCACGACACCCTCATCCTCCTCCATATCACTTGCCAAGTTGCCAGCTTCTCCCCAACAGGCGTCAGGCGCGGATGAGCCTCCATATGTCTCGAAAAAATATCCTATCCTAGTCATCAGGTGGAAATTTTTCATTCATCTTCTTAGCGAGGTCTTCCCAGCTTATTTACCGTCCTTACAGAAACGCCCGTTAGTATGCTTATCCCAAGTAGCTCTCGTAAATACACCGTTTCTGCTGGTTTCCATGCTCTTAGTGCCATTTTGAGGTGAGTATGCGATGATGTTTTTGTCAAAGTTACGAGTTGATGGGATCATGCGATCATAAAGTTTTAGCAACGAGAATGATGTGGTTAAAATAGTCATGTGGTTCTAAGAGAATGATAGAAATAAAGCCGGGGAGTATTGGCGATATGCCAGATGGAAGTGGAGAGATTTTCTATGATTCATGATGTCCTCCGTATGGTTGATTTCATGACCACTTTATCAGGAACTCTTTGGTGCATTACTTTGAATACTTCCTGTATCATCAGTTCTCTATCAATCCACTTCCGTGATAAATCCCAATATGTCCCATAGAAAAAAGCTCTAATCAATGAATAATTCTTTATTTCTTCATGGATAGAGAAGAACTTCACCAACCCAGGTTTCGTTATCACTACCAATACCATCTAGCATCTGCCTCAAACGCCCTATTAATCTCAATATAAACCTGTACACGTTCCACAAATAGCACCAATCCATACTAACCAATACAAAATCCTTACAACAAACGATGCCCAACTAATGCTTATGAGTAGTAGGCTGGGCTGGAATTTCCATCTATACACATCTAGATGAGCCCTCTCGAATTCTATAGATCTAGACTGACCATCCAATCCCTCGAAACATCCAAATAAAAAGCACCGAATTAAAGGCCAGCTTCAATTATTCAAAGCTTGCTCCCTCCAATTGATATAAAATGAACACTCCTTCCCTCATTGATTTAAATCTCGCCAGCATTGATCAATCACTCACTTGCTCGGCTAACCCCTTCACCCACCTTCATACCCCAACCCCACCTCACCCACCATCATCAAAAAGAATCCTCTCTCAATCCGCCCGCAAATCTCCAAACCTCGCAAAAAAAGAAGAATCGCAAAAAAGTCACTGATTACAGGAGGTATTGAACCACACCCGATTTGAACGGATAACCTTTCGATCTGGAGTCGAACGCGCTACCGTTGCGCCAGCGGTCCTCAATCATGTGACTAATACATTCCTTCTAGTTTTATTCCAATGTATAACCTAGAAATTTTTTCTGACGCTACCATTTTCGTGCGTCGAGGGGTATTGCCATGGGTGAGATGCAGGTCTGTATGTAAGACTTACAAACTTTGTTGTTTTTATTGTTTTTTGTTTTCAATTTGACTTGATTTGGAGTTTATATATTAAGAAGATTACAGAGTAATTATATAGTAGGTATGATGATTATCTATATATTATAATTACCTAACTTTTACTTATATATATCCTCACGTTTACCCCAACTTCCACCACTATCACTCTCACCCCCAACCACCACCACCCCCTAAAAAATCCACACCCAGTATTCCTTATAAACAAACAAATAAATAAATAAACAACAATATTTCCCATATCAGCACTATCTATCCTCTATCCTCTATCCTCTATCCTCTATCCTCAAACTTACTCACTTACTTACCCCAGAAGATGACGATGAGGAAATAAATAATAACCTCAGTACCCTTATTAGTAGTGTAGATCTTTGATTCTTCGATGATATATAGGTGTATATATGCTGCTGCATCAATATCAAGTGGTGATATTATATACATACATATATATATATATATATATATATCAATGTACATAATGTGATGGAATCGATGGAATTGATAAGCAACAAATAAATGGTTCGTTCATCAAACCCTTGAATGATGCTTCGAAGTCAGGAATATTAGTGGAATGGTAGAATGGAATATTGAGCAATGATAATAGATAATTAGATGTGAGATATTGAGTATGAATAAAAGGCAAGTGCGTACGAGAATAATAGAATGTATTTTATAGGCGCTGAGGATTACTCCACGAGATTTTATGAGCTCGCCGGAAAGCTGATCAATATTGAAGTTTCATCATAATTAACAGATAGTTTCTCACGAGCGGCATAGCTTATCTCTGCAGATATTATCAATTGAAGAAATATATATAATTTTTCAAAAAGTATTCGGACACCAAAACATCAGGGCGTAATTTCGTCTTTAAAATATCATAACCATAGCCCTTTCCAAAACCCAAATCATTCTCATTCATCGAATAGAAACGTCTCAAACCTCGCACACATCAGAATCACAATTTTCGCTATCAACCATAAAAATTCCACCAAAAATCAATCCCTCATTAATTCCACTTTCCTGGAACCCGTTCTTGGTGATATCCGCACCAGGAGCAAAATTTGTTGGCTTTTTCAACAAGCCGAAGTGGTATTGACCTCGTCCCGAGAGATCGTTAGACAAAGCTTCGCTTACAGATGCAAGAGATTTGGTAGAGGCGGAGTAGAAAACTTGGGTTGTGCTGATAGATGGTTAGTGGGATATGTTAAGGAAAGGACTGGGAAACAAACTTGGCGGTAAAATCCAACTTCAAAGCAAAGTTGTGCCATCCATCAGTAAATGGGGTGGTGAAGAGTTCTTTGGCTCCTTCATTAACATTTCCTACGACTCTCAAGACATTTGGATCCGTGATGTTGGTGTCTAAGATGGTACCTGTCTTCAACACAATTTGATTTGTGCTGTAATCTGCACTTTCAAGGAAGACAATTTGGTACTCGTGGCTAAGGTTCAATTTACGAGATTCATCTTTCATGATGGAGAAATGAAGAGTCTTAACACCAATGGTAGATGGATCGGAGCCATTGTTTGACGCAGGCATCAATTCGGCACGACGAAATCCGACTTGAACATTGGTCGATGAGGGAGCATAGATGGAGGCATCAGAGAGGGTGACCTCGAAGGGTATGGTTGAGTTTCCACCATACTGAGCTGTCATTAGTCGTGTGGGAAATTTGGCGAACGAAATAGCTTACCAAAGAAGAGGGAACATCAGACGGGATTTTGATAATTTCGCTCCATGTGAGATCTGGAAACGTTAGAAGAAATGCTTTTACAGAGGGATAGCTAACATACTCGCTCCAAAGTTATATTTAGGATTGTAGAGATTTGTGTTATCAAATGCACTTGGTGTGGTTCCTACTGGTATGCGTCCTTCAAATTGAATTGGACAATCTTGCGCCTGTACTACAGAGGCAATTGTCAACAATGAAAATCCAAGGAAAGAGTGAAGCGACATAATTAAAAAGTTGTAAATGAATGTATGGATGTAAGAATAAATGAGTGTATTGATATGGGATACCGTGTTATAAGGGATTGAATTAACAAGAGAAGTCACACAGTGATACTTTGGATGAAAGGGTAAACGGTCCGAAAAGCCAATTCATATACGTATATATAGTCAGTCTTCTCTGCGAACCGAACAATTCCACATCTCATATATTATAGTTTCATTTAGTGAGCTTTCTGCAAAGAAAGTTGCTTTACCTTTATTATTATTAGAAATGCTGCAGATAGATTATACCTCAAACGAGGCAGTGGAAGACTTCCAAAGCTTTCAAACGCATAATGCCAATACACAAACGAGGACGAAAAGAACAAATGAGACAAGGTCCGTCAAAATTAACCATGAAGTTACGATGAAAATCATGGGTATATGCGGGTCCATAAATTAAAATTCCGAGACCAAAAAGCAAGGCTGTTTCAAAATAAAACTCTAATTCAACATGTAAAGTTGAATGGTCAAAGTAGATTGGCGCAGTCTTCTAATACAGTTTGGAGGATGTTTCAGTCTCTAAATTCATGTTAATGGCTCGAATGAGATCGAAGCCGAGTATGGGCGTTGGGATATGGACTTCTTCTAGAACTACTATGAGGGGTGCAACAAACATATGAAGCCCTGCCCAAAGGAATGCAGATCGTAAGATAGGGCAGTCGTGAGGAGTAAATGTATATCCTCAGTTGAAGCCATTGGAAGAAGCAGGGGAATTTATCATCAGGCGTCAAAAAGCCAACATTCAAGAATATAAGTAATTAACTTTGAAGTTCTGATTACCGGTAAATACGGACACTAGATTGTTGCGGCGAGGATGATATGTTTGGCCTCGGAAGCCGGCGTATTGATTATCCGAACAGTGGGGTAATTACATATTACGTAGTGGCATGGGGTGCCTTTGATCTTTCAGAGCTTCCTCAGTCAAAACCTCAAATAATCAACTTCTAGAATTCTCGTTATTTGAAACAGCAAAGTCAAGATGGCGGAAGTAACAGATAATCCAGATGTCCCTTCAAACAAGAAGGCTTTTATTCCTTTAGGTATCTCATCCTCTGCTCCACTCAAGCACCCACCCTATCATCCCAAGCTAACCCCTCCAGAAAACAACCCTGAAGTAATGTCCTCTCTCCTCCATAAGCTCGGTCTCTCAACCACACTCTCCTTCCACGACGTATTCTCCATCGAAGACCCATCTTTACTCTCCTTCATTCCCCGTCCTGCTCTCGCTCTCTTGTTAGTTTTCCCAGTCTCCAAAACCTATGAAGAATTTCGCTATTCTGAGGATAAGGACCGGGAAGATTATAAGGGTAAAGGAGAGGATGAACCAGTTATTTGGTATAAACAGACTATTAGGAATGCATGCGGTTTAATTGGGCTCTTGCATGCTGTGAGTAATGGAGCTGCAAAGGGTTTTGTTGGTATGTTCTATTCTGCTCCTCCTATTCTTATAGCCGATCTAATATTATTTTCTCTTCTATAGGACAAGATACTCCTCTCGGCAAGCTAATTAAAGATGCAATTCCCCTCGGTGCCTTCGATCGTGCGGATCTTCTATATAATTCCCAAGCCCTTGAATCCGCCCATCAAAGCGCCGCAACCCAAGGCCAGTCCTCTACGCCCGATGCCGAAGACAACGTCGATTTACACTATGTATGTTTCGTGAAAGACGAGAAGAATGATCTGTGGGAGATGGATGGGAGGAGAAGAGGCCCACTCGAGTTGGGATCACTGGGACCAGATGAGGATGTTCTTAGTGAGAAGGCATTAGATTGGGGAGTGAGAAAGTTTTTGAAGAGAGAAGAGGAGAATGGTGCTGAATTGAGATTTAGCTTGATTGCATTGGCACCAAGTCTAGATTAGGATGCGGAAGGGCAAGATTATGATTATGATTATCACGAAGCATTTTTTAAAGGGTCGGAAGGATTACTGGCGTTGCATGGTATCAAATGAGCATTCACGAAACATCTGCACTCCGACTTCAAACAATTTCATCGATATCAAAGGAAAGATAAAAGTATGGGCCTTAGCTGCCATGATATGTTAGATTTTTTGCGATGGCTTATCCAAAATCTTTTTACCCCTTCATCCCACTTCTATCGACGTATATGATGTGCAACATTTCCAAAAGCTCGAAGCCACATCATAACTCAGTGTAAGCCATCCCTTTGAATCATGAAATCTTGTTCTATGAATGTTCTATGACCAAGAAATGCTATGAATTGTTAGTAACTATACCGAAATCAATGAAAAAGGCCAAAACCTACTAAAGCATAATTCCAGCTCCTGCAGCCATAGCCATAAATTGCTTAAGAGTCTTTGTCAACTCAACACCTCTATCCTTTCCAGTCTCCAACAATTCCGGGATAACAGCTACAGTTCCCACATACAGGAACGTTCCAGCAGTGAATGGTAACAACATATCACCCCACTCTAAACTTGTGCCCATCAGTCCGTCGAATCTGCCAATGCCGCCTTCATCTGTACTGGATCCATATTCTTGTATCATGATACCAATGACGGTGCCGAGGAGTGCTCCAAGGGCGGTTAAGAATTGTGCACCCATGGCTGCGCGTTTGGAGAAACCAGATTGGATCAAGAGGGCAAAATCACCGACTTCGTGAGGGATTTCGTGGAAAAATACTGCGACTGTGGTTGTTGCGCCAATTGTTGGTGATGCGTAGAAGGAAGAGGACATGGCGAGACCATCTGTGATGTTGTGCGTGAAATCGGCTCTGTTGTATAATTAGCAAAGACCTCCATATTAGTTTTGCAGTAGGTCGTACATAAGGTTAAGATACCCAGCAAGCTTCACACTGGAATTGATTTCTTTTTCCGTCTTTTCAACCTCAACAATTGACTTTCCATTGTCCTTCTTTCTTGATCTAGTACTTTTGGCAAGTGTATCGTCCAAATTGCTTGAAATAGCGGATGTTTCCTTCTCACTGCCGTGTCCATGGTTATGTGAATGATCATGACCTTCCCCACCAGTAGCAATTCTTAAGCCTTTATCCATAGCAACAAATGTGACGAATCCAACCATGATCGCAACACCGAGCAATAAATTGCGGTTCGGTTCTACCAGCACAAATCGCACATTTTCGTGGGCATCCTCGCCAAGGAAGATTTCGGGAAGAAGGTGGAATAATGTATCACCTAGAAGACCACCTACTGCGAATGCTACCATTACGGAAAGAGAAGAAGGGTCGATGTTCGGTGGACATAATGCCAGGAGGAAATTGGGAGGTCCAGAGATATAAAGGGTTGCTAAAAGGGCATTGACAGCGGGCGTGGAAGGGAAAAGGACTGCAAATATGCGGGAAGTAAGAGTCGAGGTAACTGGAGATGTCACTTGTTTATATGCATTAAGATCTTGCACAAGAGGACATTGCTATCGAGTTGAACTGGTTAGATAGGACTCGGAAAGACTATTGTGCAAGCTTACTTGGAGCTGTTCCTCTATCTCCGGCAAGCTCATGCTCGCAACAGATGTAGCATGGCCCTGAGCATATACGCATACGATTGCAATTGAAAGCAAAAGAGCGGCATGGCGGGGTCTAAAGAACGACATTTTGGTCTGGAGAAGCTGGTGATGGAAAAAAGCGAATGGAAGAGGGACAGCTGAGCTTTGACTGGGAAGATTATCAGATTATCAGTATGTATGATCTCGGATGATATTTAGCGAGGTGGAGCCTATAAATTCTAAGCCTTACAGGGTGTTTCGAACCTGAGGGGCTTGGTAGAATTAGAACTAGTGCATTGTGCTGTCAAGCTTCATCTTTATTAAATGTGTTGCAAAGTTTTATTAGGGTAAATTCGATATGCATTTAGACGTTCTTGAAATTTGCTCATTGTTGAGGCAAAGTCGAAGAGATGATGTATCACCCATTGTCATGCAGTCAATCACTCCAACGGAATAGAGATCTGTCATCTCATACCCTGTATATGCCAGTGTTACAGAACGCCTTGAAGGCGATCTTAACCTTTTAGTAACAGCAAGTGCACACTCTTGAAGTCAAGAATTGTTTCCTTACAAATACATAATATCCCTAAGTACACTTTCAGGAGGAATCCATCCGGTAGGTCCTCAACTGAAAGCGATTCGTGATTGAATTGGGTTGTGTCTTCTTTGGTTTAAAGATACCATGAAACTGCAGCTGTGGTCCACGCTACTTCCACGGAAGTTCATAACAGCTGAGGATTAGTATCGCTGCTACAAGCCTGTATATCATGAGGAAGTTTCTGCATAGCTGTCACCAGTGTGATGGAGCCTGTTTGAATATTCGGTGTGCCATGTGTGGCATTCCGAGAACCTGGACAGATCAACCTCAGAGCTCAAGACCATGTTTGGTGAAAAGATGGAGTTTGGGATATTTCGTCTCATATAATTTGATAACCTAATAGCCCAACTGTTAGCCTCTAGTGATAAAGTCATTTTGGCGTAGGACTCAAGTGATGTATCTTTGCTAACTCAAACCCATCAAATGGTCAAAAGCACCCTCAATTTTTATTGCAGATGACAGGTACCAATTAAAAATATGGTCTTTGCTATATGCTGAGGCAGCCGAAGTTTCATGTAATGGTCAAAATGGATGAACTTCACCCGAAAGAGCCTTAAATATCTCAATGCGATACTTCAGCTGTATATAGCTTACCTAATTAGCCTTCATTCGACCACAACAAGGAAGTATCAAATTGTTGTGCTGCTAAAGTGTATCGGCAGTACTCATCACAGTCGAAATAGCGTTGTGAGCCTCTACATTTAAGTTGCTGCTGGTAGCACATCCGCGAGCACTTGTATGTTCTTTCCTAGGTCGACTAGGGATTAGGTTGATTATCGAGTTACACATATTTCGGCTATAGCATTAGGGGGATCTCTTAATACAAGTTTATGGCGAAGCCATGAGTCATCTATTCTCAGTTTGGAGATATCTCGTTCCATTTTTTATGTTTATATACTATAAATCTTTCCCATTCATAGTATCCCGTTCTATTATCCACAATGCCTAGACCGGCTACACATCATTCTAGTCACACGCAGATACAATCCTAGATTAGGGGTGAAGTAGACACTTAACAAGTCAAAGTCTAAGATATTTTTACTAATGCTCTTCTCTACCAAAACAATTCTCCCACCAAATACCAAAGCTGTGATCACTATTTGCGGACATTGATCAGACAGCAAGCATCAACGCAAGAAGGAAGGTTGATATTGAGAGGCGCGTGGCTTGACTACCAGAACAAAAATCCCAAAGTTAATGAATTGTTGAGTCTATTCGTTGATGTTAGTCAAGTCGAATTCGGCTTGTCCTACGGGGAAAGCAACACTTACATTCGGGTTTTCAGCATCTTGCGGAAAGTACCTCGCTAAGGCTTAACTTATGTGGACTTCTCCTCCTTCTCATCTACAATTAGAGCAGACTCCTCCGTGTCAACACCTATCGCCTGCTTGTCTCCTGCCTCTGAATTACCATCTTTCCCCTCCGTTTCGGTGTCATTTTCATCATCTTCTATTTCCACATCAGAATCTGTTTCGGTGCCTTTCTCGATATCGTCTTGCGACTTCTCGCTAGCCTCTTCCGTTATGTGCAATTCGTGATTTCTTTCGATTGTTTTTTTGCTGAATTGACCAGTCTCCTCGCCAAATTTCTCATTCATGGCTTTCATCAAGGACCGAGTAGTGTAATCACTTTTAAGTAGATTCAAGAAATATTTCTTCTCGTCTGGATTCATCTCTCTATGTACCATTTTGTGCTGCGATGAAGATGTTACGTTTTCCGGGAATTGGCAATGTTGGGAGCTTCAATGCAGGTGGTAGAAAGGTAGTTATAGTGCTGCAATGAGACCTATTAAAGAAAAGAATCGTCTTTGCTAGCAAGCTTTTCCTTATGAGCTCACTGTTTTCCTAGCTTTGTTGTCTATTTGATTGCTCTTCTATACTTCTCCATTGATCATTCGACCATAGATCAACATAATTACTCATTGCCTTTTCCTCCTGTTTGTTTGGCAATAGATCTGAATGATAATCAGCTGGCGACAAACAACACCCCGAAGCCCTCTTTTTGATAGCAATCATATTCTTTATGACATATTGTATGGTATACTTTAGTAGATCAGCTTGCTTTCGAATAAGAAAATGTATGTTGGGATACTATTGTGCTGTGCGGACCAATTGCACAGTATCCCTGAAAGAATATCTAGGTCCAAGCAATTCTCTACCATCTTGCTTGTTTTGCTTGAATGGTTTTCTTTGGGCGCAGTCGATACATCAATCTTTATGGTTTGTGATGAAGGAACAAATTGTTTCATACTCCTTGTTCATGTCGTGGGCCAGAGGAAATCCTTAGAACATATGGAATTTTCACTAGTTGATTTTATATACGTGATAATTGAATAGCTCACTCAAATCTCAGAATTGCGGGTACCATTGTGTTCGCTGTCTTCACATTCTATATAGCCATATTATAGGAGAAAAGGGCTAGTTCTGTGTTGGATTTAAAATAGTTAGGGACTCATTTGCTCGATCTATGAGGCCTCAAACGAAATCAGATATTTGTCTCAGGTTAAGTTGACCGAGAGAATACATCTAGATCTGTTTTTCTATTTACATATCAAGGATCCAAACATCAGATATAAAATTGCTATTAGACGCGAAGGTGGAAATTCATGCTGGAGGGTTATGAGTCCCGCTGTAATGTCATTTATATGCAAATCTCCATGCTGGATTCTCACCCTGAAGCTGATGTTGACGCGCAAAGAAGTCATGTTTTGTTAATCATCATGTATAGCTGCAATAAGATGTAAGTATTTATTTCAGTATTGATGATACTAGTACATTGTGATTTTCTCCAGCATTTGTATTTGGCCTGGCTCCCATTTTACTTGCTTTCTAACAATCTACCGTTCTCCTATAAATGAAGCTAGTCATTTTAGATGGAGGAGTGAAGTACAGAGTTTCCGGATGCCACCTCGTTGTGTACGTAGCTATATTGTTGTAGCGAGCCCCTGAATTCTGCTTGTAAATAGGATTATCATTATGTGTAAGACTCTGGTAGTCCAACTGGTCGACCTCTTCCTTCTCACAGTCGCACTGCAGCTGTTTCGTCACCTGTCATCTTGCTCGTCGTATTACGAAAAATCACTTTTTTAGAATTCTCAGGCGCGGTAACCTGTATTATAAATATTTTCCATCAGCCCATCATATATTTGTGTAACCCCGTCCGAGCCTTCCCTCGGTCATACCAAATATGATCGAGATGCCGCAAGAGGTCACAGTTCCATTGCAGCCTGAAGAGGTTTGAGCCACGGCAGAAGCTGTGCTAACGGACTCAAATGGTAGGGAGATCTTGAGCCTCTCGTTCCATCGGGCGATGGTAGTACATCTGCAAGTTTCCGTTTCACACTGCTGCCAATATAGCAGGAATTCCAATCGCTTGCAAATCCCAAGAACGTCGTACAATCTCGAATCGTTCAAATAACCATCTCCCCGCAACATGGAAAGTTCTAATAACTTGAAAATTGCCAGATGAATCTTCCTTTTTACTCTGCAGACACTCAGACCAAGAAATGACACTTCTTTTATACATACTTACTACGGGGTTTGGCTTGATAGGTGCGCATCCTGTCCCCAAAACAAATTCTGGTGTTGTGAATTCCACAGCCTTGCAGATAGAAGCTGCGCCCCGATGTGTAGATGGACCAGATGGCCGAGGCACTTGGAGCATATTATACAGATGTCTCTGTACATTGCTGGCTTGCGTTTATACAGCGATTCATCTTAACGTTCCACCCGAGAATGAAGAAAAAGCTGCAGGGTTTGTAAGAAAAGTAAAGTGGATAATGATCGCTCTATTCGCAGCTGAAATAGTGGTATACACTGCCTTCGAGCAATACTATCTCGGCGGTAAGTTCCTCAAGGAATTACTCTCCAAGAAAGAACGGAAGGTGAATAGCTTCTTTTTCTCGATCTACAGATTATCATGTTGATAGGATCTAGTTCAAAGACAGATCCAAAAGCTCCACCAAATCGGACTTTGATATGGTATATGCTCACTATGTGATGATGGGAGGATTTGCCGCAGATGTAAGCGACCTCCACAATGTCATAAAGAGAGTCACCTTTACTCCTCAGGGAATTCTCTTTTTATCAAGCCTTGGCCGAGCTCCGCGTGTCGAGAAAGGAGAAATTGAGGATAAAAGTAAATCGGATAATATTGGGAAGGCGCTGGTCTGCCTGCAGGTAATCTGGAGTATCGGCTAAGCAATTGAGAGGAAGATCGCAGGATATCCAAGTACCATGCTCGAAGTTCATACAATCGTCCATGTCGTGTGCGCACTCGCTCTGTACGCACTCTGGTATGAAAAACCTTTGAGTGTTGAGACACCGACGCTTGTTGAATTCAAGGGAACCGATAAGAAGTTCTTGGCTTTCATATTAGAATTAGGTGCCGAGCAGGGAGATCATTCCATGGCTTTGCATCCTGAAGCGAGATGGTTCAACGCAGCACCGTCAGATCACTGTGGTTTTGAGGTCTATGATAGTGAATTGCCGAAATCTGGTAAATGCAAATACGAGGAGCCAAGAATGGTTGTATACCAGGAGGCACTATCAAAACATCTGAATTCAGAGCAAATCAATGGGACAGATTGCATCGACATATTACAGGCTCCGAAACTGGATATTACAGCCCCATGCCATCGACTCTTTTCGAGAGATAAAATTGTACACTATACATGGTCTGAGAAAGAACTCAAAATCCTTCCAGAATCATGCATTGCACGCAAACCACCCTTAGAATATTTTCCGGCTGCAAATACGCATGTTGTATGTACCCTATCTACAGGCGAATCACTGAATTCTGGTTGCGGGCCTGGGCTTGATCATCGCTCGGGGAAGTTGAAGCACAAAGTTAATCACGATAGCAGAACCATCAGAGTAGGGCTTTCGAGTAAGGATGTAAAGAGGCTCATACTAGCAGCAGCATACATGAAGACATCGCCTGCTCCGCCAAAAGAGGGAAGCCCCAAGAATAAACCACACAAGACAAAAACTTTCTTCAACGAAGAGGTGGAAAAGGCATCCACATCGATTTATAAATTTGCTCAAGGTTCGCAGCCACTTCTCGCACTCAGGTCTCAAAATATGAATGGTAGCTATTTCAAAGGCATAGAGAATGAAGGCGATGAAACCTACTTGTCGGCAGCCATGGCTCTGGTACCAGCAATTTATGGCTCTGCTCATATTGGCGCACTTTCCATCCTTTTCCCAAGTGCGATAGAAAGACTGTTGTGGAAGATATCCTGCTATTATCTGGTCGGGTCATCCATTAGCTTCGGACTATGGTCCTTATTAAGATATGGCGACGTGCGAATTGCACGTGTATTCCAAATGCAGAATACGCCACTTGATTTGTGGGACGGTTTCAGATTGAGGTACCCTTACAAGTTTCAAGGCAGAGTTCGACGTGTGGTTATTGCATGTTTTTCTTTCTTTCATTATGTTAGATCTGGATTGTTTGGAATTCTGGCATTGGCATATGTCAGCGCACGAATGTATCTCGTGGTTGAGTCTTTTATTTCATTGCGCTACGTCCCAGTAGGGATTTATCAAACTCCCGCATTCGATATTATGGGAAAGATTCCTCATCTTTAGATAGCAGTATGGCTACTGTAGTTGAACCGGAGTTACGACCTTCTGCAAGGTCATGACAATTTCGGTGCTTGAGTAAAGTGTTCACATCGGGCGAGGCTAGTTGTTTTACGTGCATTCAATTTGTATGATTCCACAATGAGCGAGTGTTGCCTGAATGGCCCAGTGTTTTCAACCTCTAGAAGGACCGGATATCTGAAGAAGCATATTTGAGATGGAATACTCAGTTATTCAACTCGAATCAGAACAATGATCCTCAAACCACCTTTATAGTAATAGGAAGATACCGTAAAAGCACGTTATCTGCTACTCAAACTGGGAAGCATCCCGAATCATCCAGTCGAGGGAGACGGTGCTTCAAGCGTTGACGTTGAGCCAACTAGTTGCTTCCAAAACCACGCACCCCAAACCTAACAATTAATAATAAATGCTGAGCCAAAAGAAGCGACCCGATGAAGAAACATTTCATGATATTTCCAGAATCCATCTTTGATAATCATGATCGCTTTGTACCATCAGAGATATTTCAACACCCAAACCCTCATGGCAGCTTGCAAGAGCAAATCAAGACCAGCTTCCCAGGGACTATCACATCCATACTACTCTTCATTTACTAAAGTAGACCCCGATTAAGCTTCTCTCCACATCCCGTCATAAACCAACTTCACAATCAAGATCAACTCAACGCAGTCAATTGATTAACTAGGCAACACGGAGAGAAAGCTATTTTTAAAATCCTGGAAGGACCCTACAAATCGTCGAGCTAAAACGATTGCAGCAAAGACGATAGAGGTGGCTAAAAACGGTGTGGAGGGCATTGAGGAGAAGGAATTCACCGCAACACGAATAAGTAAATTTAGCAAGGCTTATAAGAAGGGGCAAAAGCGAAGACGGGAGGCGGAGGAAGCGGGAACCAAAAGTAACACTTCAATCCTCAAAGGCAAGAATGCTTTACTAGAACTAGCAGCCCCTTTCAGTGGATTCGGTTTTTATTTTGGCAGCTTCTAGCACGCTACCCTTTTCTTTGGTACTTCCGTCTTCCGTCTAAACACTAGACCAAAAATAAGCCTAAGAAAACAACTTTTGAATCCCCTCCTGTTTCCTTCGCAGTCCACGTGAATTACCAAATAACTACGTGATAGCAGCAGAACAAAACCATCACGTGTGCACAAACACTTCGACCTTAATTGCTACTTCGTTCCTGAAAGCAGACCGTCATCTTCGAGAGAGAGAGAGCTCCTCTCTAAGACCCATCTCCGCATGACCTCCAAAGCTTTCAACTTAAAAGCCTATCCTCACCGCCTCACCAACTTATTAAAAGTTCACCAGTATACAATCCCCCCCCCATCACTTCCCAAAAAAACTATTACACATACAAACTCCAAACCCGCCCTGTGTACCATCCATCCCGTCCCATTCCCATCCCACCCAAGCCTCAGCTCCACAACCCCAAACTCTATTTCCCCTCTAACCCAATTACCTACCATCGACGATCCATCCATCCACGGAAACCAACAATCCCGAAAACTGCGGCAACCAACATCCCGCATTCGTTCCGTCGATCATACATTCTACCTTCCTTCCTTCTCCACTTCCCCTCCCCAAGTAATGAAGTCATAGACATGTTCCTGTACTAAGAAACCCCCTAGGCTGAATACGCTTAAATATGGCTAGTGAGCTAGCTTAAGCTCCTCGTCTAGTGGCATCTAGCGTCATGTAGATCCGTCGATCTAGGCTAGTTGCCATGCATATTCGGTAGCTAGTGCGATTTGATCAGCAGACGCGTTCTTTGGAAAACCTTCGATGAAGGTTAAAAGATTTGGTATCTTGTGGTAGCTTGCTAGCTGAGTTCCTCGTTGGCATGGATTATGAGAAGAGGATCCTTGTATACGGAACACGAGGCTTGGTTTTTCGACGTCCTTTGGATTAAAGATCATCATGAAGAAAACAAGGCCCTAGGCAATTCTTCGCCACTCACTGAATGTTTTCGATGCTCGGATATTTTTCTTTTTTCGCTTATTATACAATTTCTGTAAAATTTAATCTACAAACGTGAAATGAATGTCCAAATACTCATCCAATGACAATCGTGCAAATACACTAACCCTTACTATTTGCTTGCTACTCCAAAGTGATGCTCAATTTCCTTTGGTCTCTCCGCCAAGGCCGTACCTCTTTGAATATCCTCACTTCTCCTGCGGACATCGACATTTCTCTTCCCCCAAGATTTTGGGCTACTGCCTATGAACCCACCTGAGCTTCGTCTCTTTTCTCTCATATTCCGTAGATATCTTGTGGCTTCACCCTCTACTGGGACGGATTTCTTTCCGTCATCACCTTTTACCCTTCCCAAAAGGCTTGATGTGCTTGAGTTTGAGGTATTTCTGTAATGCGACGGTCCTCTGTCTTCGAGTGAAGAGGTACTATCCAAACCACCATAACCTGAATCTCGAGTTGGTGGCCTTTCATATGTTTGTTGATGTGTAATTGGTTTTCTCGGAAATGATGCCGAATACACATCGTTCAGCTCACGAGCATGCACTGAGTCCGAGGTCGAAAGACCATCGTACAGCTTCTTCTCGCGCAGTTTTGCCATGTTAGTATCTATATGATCAACGCTGTTATATTCAGCTGCTTGCGCGCGCTCAAGATCACAAAGTTCCTTAATCGTCCTCTCCTTCCGTGGAGGCGAGTTTGGTGTTTTCGTTGCGATATGTTCCTTTCCAGCAGGTACGTGATTCCAGTACATAGGTGTTGTCAGACCCGCCTTGTAAGCACCAGTTGCACGAACAGGAGGATGCCTCCACCAAGTTTCCTTGCGTGGGAAACCCTCTGCAGTAATGTACTCTCGCTCCATGACTTTTACTGGCTCATCAGGCACATGAGACCATTGTATCTGGCCTTTCGAGTTTGGCTGAAAGTGTATTGTGTAATTTGTATTTGGTAGTTCAGGCTCTACCCCAAACAATGGTGAATCAAAGGCATCTTCAGCAGGAGCTGGTGGGTGCTGAACAATGGACCAACTTGGGGAATAAGACCCTGTGACCGTGTAATGGTGCACCATAGACTCCGGTATTTTAATCAGCGTATCTCCATCATCACCGTAAACGTAATGTTTGGCAGGTAAGATCTCGGTATCAATGACAGGAAGAACTCGATGATAGTAGTGATGTTGATGAATCTCTCGGGTGATTTCTCTCGTTATGACCTCGTGTTGTGTAGGTAAAACATATTCATGAGTGACAGCTAATGAGAACAATAAATCAGCTCCTGCTATTGTTCGATAGAGATTCTGCAAAAAAAAAAAAAAAAAAAAAAAAAACAAAAACAAATTTTTGGGCGCACAAAGAATGGTGAAGCAGGTGAATTTAGCAGTGAGGGGTTTGAGTTTTAAGGATAAAAGTTCGTTTGACCTTGAACTTCAACGAGCAAGAAGGGGTTGTATGTACCAGGTGCAACTGTTTCGTGTGTAGTAGTATCCATGGTATTGGTAAGATCCACTACACCTTCAAGGCTGATGGGCTCCGCCCTCTCTTCGCCCAGATAAGACTCCTTTACTGGTGATGATGTCTGCTTCTGTCCATTTGCAATTGGAAACTGGGCGCCTTTGATATGCATGTCATCTTCACCGACTGCATTCTCGGTTCTGTCGTCGCTAGGGAAAATAGAATACTTTGGTGGTGATGGGATCGTTCGAGGGGTTCTCTCTAGGACCTTACTAGAAACACCATCACTTGAAGACAAATTGTGGTTTTGTCTTATTGACGTGGGAGTAGAGGTTGGATTAGAAGTGCCTCGATCCTGCACCGATTCAGTTCGTAATGTGTCTTTCATTGTGGACAAATTGGTTGGTTTGATGCTATGCTTCGCGATGCGATACTGGTCGAATTGTATGTAATTGTGTAAATACAGATGCTCGAAGACGAGTTTCTCGGATTAGCCCACTGAAGGCCATCGCTCGGACAGCGAAGACGAAAAAATCCACTTTCGCATGAGGGACAATCTTTCTAGATCGTCTTCATGATGAAGATCAAAGTTACTAAGCAGCACTATCAGAGATATGTCATCTATATTGTGGCAAGTACATATTAGCGGAGTAAAACACCCTCTAGTAAGTCTAAGGCCATCCTTAGTCGAGAATCGACAAGAGAACGGAGAGACTTCGACACAGCTTGGATGTGGAATGAAGCTTTTTGTTGTGTGACTGTGTCGTCATCTCTAGGAATGGAACCCCGAGTCTAGAACCTCCAAACCTTTCAGTTTCAGCCACATCGTAATGTATTAGAAAATAGAATAGTTCAGATCAGATTGAGAGTTCTCCATAGCCAAATTTAACCTTCTCCATATATTCTCACTCTGCTAGTCATTGTATAATTTCTAGAAGTATCCCGTCCACCTTTCATATTGTCGTAGGCATCAGATATCGATATATCAAGGATTCGGCACAACTAACTGCGTAGCTTTCTTACAAACTTGTTTGGCTAGTGATCTTTTGCGAAGCAGTAGACTTCTTCATGTCGCAGAAAAGTAGGATCTCGTCGTAGATCCAGAGGATGTTCATGGAAAGGACTTCATCCCACGCCTAGATATAACCATCCAGATGGAGCCCCTTTTGGGTCTGCTCTCAAGTATTCTTTCGATTCCGCGATGTCTCGATGACCCTGGAGGTGTGGAAGCTCTTGTTGATGAGTCCTGTTCGATATTTTCGTTGCCTCTATTCATTTCTCCATTGTTATCCTCGGCCTTAAATGCTTGGCCAGTTTTGCTACATCATCGACCTAGAAGTTGTGTGCGAGTCCGAGAGTTGGAGATTTTGCTAATGGCATTTCTCTTAATCCGTGAGTCTGATTTTTCGATGACGTTTTGAAGATCCTATGTTTTGATTCTGGAAGCCATTGATTAGGCCAGCCAGCATGTCTCGGATCAAGTCGCGGCGTTTCGGAGATATGTTTCCGGTGGGGGATCTTCGAAATGCTTGTGTGTGATCTTTATCTGCTCAACCAACCCCTTTTTCCTCATGTAACAAAAGAACACAGTTTTGATATATATATATATATATCACAATTCTATATTACAAGATGAATGGAATACTTTTCATTTAAGATGCAAAACACCACATAAACACGTCAAAATTTGCAGTCAATCTGCTGCTGCTGCCCTACAGAATAATCTCAATTCCAACTACCAGCAAGAGGAATATTATGCTTGATTCCTCTAGCATGCCAATTAGGTAAAGCTCTACACAAATCTGGAATAGTTTTAGCATAGTTGCATTGATGTTTGATATGCATTAGCAAGTCATTAGACAGTTCAACAGGTACCTGACCCCTTGCAAAAGATTTTAGCTAGTACTTTACATTTACTTGAAGAATAATGATCTCAAATTCCTTGTCTTTGACTGTCCCCATCTTGAATGAGCTCGAGGTTCATAGGAGTAGAAATCTTTAATCCATTGAATTATTGGCATTCCTGAACTTTAGGTGACAAGGAACAAAAGATCCTAACAAGTAGATTTCAGCCACTCGTACACATTCTTTATATCTACCATTTGCTCTTTGGATGAGATATAATAAAGCTCCTTACAACTTAAAAAACAACAAATACATGTGATCAGCCACATTACTACCGCGGAGTCCATTTTCCCGTGTTCGGGAAAATCCGATGGCCGGGCACAATGATGCAACTTTTGAGTTTCCCATTAAATCGATGATGGCAGAATCCAAAGAACCATGCATGGCATTCGACATTCAACACTCCCGCAACTGAATGTACTCGTGAATCGGTCTTGATTTTTGAGCGTCTGTTATAATTCCAAACTTCAAAGTACCAAATCAATGTGACCTGTACTTGTAAATCGGTACACTTATCATGTAATGTAGGAGTCACAGCTAGCAATTCGACCTTCTTAAGGGAATTCAGATTTGATTAAGTTTCTAGGCACAGGAGTCAATTGCGATGTTCAAGGAGTGATTCCTCAATTCGCCTATGACGGTGGATAGTAATCAGTTGGTTCCTGCCATTTCTACTTGCCCAAGAATCAACCAAGGGCCCATTCTTGGGCCAGTGCCAAATCCAAAGATGCCAATAAAGTTGTGTGGGCTTTATCGGAGAAATACATACCAATGACCTATTATTGGACGAGAATCTGGGAAGTTCATAGTATGATTTCAAAGTGGAGATAATGTGCGTAAGTGTGCCATTAGACCTTACGGCACATATTCTCAGTCTTTGTCTCTCATGTAAAAGATTACATTGGGATTCCAAATGAATCTCCGCTGGTCGGTCTAGCCTAGTCTCATCGTTGATGCACTGCCACTTGGTAATGACTTTCTTCGATCTCAGGAAACCAAGGATATGAAAGATACAGCTTTTAGAATCTGGAAAGACCAACTACCTAGTTGATGATGTAGGGCAGCGTGCGGGGCAACAAGAGCTACCACCTTAGAGCTCCTCGAGACTATAAGTGGTGAACATTCCTCCCAATTCATTTTGGTCTTCATCAAAACACACAACAAACGACAATCAACACTTTTCTTCTTAATTTAAACTTATACCCACAATTCACCACAATTCTTTCATAAACAACCCATTTAATCAAAATGGATCGTGCCAAGGCAGCCGTCAGTGATTTCCTCTCCAAGGACGGAAAGCATGACACTACAGTTCATGAGGTATGAGTGCTTACCCCTTAATCCACATTCTAGGGAAATCCTAATGACATTTTGCAGACTGTCAACCCAGCCGTTCAAAACGAGAAAGTAATCAAGACACAACACGAGGAAGCAACCACAGCTGTTGACCGTGAGATTCATCAAGATCATCACCACACTTCAGTTCAACCTATCAAAGATCATGAAGTCCTTCCTGAGCAACATTCCCATAAACTTGGAGCTGTGGAGCACCGTAACATCCAGCACGGAAGCGATGCTCAGGTCAAGGATCGCCTGGCCGCTGAACAAGCTCAATTCAAAAACACCAGATCTGTAGGAGAAACTCAACATACTGCCTCGCAAGGTGGCACCGTTGCTGGTGAACATGTTCATCACCATGTGCATGAGACCATCCAGCCAGTTATCCAAAAGGAGACTGTTCAACCATCCGTCGTCCACACCACCATTCCAGTTCACGAAGTTCACCAAAACGAGCCTAAGCACCACACAGCTACCTCTCTCCCAGCTGTCAGTATGGATGAATTCAGACACCAGGGAGGCGCTCTTGGAGGGCGTGAGGAGCGTACTGATGCTTTCAAAGGCGAGCCAAAATCCGTAGGGGGCACTCTTGGAGGCGCTGGCGCTAGAGGCACTACTTCTTTGACTGAAAACGGTGCTCATGGACATCACTCTGGCTCACACACTGGCTCTCACACCGGTGCTACTGGTGCTGGTATCGGCTCGGCCACCGCTGGCAATGTCCACCACACCACCTCCAACACCTCTACCGAGTCTCATAAGAAGCCTAGCTTGATGGATAAAATTAACCCAAAGATTGATGCCGACGGTGACGGAAAGGCCGGCTTCATGAAATAGATGCTCTTTGTAACTGTCCCTAATATCCTCCCAAGTATTCCAATTGTTTTTCGCTAGCACCATACTGTATATAGATACGATGACCACGAGATAATTAATTAAGCATGAATTTTGATGCCCTTTCAAAGTATTGCAATAATCCCATCTTGTGATGATTTCAATTAACGCGTCTTGTGGTTATGAGCTTGTGAAGCCTTCCACGTATTGTGACAAATTTTAACGCATCTTGGTGAACTGGTTGAGAGTCAAGATTTCCCATAGAACAGGATGGAACTACGTAACTCGGTTGGTCCTCGGCATTTTTCGATTATGTAAGCTTCCTTTCATTTCTTTTGTCGTTCAACAACACAACCAATCTCAGCAGAAGCTATCGTACGAGGAGGAAAGCCCTCCCAAATACCGAACATCAAGTTCCTAGACACTCAAGGTCCTGTTTTCTATTTTTATCAATCGTCTCGGGTCAACCGTTATTTGAATCACATGATTAAGCATTTGCACAGAGAAAACATCTCGGGATTTGAAATTCTGCAAGCAATGCAACGTCGAATGCATCATTTATCAACTTGCAGGAGTGCCTGGGTTTTCTTTACTATGTTCCATTCTGTCTTATTGGCCTTTCGAACATGAATCATAGATTGGTTTAACAAACGCCGGTTAGGATGCCAACTAGTGCTGAGATTTGGTAACATTTGCCTCAATGATCTAAGAGATTGCTCTGAACTTTCCGTGCTGTCGTATGATCATGCTTGTCGGTGTCTCCACATCGGAATGGACCGCTTGGTGGTCTTCACGCAAAATCAGAAATGCGGGGAGAAGTTGTACTACATACCGAGCATCCGCCGATAGTCAACATGTAGCAAGCTCAAACGGCTAATCTTCTGGAATTGAAGATTTTGTGTCGAGCATCTTCGATCAGAGCAGCTTCACTCTATATCGTGTTATATATCCGAGATCTTAGCAAGTTGCAAGACATGGTGCATACGACATGGGCTATACTTCTACCCCTCACCCTTCCAGGCCCTCCTACATGTTGCCGTTGTGAAATCGAGGCGGGATTTGAACTAATCGTATGACATGATTGAGATACGTGAAATCACGAATTCCACTCTCCAATGTATTGATGATAACCATTGAATTAGCTGTATAAAGACTTGACTTCCTCCATGTAATTCTCCTCTTCACCACACAATCTTCTCATCATTTCAAACTCACGATCAACAATCAACGCCAACCATACCAAACATCAAAATGCCTGCTCAAATCAAAAAGTACAAGGCTGCAGCTGTCCAAGCTGAACCCGGATGGTTCGATCTTGAGTTGTCTGTAAAGAAAACTATCCATTGGATCAACGAGGCCGGCAAAGCAGGCTGCAAACTTGTTGCATTTCCTGAAGTTTGTAAGCATATCCACTCCTGATTTGGCTCATCACATTTGACTCACGCACTGTTAGGGATTCCTGGCTATCCATACTGGGCATGGAAGGTCAATTATCAACAATCTCTTCCTATGATCAAAGCCTACCGCGAGAACAGTCTCCCGTCTGATTCGGATGAGATGCGCCGAATTCGTGAAGCTGCCCGTGAGAATGCTATATACGTCTCATTAGGATACAGTGAAATTGATTTCGCATCTCTTTACATCTCCCAAGTCCTCATATCACCTACTGGAGAAGTTCTCAACCACCGAAGAAAGATTAAGCCTACCCATGTTGAGAAGCTTATTTATGGTGATGGATCAGGTGATACCTTCAAGAGTGTCGTTCAGACAGACATTGGAAGAGTAGGACAGTTAAACTGCTGGGAGAATATGAACCCATTTTTGAAGGCAATGAATGTCTCCGAGGGAGAACAGGTAACACTATATTCTTCAAATGCTTCCATAACCCATTTCTCACAATTCATCAGGTCCACATTGCCGGCTGGCCAATTTACCCACACGAGGAAACTCGTACTCCTTTAGACCCATGGACTAATGTCAGCAACCCCAACTCCGATATTGTTTCTCCAGCCTACGCCATTGAAACTGGAACTTACGTCCTCGCACCATTCCAACGTATTTCCAAGGAAGGTGTAGACAAGAACACCCCACCTGGAGTCGAGCGTGAGGATCCAAACATCTACAACGGCAACAGCAGAATCTTCGGACCTGACGGTCAACTCCTCAGCAAGGCCGATGAAGACTTTGAGGGACTGATGTTCGTTGAGGTAAGATCGGCAGCCTTTTACTCATTCAAGAAACCAATCTGACAATATTCCAGATCGATCTTGATCAATCACACCTTCCAAAGGCTCTCGGAGACTTTGGTGGTCATTACATGAGACCTGACCTCATCCGTCTCCTCGTTGACACACGCCGCAAGGAACTTATCACCGAGGCAGACCAAGATGGTGGAATTGGTACTTACAACACCCAAGATCGTGTTGGACTTAACAGACCTCTTGATGCTCCTAAAATTGATGGTCCAAGCGGGGTTAGCAAGCAAGTGCTTTCCAAGAAGGCTTCTCCCAAAGCCTAAATATCTATTTATGTTCTTAGCCTTTTGATTGTGAGGATGATACCTGCTTTAATAGCATTCACCCACTATCAAGAATATTACGCTGTATGTTTAGGAAAAGTTGTATATTAGTCTCATCTCATTTCATGCGCTCATATGAATTGTTGGTACTGGCCGATTTCGCTTGACCATTAGCACTTGAAAGGCATTAATAGTCAAATTTTGGTAAATTTTGACACCTCTTAGAAACCTTTTCTTCCTCAAGTCATTTAATCATAAGGTATACAAAGCTACCCAGGACACCCAAAAGTCTGGTATGTTCTTGCCATATGAGACTAGTCATTGAGCTGCCACATTTTATGTCTTTGTCCTGTCGTATTTCAATTGGAAGCAGCCTACAACATTCACCATGGGACAAAGGAACTCACCTTACCTTGTTCATCCTACAACGCCTAGGTACCGTATAACTCCTGCAATTGTTCAATTCATCTCTTTGAACACCAAAGATTATTTGATCCATTATCAACACCTTCAAGCATAACCTTCTTTGGACAAAAAAGAATCATCATAGGATATCGATGACATTCACCGTTCATGAAAATCCAAAAAATGTCAGATTACAATTTCGACCACTCAGATATAACTCAGGTGCAGATCCAGCATCTCCAACGCAATCCACTCGAAGCTTGCCAGCGTGAAAATGCCTCTCTTCATATCAGGTTGGAAACTTTTAACCGCATGCTCCTTGAAGCTAAAGAGGAGTCCGAAACAAGGTTAAATCGTATTAAAAAGGTGAGAGATGAAAGAAATGCGGCTTTTAATGAGGGAGAAAAGTATGCGAGGAGAGAGATTGAAGTGGAGATGGGGATTTTGAAGAAAGAGCGGCATGACGCGGAGATGAAGGGTAAGAAATTGGAGGAGAACGAGGCAAAAACCCAGGAGATGATCAAGGAGCTGGAGCTGGAATTAGAAGAATTGAGGAAGGGAACGGGTGCAGTGGAAGGAGTGGACGTAGGGTTGATGAATTCTTTGAGGGAGGAGAGGGATAGATATGAAGAGGAGCTCAATGAGGCAAAAGAGGTTATCATGGGAAAGGAACTTCATATACAGCATTTGAAGGAGGAAACAAGGAATGTGTCGGCTAATGCAGCTGATACCCCTCCTGTGGAGAGTGCGCGGATACAGGCTCTTACAGATCAACTTCATGCATTGATGGCAGAGAGGGATGATATAAGACAACAGCTGGAGATTGTGACGGAAAATCTCGTGGGTGGTACGCCAACGGAGCTTACGACTAAAAAAGAAAAGTCAAAGACTACATTAGGCAAGGATAAAGAGCCGGAGATTAAGAGTTTCAGCCTTGGTACAGAGCCAAGTAAGGCCAACTTCCATGCTAAGAGGAAGAGCTTACATGTACCCTCTCCTCTAAGACAATCTACCACTCCCGAATCAGAAGAAGATGAAAGTGATGGACAGCGAGAGAACAAAGAAGATGAAAAAGTTGATGAGGAAGAGGAAAGATTAAAGCAAAGTATCGAAACTGATGAAAAGGATGCAGTAATGGGAGATCAGCCACAAGACAGAGAATTCCTTTCACAACGACTACTTATTACTCGAATCAAAAAGCTCGAGAAAAGGAATATGCATCTTGAACGCAGTTACGACAAGTCTCACGTAATTCTTGCAATCCTCAGCCTTACTCCCGTCCACTTCGAAGCATTTCGTCAACGCAAAGAGAGTAAGAGGAAAGAAGGTCTGGTATTGCTTGATATCATGAGTAAGGAACGCAATTTTTTAAGGAACCAGAATCGAAAACTCGAAAAACAACTGCAGTTATTGGCTGATCTTCGACGTGAGAAAATGGGAGAAGACACGGGAGACGTACAGGACTTTATACTCATGCAAGATCGATATGATGCAAAAGAGGAATCTACGAAGTTATATAAAATATCATACGAGAAGGCGGAATACGCCATGAAGGATATGATAGAGGATGGCGCCAACGTGGATGCTAATGAAGTTTTAGAGTTACGTAAGGAGAGAGATCTTCTTGTGAAGCGAAACGAGGAGTTGGAAGAGGAAATTAATGGCCCATTGGGATTGAGGGAACAATTGGCCTTTAGTGTTGCCGAAGATACAGAAGATATTGACATGGCCACTCAATTAACACGAGTCAAGGCTGAGCTCGAATGCCGCACAAAGGAGAGAGATGCAGCTATTGAAGAGTCCAAAGTGGGAGAAAATCTCACATCTATCAAAGAACTAATGGATCAGTTTTCTGAGAATCTCGAAGCTGATATTGACCTGATTGAGGAGAAAGATGAACAAGACAAGGAAGTGGCAAAGAAATATCGTCAATGTCAGCGTGAATTAAGCGACGAGAAAGAAAAGGTCAAATCTCTCGAGAAGTTTATAGAGGATAAGTATATGGAATACGAAAACCTTGCCGGCAATGTGCATGATGATTCTCTCAGTGCAAGATTGGCTCGAACATTGATCGAACTCTATCAGACGAAGCGGAAATTGATGGAAAGAACAATACAGAGGAATAGTCTTATCATGAGCGCTGTGGCATATTTAGCGACTGTCTTAGGGGAAAATGAGACGTTGCAGCAGAAAATATACATCCTCCAAAAACATCCAAACCACGATCCTCGAATACCTTTCAAAGACATCAATTTGGAAAATGAGCAGATGATCATCACACTTCGAAAGGAGATTCATTCTGCTAGGGAAGATTTCTATAAGGCGGGATGTGAAGCCTATAAGGCGGACAAGAAGGCGAAGAGAGCGAAAGAAAGATTGGCCCAATATATTGAGATGTCTGCATTTGGACGAGAATCTCATCCCAGGGTCCAAGCTCTGAGGCATGATAGAGATAGAAGTCCTCCGGACCCCAATGCCACTGATCCGGAAGTTATTGAGCACTTGAAAACTCAGCTTAAAGACGCTGATGATTTGATGGATTTGATTGTTGCAAGGTACCGAGTTTTGGAGAATGAAAATGGAGAGCCGAATACTGAAAGGGTGGAGGTAGCGGAGAGGAGATTGGAGGAGTGCATGGATCTGGTGGATGGACCGTTAGGTCAAAAAGAGGCATTTGATAATCTCAAGGCGCTGTTGAGTGAGTCGAGGGAGGCGTTGAAGGTTAAAATGAATGAGTGGAATGAGAAGGATAAGGAGCGTGATTGGGCTGTTGAGAGCTTGGAGAAATTGCTGAAGGAGAGTGAAGAAAGGGAAGCGGCGCTCGCTGGGCTTCTACATGCCACACAAGAGGATATGAGGAGGGAAGGTAAACGGGCTGCTAAGGTCGCAGAAATTGAAGAAAAATTGGCCAGGAATGAACAAAGAATACAGGATCTACTTCGGGAGAGGGATGAGCATAAAGCCGAGGCTGATGGATTAGAGTCCTTTCTCCGGGCTAGCGAGACGCAGATGACCCAACTCGAAGAACATATCAGCAAGAGCGAAGAAAAACTCCGAGCCTTGCAACAGGAGAATGAGAATCAAAAAGCTGAAGCTGAGAGACTGGAAGATCTCCTCAAAGCTATTGAAACAAAAACAGCGGAATCTTTCACAACATTAAGAGACGAGGAGGAGGAGAAGTACCGAGGAGAGATCGAAAAATTACACCAAATTCTGCTATTGAAAGAAGAAGAAGATGAACAATTCCGCGAAGAAATTGAGAGAGTGCATGAGCTTCTTGATATGTCATTAACAACATCAAAACGATTGTCTGATCTCGAGACTGAAATCACAAGATGGAAAACTGTTGCCGAGGAAAGCATAAGAGAAATTGAGGAGCTGCAAAAGAAGTTAGAGGATTCAAAGGCAGAGGTTGAATTACTTCGTATAACGAATAATCAAAATTCAGAGACGCAAACAGAAGAGCCCATCGCCGCAGACATGGAAATACAAACAGATAGCCTTAGAATTGCGCAGTCTCCAGTCTCAACTTCCCCTGCTCCTCCAATTTCTGCGGTACCGGCACCTAAATCGAAGAAATCTAAAAAGAAAGCCGTCCAAAAGAAACCCATCACAAAGGAACCTCGAGACTCGAGATACCATCCCAGCAAAGGCCCAGGCTCCGAACCATCAGATGAAGAATTAGAAAGTCCAAAAGCGCCCAAACCACAAGCAAAACGAAACATCTTGCTTCAGCAAGAAATTGCTCGTCCGGCTCCATCCCCCTCCCCAGCTCCTTCTCTAACAATCAAACTTACGTCTAAAGCCCACGCAAACAAAAAGAAAGGGGAAAGGAAAGATAGAGGGGAACATGATCCGGCTTATAAGAATGAGGCCGGAGCGGAGTCTGAAGATGAAGAGATACCTCCAGCAGAGGTGGTGCAAGAGTCGCCGGTGGAAGATAAGGTGGAGGTGGATGGACCCAGGAGGAGTAGGAGGACGAGGAATCCGAATCCAGTTTATACAGGGGAAATCATTGTAGAAGAACTAGGGGTGGGGCAAAAGAGGAAAGCTGATGGGCGTGGGAATGATGAGAGGGGGCAAAAGAGGAAAGTGGTTGAGGGTGGAGATATTGGGAAAGGGAAGAGGAGTAAAAAATAGAATGGACAAGGTATTGTGGGTGAGGGTGGTTTTATTTGTTCTTGGATATTGATAGGTACTCGTCTTGGAAATGTACAATCGGATCATGTCGGTTTTTTTGTATGCTAAAGGATATGAAGTTGAAGTTTAGGAATTACACTGATATTGGTACCATGTTAATGTGAAATTCCACCTCAATGAGTCATATATGGAAGCTTCTACGGTAATGGAAGGCCTCCATGTCCAGATCCACTTGGTGATCGTAGAGCCCCACTGAGTGCGGCGAGGTACATATTAAGCCACGCCCACTAAATACCCCGATCGTCGAGATTATCCTACATTGAAAAGTATCAATAATCTGTGCATATATCTTCCCGAAAGCAATTGATTTTTTGCTCAAGTCTGTTGTGAGACTCCCACAAGATGATTGATCAAGAACAAGCAGAAGGAAAGATTTACCAGTGCAAATCCTGGGGAGGTATTAACGAAACATTGATGGCGGAAGGAATTCGCGGATATATTCATCGTCTGCGTCCAGCTCTTCAAGATCATGACAGGGAAGAAGCCATTGAAATTTCTGTAATTTAGGAAAATGAAAACAATGTTTGAAAGATTATCGGCAGCTGACATTAGGGTGACGGCATGAAAGTGTGCTACAGAAGTAAACTATTCCCAATTCCAGCTCCAATCAATGATTGCCAACCACGCACTGCGACGGCGAAGTGCATGTGATAACCCGCCGCCAATAAATAATAAGCTGACTTCCCAGCCCTCCGAGCTTTGGAGTAGCATCCTTTACTTTTCAACTTGCCAAAATATCTCCCTAGAAGCATTTTCTTGACTGACAACATAAGGCTAGTGGTCCTGTCAGCTCGTCTAAATTAATCGTAATCGATTACATCAACCAAATGGTTCATCCTAGCCAAGTGGAGGGGAAACTTTATGTCTTCCTGCCCAAGGCTGAGCTTAAGGAAATGGATATTACCCTCGATACGAATGTAACAGATATTGTGCGCATACACAAGGTTATCTGTCTTGGAACTGTGCATGGTAGACCGGATTATGTGAAAGTAATGACTGTTTGTCCCACTACATATCCCCCTTAATGATTTAACAAATCTAATCTGAAGCCTGCAGATCACAACAAAAGTCATAGAAAATCATGATTACGTGCCTATCTCTCCTACTCGGAAGAAGCCCTACGACATCCAGATCAAGCTACGCAATAACCTTGGCTGGGGATACTCTCGTGGGCAACCGGCCATTTTTATCACTACGTTACCCGAACTCTCATATCTCAAGATCGACGAGTTCTACGAGGTCCCAGTTGAAGCACTTAGGGAAGCAACAGATGATTACGAAAACCCATTATCTATTCCAACTAGACATCATGGAGGGCTAGCTGAGCTCAAAAACCACATTAGATGTCGTGATAAAGCCTGCAACAGCGCCGCAGCATATCAGCAGATGCATGAACGGGAGCTGCTTGAGGTAACAGAAAACTTATCCTTGAACTCTGAGCAGCATAATCACGGCTGAGAAGTTCCAAGGAAGTACGGACCTTTCAATCATTGCATCATATCTATCGACTATCGCTAGATCTGGTTTCATATCATAGGATACCATAGCTATCCAGGGATATGTATCTGTTCGAGCAACTGAACAGATAACTCACTTCGAGCTCCAAAGAGCTTGGTGTGGGCAGAGCATAGCTAGGATTTCTAGTATAGCCTGCTTGACTATGTGATGAGGCATCATTTAGTCAAATTGGGGGTCTTCAAATATTGATGGCTGCGGGACAAGGGAAAAGAAGAGTCGAGTAATCGAGCTTGATTTACGAAGGAATACACTGATACACTCATTTGGTTAATTTTGGGCTTTGATTTAGTTCTAGAACAGATACACTCTTTTGATTTGTGATTGTGGCAGTATTATTTATCCCGATGGAAAAGAATCACTATCATTGAGCCGAGGCGGGAAGGTCACTGAGCATTCAACATGTATCCAAAGCTCCCTTCTATTTTCATTTGAACAAATATTCTTAAAGTCCCTTGAAGAGAAGAATTTTCGTGATCTTGATGGGTGTAAATTTGCCATTCAGGTTCTATTTTCCTCGTGATGTACTCAATTACCCTTAAAGCGTTGTCCCTAATATAGATTCCCTATTTCCTACAATAATTATTTCCTGTTCTGTCATTATTCCCCAAGCCTCTCGTTTTCATTAATTCCTTCACTCAATACTAGGTAGTCTAATCATCAGTGAAAGATCCCTCCCATTCATCCTCAAGGTCTTCTTGATCTGTCCAGCCCATGTCATCCTCCTCATAATCTTTCCCTTTCCATTTTCCCTTTCCTTTATCATGATGAACTATCTCATCGTCTGATATCTCGCTTTCACTAATGCTATTATCCCCAGCAACGGTAAAATCATCGCCATTCTCTTCATCCTCCCCTACATTGACAATCTCAAACTCACTCTCACTCTCACTCTCACTCTCACCCCCACTCCCCATTGGCGTCATAACAGCCATATCATAACTCTTTGTTGAAGAAACGCTCCGTACATCACCATCACTAGCCACCCGCACCTCACTTTCAACATCACTCCCAATATCACCCCAAGCTTCACTCCCAGCATCACCCCAAGCTTCACTTCCCGCAACTGTAGCCGTCCGATTACTCCCATCCCTAACAACCAAACTAGTATTAACAGAGCTCCCCACATATCCCGCTACCCCTTTATACTGTACACCTGGCGTAAGACCACCAACATTAGCATAATAAGCTGGCGGAACATCCGCGCTCGTAACACCTCCACTTCCATCGTCGTTTCCGCCTGCCCATAAGGGTAGATATTGCCATTCATTATCTGTCAGGCAGAGTAATGTATTTGTCAATATTGTGAATTCTGATCCATCAGGTTTGGAGAGCATGGAGAGACAGATATCTTCAATGTGATGACCGAGTTCTTTGAGGAAAGTAGAAAGATCGAAATTATGGGCTTCATCTATGTCTGGCTGATTGGGGCTGGGATCCGGGTTGGCTGAGAATGGCTTGGGATTGTTAGCGAAGGAAAACTGAGAGCTATCTTCCACTAGGCGTGCTTGAAGATAAGCATGATTCTGGTTGTAAGCACTCATGAATGCATAATTTGGTCTTCCCTCATTCATGCTCTTAGTGTTAGGTGGTGCTATTGTGGAAGCCGGATCCGAAGGCGAGGACGAGTGATAGTTTTCCTTCCCGCCCTCAAGATTGACCTCACGATTGAATTCACTGACATAAATTTCAAGGTGACGAGGATTTATTCTGCGAATGGTGTCTCTATCGACAAGAAATTTCCCCCAACCAAGTAATTGCGGGTCATATAGGGCAAACCTGGGGCTCTCCATTGAAATGTCATCCCAATCGACATCTCGAAGGCGACGCCAAAAGTATGGCAGTAAGACTCTTTCACGAAATCCAAGGCCGTTATAGATGTAATTTGCATCCGGTACATCTTTCGTAACAACTTCTGGTATATCCCATTGAACTTGCCGCTGATTGTTGTTCGCCTGAGTAATCTCGAAGGATTTTAATCCTTGGTTCAAACAGATAATAATTTTCGCTCGAACATAACTACGAAGATTGACGAGCAGCTGCTGAATAACTGACTTCCTTCTCTCATATACAGCCTTTTCTATCTTGCCGGTGTCTTTCTTCTTGTAGCAATAGTCTTCAAACTTGCATATTTTTCTATACTCTGGTAGTTCTAGGAACCAAGCCATTCTTTCATCCAACAGATCGGTAACAGTTTTCTGGATACGATCGCAAAAGTCCTGACTTGCATGTTGAATAACGTTCAACAAATCTTCATCGAGCTCCTCACGAGGTCGAACATATTTGTATGCTGCTTGCCTGTCATCATAGCTTTTACATAGAGTTCGTGAAGCCACATTAAGTGCCTCCTCAGAAACAAGAGTGGAAAATGCAGCTCTCGTTATCATAGGTATCTTCAGGCCAAGCCCAATATTCAAACTGGCTTCGGGAAGTATTTCGACAAATTTGGTATTGCTACCGTCCATGATCCATGAAGTAATATAGTCAACCTAGTTCCAAATTAGGAAATAGAAACGTAAAATTCGTGATGGGGTTCTTACCACAACACTTGTACATTCATAATACTTCGCCAAAACAAATAAAGTCCATACCTTTGGCGCCGAGTCCAGTTTAGGCACTTTACCTTGAATGATCCTGAGAAGATTTTCGATTCCTACTCTGTGCCGGATTGGGCTGTAGTCCAGTACCTCCTTCTTCAATCCTGTTTGGGGAAAGTCTTGACGAACAATTCCATTAAGTGCATGTCCTTCTAAGCTATTTTTGATACCTTTTTGCATTTCACAATCATCCACAAAATCCCCCCCGCTACACGCGGTTTGTTTAGGTATTTTGCGACCTAAAGATGTACGAAAAAATTCATCGTTGAAGCGCGAGTCAATCGTGGGGTCTAGAGGGCTGAAGACGAGGTGAACGACACCGGCTGCAGAATTTTTCACTCGGAGTTGCTCAGCAGCTTTGGCTGGTACAATCGCAGGCCCCGGAATATCATCATCGCCGGTAACCAGCTGATTTTCGACACCACAGCGTTGCTTGGCTAAATACCAGTTTCTGATTCCTGCCGAGCAAGACAATTCTGATACCAGCTCGACTGCCTCGTCACCTTCCTCAGATGGTGTGAGGTCAAGCACATATCTAATGCCATCTGGAAGGCGATGCAGGAGGCCTTTTCTCTTTCTCGCCCAGTATTGTGGTCTTTCGTCGAACATCCTGGAGAATTTCGGTGAACCGAGAGCTTTCAACTTTTCACTATCAACTCGATATACTTTGTATGGTTGAGAGTCGCCTTTGGAGTCATAGAAAGTGATCCCCCCGGGATATGAGATGTATACTTGAGTATCACCTTCATCTAGAAGTGATTTACTATATTCAACTGCATTGTGATCTCTTTCATTCAGCTTTTGTCGGGTCTTGCGCTCCTTTACGCCGAGAGGACTTCCTTCTTTTGTATCTTCCCATGCGGTGTTAAACAGTGGCTGCACTGTTTGATGATCTTCCGTTAGTCTTGAATCAAAGCTTACTGGGCTAAGCAATTGTAGAGTTCAATCTACAATATACGCACCATCGTCTGAAGTTGAGGGTTTACGGCCATCACTCATGTTCGTTTCCTCCATTTGCCCTGAAATACTGAACCCTCCTGGGTATTTGTTACTGAACGATTCAATAAGAGCCTTCTCCTCAAATTTCGGGTTCAATCTGTTTGAATGATCGGGTGAGATGAGTCTTTCATCAGAGGAGCCACAGATTAGCTTGCCAGGAGTGAATCTGGTAACCTTGGATGCGGGCGTGCCCATTGTCTGTTTTAAGAGCTTTGAGGTAAAGAATCAAGGTGACACTTTTTGATTTTGCTTTCTATAGATTGTTTGAGAGGTGAATATAACTTGGATAAAGTAGGGGGAAAAAAGTTTCCAATCAGGCTGAGGTCTACTAGGCAGCAACGAGGCCTCCTAACAACGACAAGGAGGAATGCCCGTAGGTCAGAAATGAAGATTCGATGGACGATTCTGAGTCAGTATAGCTAGCTTCACGTCCAAATATGATCTAGATGACAGCTCTTCAAGGCAAAAACGATAGGAAGTACAATTATACGCCGTTAGAAAAAGCAAATTAATAGTAAAGCTTCTATCTAGGGGACCGGAAACGTGATAAGGCGGGGTAAGCTAGAACTACGGCTGTGTGATCACAGGCCACAGATATCCGCCAAGGCGGCTTCTAGGGCTGTTATAGGCTTGTCATGCACGAATAGCGTGTCTGAAGCTTGCGACCGCGAATTAGTCCCACCAGGTCTTTCTAAAAAGATTTTGGTTGAATTCAATACTATGATGTGGAATATTGTTCCAGATTGTTAGTGAGAACGTATTTCTCGCAATTCTATTATTATCTGTCTAGTAGTTAGAACACGCGTCTATATTAATCGTTAGATGTTTTTCCGGTACTGCCTATCTAGCTAGCGCAACACTTAGTTGGAGTAGTATCACCCTATCATTCTTGGCCTTAAGTGGCCCGTGTCTAGGCACTATTCGCTGACTTTGTACGGAGGAGAGGAAATTTATGCTTAATTTGCCTTCGACGAGTAGGTTTCGGAAGCGAATGGATGGAAAGTTAAGAGCTGTTAACTTTAAGGCTTTCGTCCGATTTCAGTCTGACGGAGAGTTGAAGTAATCATCAAAATAGCCACTCCAATTCACGATTCTTCCTGTCGCCTGCATATCCAACGTCTGTCCCATCATTTCGGTATTTTAGATTTTAATCCTGTCGTCCGTCCACCGTAATAATGATCAAAACACCCTCCAGCTAGCAATGGATAATAACCTCCCTCCGTCCCTCGAATCCAGCCAACCCCTGGATGGTTGGATCACCTTTATAGCATCTCATATACGCCACTCTCGCTATAGCATCATACCCCATCTCAATATTTTTACACTTGGTTGCTTCCGCTACACATATTGTCTGCCCTAGCATAGTATTCACCTCAGGATCATCCTCTTCTATCTCCACCAACCTCTCCATGACTTTTCCCACAGCACCCGAAAACCCTCGCGTTCCACCAAGTCTCGAAGAGGCGTATATTTTGCCCCTCAATAACATAGAAACAGCGATTCTCCGCAAATCTCGATCTCGTGTCTCCCAGCCCACAACCATGGATGGTATAATTGTCTCCAGCTCAAAATCCCCGCTTTCTTCTAGAGCGCTTTTCCAACTCGGTGTCGATCTTAGTATCTTTGCAATTTCCTTCAATTCCTGCAGTTGTGCGGAAAACCTTCCTTCGCCTACTTCTAGGTTATTGAGATGGTTAGATGAGGTGATTAGGATGTATCCAGATAACCAATTCATCTTTAATAAATATGCTATTAACAAATCCGAATCTTTTTCACAGTGAAACTTATCGTTAGACTGGCATTGTTTTTGGCGCTCTTCAAAAAGAGGCGAGAAAGATCGATCCCAGCGTTCATATTCTCTCAAGGTTTTCTTCTCCTCTTCAAATTTAGGGTCAATGTCAAAGAAAAGTCCATTATTCTGAGAATTTTCTTCCTGGTCATTGTAAAGGGTAGAAAAGTCATGTCGTTTGAGGGTCGAAGCAAGCCACTCCATACTTTTCATTATAACCCTTTCCAAGCCATTCTTCGCCTCTGTGAGATTAGAAAACCGGCCCGGCATCATTTCAATGTCTAGCTCGCCTAGACTTGTCCTCTTCGCATGTTCTGGTTTTGTATCTGCATACCGTAGGACTCTTAGTTCCAAACGACGAAAGCACTTCAGACAAGTACTTTCGGACATTGATCCTAGATGACCGCCTTGGGGGATATATGTCCTAACCACCCACTCACGTAGTGCTCTTAGTCCCAAATACATAGTTGAAACCCTTTCATGGCTGTCTACTTCGTTACCCCTACCCATCATATTAGAAAGAAGGTGGGTGATAAGCGTTGTTCTACTATCCACATCAATGTCAATGACACCTACACCCATTCCTGGGCCCTCGGAAAATGGTACTGTCCTTTTCTTCGTCACATATTTCGTATTGCAATACTCTCGATAACTAGACATATGTCTAAAGGTACCTATTTGGATCTCTCGATTCTTTGGTCGTAGATCAAGAGATCCAATCATGTGAACTGCATCAAAAGCGAGGGAGGAAGATTGACACCCCAAGAAGATAAGACCCCACCAAACCTCGAAGTATCCCGAACTCCCTGTGATTTCTCTCACAAAATTCCGAAAACGTTCTTCTGCACTCTTATTTCTCCACGTCGATGGTGGAGAAACAGAAACCTCTGGTTGTGATAAAATGGAAGATGATGTTGAAGCCACAGAAGTGGGAGATATAGCGGGACTAATGGACACATATCCAGTTCTCGGTACGAGCGCTCGGGGTGCGATGTTAGTTACAATAGTGGGCTTCACATTGGATTTCTGAAGATAAGCGTAGCCTTCGCATTTATGTCCAAACCGAACACATCGCAAACAACCCGGTTTTGCTTCATCGCATTTGACTTTTCTTGACCTGAATCACGTTCAGTATATTGCCTCGAATGGACAAGACTCGAAGAGTGACGGTTAACATACTTGCAAGTCAAACAGCCGGTTTTGACCTTTGGTCTACTCGCACGAGAACGTCTTACCCTTGGCTGTGGTATTGGCACAGTTGATGTTGGACACGGCTGCGGAAAAGCGTACATCTGGTTTGCCATAGATGTAAGTCTTAGCTAACGATTGATATTGTATCCCTAACTGTTTACCAGTCGATCATGGTCTCGTAGTTTATTCTCACTGCTTATCAAATGTAGACGTTGAAAAGCAAAAGTATAAGAGGATGCGAACCTTGATCTAATTCAACCGGGGCACACGCATATATCATTTTATCCTGCGGCACACCATCTTCAAGTTAGACACTACAGGGTAATGTCCTTCTCAGGACATGCCTGTCCGAGTCTCCACTCTCACCCGCCATCCCGAGTTGGTGGTTCCGCCTCACAAGCGCTTACTGCTCAGCTTCTCCCACCAATGAATGTCCAATTCTAAACACGTTCAGGCCAGCATATGATCCATGATTGAGTCTTATCAGCCAGTAAAAAGAAATTCTTCACCAACAATAGACGATAGAGAGGTCCGAACAATATTTCGAAGAATAGAAATGCCAACCATGCATCCTCGTAATGGCGGCGAATAAGGAATGAAGGTGTAATGAGTCGTACGAAAAAGGAATAAGGAATAAAACGTGGAGGGTGGATACGGGGTGGTCTGCACTGTAACCTTATTATATTTGGCTGCAGTAGTCTGATTGTGTGTTAGATTGCTTGCAACACCTTGATGCATTGTGGTGAGCATAACCTTAGGATTTGCCTATTGTGACATTTCTTCCCACAAATGATGAACCTCATAGCTTAACATACTTCCGATATTGGTGGAAACTATGTTAGTAGGCCAACACGGCATCTACCTGAAACACTTTGATCCCGCAGCTGTCAACATGCGTGGTACATCCATCTGATAACGCAACGGAGGGGAGCTTGATGAAGTAGATATAAGTTGGTGAGATAGTATCAATACGAGATAGAAAGCATGCAACCACCATGAAACGTTGAACGTTGAGGACAAGTCGCGGCTCTAGGTGTTCAGGATGCTCAGCATTGTAGAACATTAAATCCGGATAGAATCACATCCGCATGCGCATTTCTAGCGTGAGGTTACATCACACACTATCCCCCCGGTCATCGGGATTAGTGAAATTGAATGACCGCAGTAACTTCCCTATTCTTTCGACAAAGCGGCATTCGAGGTAAGATACAACAAATAAGAACTGCCGTGTTGCATTACTGAGAAGCAGGAAACAACAATAAGGCGGGGTTAAAGTTGAATGCGACCTATCCGACCTGACCTAATCTGCTATTTTTATGAAAGGTAGCTCTCCAGTCTCTCCTGGTGGACCGAATTTTTCCATAACTATAATGTAAGGCTATTGATTGACGCCTTCTGAGTGCTGAAGCGAAGGTTGTAACATTAGCTAGGATAAGAAATAACAGGACTCTTTTGATTCCTCATTGGTAATACCGTGCATTGTTGCACAGTGCAGGTGGTAATCCCCCTTCCTCTTTGTGCTTCCTTTTGCAGATACGCATAGTGATCAAGGTTCGTAAGATAAGATTGCAAGGGAGTTTTCTTCATACAATCGTTTTATTGCTTGCAGCATAAAAGCTCATCGTTAGGTTGATGATCTACAGCCCACCTTAGTTCAGCCTAGAGTGCCGCCCCGGCGGAAGCTTTTAGATACCCGCCGAGTGCCGTCGTAATCGGCGGTGTTTCCTATTGGCCGACTTATTGTTAACCAATCAAGTATAAATAATGCGTCCTACGGGGTAGAATAAATTAGGGGCCCCGGGTGGCGCTCGGCTTTAGTGAGCTGGATGGACAATCCATAACTGCGATCCTACAGTCCTACTCAATCTATATATGGTCAGCATCGCCCGATATTGCAGGCAAGTTTGCTTTTCATGAGCCGATTAGTGCGCAGGTAAGAACGATAGGAGCATTGAACGAACCTCGGGAAGGACCGCCATGATGACCGACCGGCATGAATGCCCAAGGTCACACGAGTAGAGGTCAGCTGTCCGTCCAGCAAATTATGATGGCACATGATATATTAGTGATATCCATTCTCATATAAGTCTTGGTTTTCTCTGAGGATCAAGTTAATTGATCTCAATTTGAGGTTTGATCAAGCGCTAGCCCACGGGTCTTGGCGTTCTTAATAGAATGATATCGGGGTCTTCAGTCCTCAGATCATATCTCTTGTCATACGGGCCAGCATATTTGGCAATTGAAAACCTTAGTCCTTTTTGGGTTGAAAACCCGTGGACAATCATTTAAGCTTTTGATACGATGAGTTAGCGCAGTAGGTACTCCTATTTCTAACGGCTTACGCTTAAAGCTCATCTGGTGATTCCTCGCGGAAGGTTTAATTAAAGGAGCGAATGTGCAGCAAGGTGCATATTTGAAACGCTATGCTGTCGTGGGGCTAGATGCTATAGTAGAAGGCCCTCGACTTAGAGATTGGGCAATAGAATGGATCTAGTCGAGGAACTAAAAGTTGCCATTGTAAGGGTAATCGTGTCGAGTTGTCAGCGATTTGCGGAAAGAAAACACCAACAAATTGCTGGGTAATAGAAGATTTGAATGCTTGAAAGCCATTAATATACGAGCACCTTGACCGAGGATCCGATGTCAAAGGTTGATTGGATAATGAGGAGTATGGATGAGCATTTTGTATTTGATGGTCCGTTTATTGACGTGAGCCTGGGTTGTCATTTTTGAAAAGGAAACAGCAATGGAATGCTATTCATCCAGTTTCCAAGTTAAGGTCGTCCCACTGTGGCATCCGATTTCCCAAAGTTAGCACACATACATTTCCTCAAAAACCAAATATTTCTCAGCAAAGTCTGAAATAGACTGACAGGTATAGGTGCTTAACATACATAGAATTAGATGCAGTTGCATGAGAGACTCAGCATCAAGATTTTACCATTAACTATACCCAAGTCAAGAATATCAGAAAAATGCTTGAAGAAGATATATATGTTTGTGCCCTACTTCGGCTCGAGAGATGCTTTAGCAACCTGAACATCTGGATAGCTACGGGTATCTAAAACTGCATGGAGCTGAATGTGATCGCAGACCCATCACAGTCGGGACTTGCCCTCATATCTATACGAGGAAGGATCCCTCAGCATAGCACTTCGGCTCGACTAACATTCCCATAATTCCATGCAAGAACTTTCTCACCAACATCAGAATGTCCGCCTTTACCTCTCCAGACGATATGGGATAACGACTACGTTCCAACGACAACTCTTTTGTCTTTGGCTTCAGCAAAGCAGCAATATTTAATTCAATCTCCATATTTTCAATTAACAGGTTCAGCTTTACTACTTTGCACGTTAGTGCGCTTTCGTTAAGTTGAGGATATTGTACACTCAATGGGTTTCTCCTTACTGCCGACAATGCTAAAGCCATGATGGCTCTTTTTCTCTGTTCTTCCCATGGAAATTATCTTCCAAGGCAGATAGCAAAAAGAGTTTAACCTTTATACGTGCTCCTCAATCTTGACCTATCTCTTCTTCCTTTTTATTCTTCCAATTTATCACGTTTCAATCATTGAAATCCTAGGAATCTTCTTTACTCTTTAATCTTTGATCAGACTTAATTAAAAGGTCATCCCTAGTCACATCAGCATCAAAATCCCAATTTCCATATCTTCAACATCCAAATTCTCAATTTCCCAACCACTCTCAAAAACGATCAGATCAAACCACAGAACAGCACCACAAAAACGTCAAACCCTATGACACCAATGCACGGAGTATCCAAATCCGAAAGGCCGCGAATCTCGAAATCCCAGCTCCATCACTTCCACTCCCGCAACTACTCCTACCACTACTCCTACCACTTTCGCCAGTATTGTCGTAAAAACCACTACTACTCCCAAGGGGAAGGTTACCATTATCATACCCCTGAAACGTAGTCCTAAAGTTCAAAAACAAAGAAGCATTTCTGATGAGATACTTAGAAATGTCCCTCCTCTGGTTCTCATGCCGGGGGAGATGAAGATGATAGAAACAAATATAATTGACACCTAGAATTGTGGCTTGAGCTGGAGACGGATTTGATGATTAGCACATATGGAAGGGAAGGTATGGAAAAATGACGGATTTTCTTACATGGGGAAACGTAATTATTAGGTAGCAAATGGAAACAAAATTATCAATGTCTTTAGAAGGTATCATATTATTCATTATTCATTATTTTATCCCCTATTTAAGGTATTTCCAGCGCCCCTGAAGACATCATCATTAGCATTTATTCCCAAAATTGAGAAACTATCAACTTACTTTGGATTATCCTCCGTGAATTCATCCCACCGCCTAGCCTTTTCGGTCTCCTCATCTATTTTCTCAAAATCATCAGGATCAATCTCAGGTATAATACCACTCGCTTCTCCACCACCTTCAATGATACCACCTCTTGCCCTCTCTTCATCAAGATACTCATCAATCGTCATTGTCGGTAAATTATGCCCTGGTCTGAATACACCTTCTTGCAATGCCTGCCTACTTTCGAGCAGAGTAAATGGCCGTAACGGTTTTCCCCCAGTACTCAATATTGGTCCTTTATTGTTCGTGGTAATATCTCTCATATCCAAGCGATCGGAGTATCCTGCATCTGGTCCACGCAAGCCACCTATTCTTTCTCTATTGTCGAACTGCGGACCTTCGGGAACTCGCGGCCCTACGGGTGCCATGGCCAAGATCTCGAGTTCGCGATTGATAGATTCTAGGGATTGGAAGGAATTGTGCGAACATAAAGAAAGTTTAGCTATTTCTAATTCGCGTACCGCATCCTCATCGTTTTGTATATAGGCTGGGTTTTGTGCCAAAAACTACCAACTGTCAGTTTACCGCATCGCACAGGAAGAGCGTGCTCCTAGGCTGGTCGAAATAAAATCTCTCCTTGAAGACCGTATATACATACATCCAGCTTCTTCTTCAAATCCTTCTCCATTTTAAAATTTGCAATTTTCGCATTTCTCCTTGCAGTTGGATCTGTGGTAGAAATAGTTGAGAAAGTAGATGGCGATTCTTGATATTCAGCATGTAGCTTCTTTTCTGCACTAGATAGCATCTCATAATGTCCCAATTGGGTTAAAAATGCTTCGTAAAATTTCTTTGCCTCCTGCAGAATCACTTTTCGATCACTTGTATCAGTTGTAGAAAGTCGTTGCCCTAAATCTGCAATCCTATAAGGGATGACCAAATATCTTGAACGGACGGTTAGCCTGCTTCTGGTATTTGTGGCTATACACATACTGAATGTCACTAGAATTAATATCCTCTAGTGTTTCATTTGGACTGAATAATGCAAGTCTATCTGCAAGCTGCCGACACTCTTGATATGCACTGAGCGCATTTGCAACATCTTCTTGGTATTTCTCTGTATTTGTTTCCCATGATGATTCGACAGCAAGTCTTTGGCGCTCCGCTGAATTGAAGATGGCTTTTAAAGAGTTATCTGCCATCTTGAGAGAAACAATAAGAGTCTTTGTGGTACTTGGATTAGTTTGTAGATACTTTCTAGAGCTTCAGTTCAGGGCAGCAGTGGTGGGGGAATCAGTTGTAAGGCCCAAAACCACCGGAGAATGCGGCCGGCGGCCGATGGTGCGGTAGGATCACAGATCACCTAGATAGCATTTTCTATGGAGCAACACGTGACAACGCAGCCTCAGCGTGTCATTCTTGATTAGTCGAGTTTTCATGGCTAGGTGAAGCAAAATCACGAAAAACAGCAATTCACTGTTTACATGCTTCCTTCCATAGGGCAAGTGTGTTTGAGCATGTTTGTGCGATGCTCTCGTCTAAAACGGATTACCTAAGGTGACCGGACGACAACCTACTAGATGACTTACAACCTTATCACCCTCGCAATCAAATCAAATTCTTTTAGTCTATAGTGTACCCCTCCCTCTCTCTTCACCACCAAGATATCCATCTCTCTTGTCAAAATCTCGCTGTGTCCCGTACCTCATCGTCGTGCAGTATAATCCCTCATTCCTTACCTTTTCCTCTTTCTATACTCCATATTGTTGTTCCTTTCACCTTAATGTTGATACGTGTGCATTGATTTGTACTGTGCAATCTCACCCTGCAGCTTGAGTTTGAAGAGCTGCATTTATAGCTGAGACATCAAAGCTTCTATGCTAATTGTGTTTTGCTTCTCCCGGTGTGGTATAACAATGGAAACTAATGCATATCATCAAACAGCAAGCAAACAAACGTCTTCTTCAGACGAGGAAGATCTTTTGTCGTTTCATGACGCTGTTACTGTCATTCAACCTCAAGTTCTCTCTTCTTCTGTCAATGTTGATACTTTCCGAGGAAATATATCTTTTGCACATAGCAATGGCAATGCTGTAGTAGGTGTCAACAGCGGATCTATCAACAAGGTCTCGCAATCTTCTTACTCCACTCAATCTTCATCCTTTCTGAACGGTAATCAAGGTGATACCGGAACCTCTCTGTCTCTTTCAACCTACTGCAGGCCGGAAATTATCTTTGGATCTCCTTCGGAGAATCCAGAAATTTCACTTCATAAAACATCGCCCAATTCAATTCAAGCTTCGGATTCGGTTTCTCTACTTTCTGTCACTGATCAAGGTCAAGGTCTCACTACACCAGTCACAACGTCATCGGCGAGGAGACCAAGCTTTCTAGAGAAATCTCCACGATCCTCAAGTCCGGACCTGATCCAATTCACTCCTCCGGAGAGAAGTTTGTCAAGAAAGGAAAGTAAGAAAGCTAGGGAGTCTATTCAAATTCATGCCTCAAAGCTGAAATCTATTGCACCCGCCTTCTCTGCATTGAATCCTTTTCCTTCTTCGAGATTACCCCGCACGCCAGGAGACTTTAAGAGGAATCCAGCATCTCTTTCTATTGATAACCTTATAAATCCTGAGCCACAAATACCCATATCAGCCATCACAAACGCTCTCCATTGCAAAAACTTTCAGGGGATCCCTAGGAAAGACGTTGTTCAACCTACTGCTGGAGATAAACTTTCCCTTACTAGGATAGCCAGTATGGAATTGCCACAAGCTCCCCACGTTGCGGATGTGGTCATGTCGATGGTTAGTTTTATAAATAGACCCCTATGCCTTCTCTAACAATTACTAAATAGACTGTTGACTTGATTGCTTCACAAGAGTCTGCTTCAGCTGCTGACGGCCAGCCTCAAAGGTCGAAGATGCTAAACCTACCAATTCCTTCTCTACTCGCTGAGAATGGTAAGGGGGTTTCTTCCGCTGCTGTATTAACAAACTCTCTTGGTCCAGATCTTTATCGCGACATTCCTCTACAACCCGGCTCGTCATTTCCGGTGGATTCTTCTGCTGTCGTGTCAGCTACTCGCATTACCCAAGCCTCTATGCCATTTGCACTTGCCACAAGAACAACTGATGACGTTTTTGCAGAACTCAAGCGGCCTTTACATGCTCAAGCAAGGTAAATCCAGATTGATACTGAATTTATGTCTATCGCTGATACTTTCAGCACCAACATTCAGGCCTCCGACAAATATGACAAGTCGAACCAACATGAAACGCTTGCTGCCGAGGAAGAGGAAGACGAAGACGATGGAGAGGATCTGAATCAACCGGCTCCAGCTATTAAACGAATCTCAGCACGAAAGCAAAAAAATGCTGCCATATTTGACACATTTCTCAAAGAAGTTGCCAAACAACCTAAGACAGAAAAAATTTCACATGCGGATGATGAAGCAGTTCAGTCTACCAGGTGGTTAATTGAGCAGGCGGAAAAACAACATATCATAGAGAGTCCTAGAGATTATCAACTTGAATTGTTTGAGAAGGCCAAGAAACAGAATCTCATAGCTGTTTTGGACACTGGTATGTTCTTCCCCTACCTTCTTTCTTTGAGTGTTTTTAATTCCACCAGGCTCTGGCAAAACATTTATCGCCGTTCTCCTACTTCGTTATATCATTGACCAAGAGCTTGAGGACAGAGCTATTGGCAAATCTAAACGTGTCTCATTCTTCCTGGTAAGACCCGCCGGTTCCTTGATGGATCAATACTGACATGTAAATAAGGTTGATTCTGTAACTCTTTGTCATCAACAACACTCAGTATTGAAAAATAACCTCAATCAACCAACGGACATGATCTGCGGGATCATGGGAACAGATCTTTCTGATCACAAAAAGTGGAAGAAACGAATGGATACAAACATGGTGATTGTATGCACTGCAGAAATTCTTCGACAGTGCTTACATCATTCATTTGTTACAATGAGTCAAATCAATCTGCTAATTTTCGATGAGGCGCATCATGCAAAGAAAGATCATCCTTATGCCAGGATTATCAAGGATTTCTATCGCAGTGATACAGATGAACCAATTTCTCTGCCTAAAATATTCGGGATGACGGCATCACCTGTTGATGCTAGGGATAATATCAAAAAAGCTGCAGAAGAGCTTGAGGGTCTTTTACACAGTCAGATTTGCACTGCGGTAGATCCTAGCTTGATGCAGTACTCGATCAAAGGCAAGCCGGAGACCATTGCTTTCTATGATTGCTTGGGCCCGAGATTTCACACTCCTCTTTATCTCAAGATGCTCCCACTCCTAGAGGAGAACCCTATTTTTCAGAAGCCGTTTATATTTGGGAAGGAAGCCAGTCGAACTCTAGGGTCCTGGTGTGCTGACCAAATCTGGACTTTCTGTCTTCAAGAGGAAGAGTCTAAGAAACTTCAAGCAAAGACAGAGCAGGCGCACCACAGCAAAAAAGTACCGGAGCCATTGGAGGTCCTGGAGGAACGCAAGGAACAACTTCAAGAGGCTAAATCCATTGTGAAAGATCATATTTTTGAGCCACCTCACTTTGCGTCAAAATTATCAGATGACTTTGCAACGAAGGTTCATTATTCGACTAATTTGTCTACAAAGGTGGTTGCTCTGTTGAGTATTCTCAAAGATAGATTTCAACGACCAACTAATGACAAATGTATTGTATTTGTCAGAGAGAGGTACACTGCACGGCTTCTAGCGTCACTCCTCTCCACACCTGAAGCCGGAACACCGTTTTTGAAGGTCGCACCGCTGGTATGTGATTAATTTATCCACTCAGTAGTAAAATACTAACATTCTCATAGGTTGGTACCACGTCTACTTCAGCCGGAGAAATGCATATCACATTTAGATCCCAAACCCTTACCATGCACGATTTTCGCAATGGTAAAATAAATTGTCTCATCGCAACATCCGTTGCAGAAGAAGGCCTTGATATTCCTGATTGTAATCTCGTCGTTAGATTTGATCTGTACAGTACAGTAATCCAGTACATTCAATCCAGAGGCCGTGCTAGACATGTAAACTCGAGATATTACCACATGGTGGAGAGCCATAACGAAGAACAGAGGCGAACGATCAAGGAAGTTTTGAAGCATGAGAAATTGCTGAAGCATTTTGCTTCTGCTCTACCCGAGGATCGAAAGTTGACTGGCAACAATTTTAATATGGACTATTTTCTTAGAAAAGAGCGAACTCACCGAGTCTATACCGTCCCTGGTAGCAATGCGAAACTCACCTATAGAATGAGCTTAACGGTCTTATCTGCCTTCGTTGATTCCCTTCCTCAAGCCCAAGATTCAGCCCTTCGTGTGGATTATGTCGTCACAACTGTCAATAAGCAGTTTATATGTGAAGTCATTTTACCGGAAGAAGCACCTATACGTGGAGCAATTGGTCGGCCAGCAACAACCAAACAGGTAGCCAAATGTTCTGCAGCTTTCGAAACATGTGTAATTTTGCATCAGAAGGGCTACATTGATCAATTCCTGCTCTCCACATTCAAGAAGTCGGCCCATATGATGAGAAATGCCCTTTTAGCCGTGGATGGAAAGAAACGAGAAGCTTATGAGATGAGCACGAAACCAACTTTGTGGTTATCCAAAGGAGAGCAAGGCATCTTTTATATGACTATATTGTCTCTCATATCTCCGGAAAGTCTCGACAGAGCATCACAACCCTTGGGTCTACTTACAAGATCTCCTTTGCCTGTTTTGCCACAATTCCTTCTTCATTTCGGAGGCGGTCGAAACTCGCCGGTTTCATGCGTGCCTCTCACTTCTTCAGTGAAGCTCGAAGGAACCACGCTTGACCAAGTTAATATGTTCACCCTATGTCTATTTCAGGATGTGTTCAGCAAAGCTTACAAATCGAATCCTGATAGTATGCCGTACTTTTTGGTTCCTATCAATTGTCCAAATCACACTGGGGACTGGAAAGATTATGAGCCCATGTCAATAATTGATTGGGAAACTGTTCAATATGTCCAAGATTTCGAGAACAAGCAGGCCGGTAAACCATGGGAGCATAAGCCATGGTTAGGAAAGCCAGATGAGTATTTCAAAAACAAGTTCATAACTGATCCTTTCGATGGATCTCGAAAACTGTGGTCGGTAGGAATCACAAAAGACTACAAACCTTTGGATCCAGTTCCACCAAATACAGCACCTAGAAAGGGAGCTAGGAAGAACAACAGTAACATTATGGAGTATAGTTGTAGTCTTTGGGCAAAAGCTAGAACAAGACGAACCTTCGATGAAGAGCAACCTGTTGTTGAAGCAACATACATTTCGCTCCGGAGAAACTTGCTTGATGAGTTTGATACAGGAGAAGTTGAAACTCCAAAGAAATGCTTCGTAATTTTGGAACCATTGAAGGTTTCACCTCTCTCAACCACTGTAGTTGCAATGGCCTATCTTCTGCCTGCCATCATTCATCGAGTTGAGTCATATCTCATTGCCCTCGAAGCTACTGATTTATTGCATCTTGATATTCGCCCTGACCTTGCATTGGAAGCCGTTACTAAAGATTCTGACAATTCTGAAGAGCATGGTGAAGAGCAAACAAATTTCCAACGAGGAATGGGTAACAATTATGAACGCCTCGAATTTCTTGGGGATTGTTTCCTGAAGATGGGAACATCAATATCTCTATACGGTTTAAACCCTGATAGTGACGAATTTCGTTATCATGTTGATCGTATGTGCCTGATATGCAACAAGAATTTGTTCAACACGGCTTTAAAGCTGGAGCTTTACAGGTTCATTCGATCAGCAGCCTTCAATCGACGTGCTTGGTATCCCGAAGGCCCTGAGTTATTAAGAGGTAAAACGGCTACTGCACCAAACACTCACAAGCTTGGTGACAAGTCAATTGCAGATGTTTGTGAAGCGATGATTGGCGCCGCCTTACTCAGTCATCATGAAAGCAAATCCATGGATAATGCAGTTCGTGCAGTTACCGAAGTTGTCAATAGTGACAATCACAAAGCTATAGTATGGTCTGACTATTACAAGCTCTATCAGAAGCCAAAATACCAAACTGCTGTAGCTACAGCTGCACAAATAGATCTGGCGAGACAAGTTGAGACGAAACATCCGTATCACTTCAAATACCCACGGCTTTTAAGATCAGCATCCACCCATCCAGCATATCCGTTTTCTTACGAACAAATTCCCAGCTATCAACGACTCGAATTCTTGGGCGATGCCTTACTCGACATGGTATGCGTTAACTTCCTCTTTCACAAATACAGGTCCAAAGATCCTCAATGGCTTACTGAACACAAGATGGCCATGGTATCCAACCAGTTTCTCGGAGCGCTCTGTGTGCAGCTAGGCTTTCACAAGCATATGCTTACACTTGATTCACAGGTTCAAAAAATGGTTGCAGAGTATGCTTGTGATATCAATGAAGCCCTTATCCAAGCCAAAGCAGATGCCAAGAGAGCGGGTAAATCAGAAGATGATTACGCTCCTGATTATTGGATCACCGTTCGTCAACCTCCTAAATGTCTTCCGGATATGGTTGAAGCATTCATTGGTGCCATTTTCGTTGATTCTGAGTACAAATTTGAGGAAGTAGAGAAGTTCTTTGAAATGCACATCAGATGGTACTTTAAGGACATGAGTATCTACGATACTTACGCCAACAAGCATCCAACCACATTCCTCACCAATTTCTTGCAAAAGAATATGGGTTGTGAAGATTGGGCACCTGTTAGTCGTGAAATGCCTGGAGAGGATGGTAGAAAGAATGTTGTGGTTTGTGGTGTCATTGTGCACAACAAGGTGGTATCAACTTTCCAAGCTGAAAGCATGCGATATGCGAAGGTGGGTGCAGCTAAGAAAGCTTTGGCACAATTGGAGGGTATGAGCGTTCGAGAATTCAGAGAACAATTCGAATGTTCATGTAAAGGGGATGTTGCTGATGCAGAGGGCAATGTCGAATTTGTTGAGCGTGAGGATGGAATCTCAGGGATGGATATGGGAATGGGACCGGGTTATAGAGAACAGGTTTTTGATGATATTTTGAAGGAAGTTGGGGATGATATGAATGGAGAAGATAAGGAGAATGGAATTGTGGAGGATTTGACGGAAGGAAAATTACTGGAGTTATAGAGTAGGGAATTGTACTAATGAACAGACGATGGCGGACTTTACGTTTATTCATCCACGACTTCATGACTAGGAACTACGCACGGTTTGAACATTTCATCAGCCATAGGATACCGCTATACGTAGAGACAGCATTGCATTTCTTACGAATCACGAAGTTTTACGATGATGATTCCTTACGACCAGATGATTTTACAGGTTTCATGGTAGTGAGCATGGCATTATAATGTCATGACATTTCCGGATTACGCATCACAGCTGTATTTTTTTTCTTTTCGATTCCAGCTGCATCTTTGCTTGAGAGCATGCATACTTCGAGCTTCTTCTCCAGAGAAAACGAGCGGCTATTGATTTAGTCACTTGTGATGCGATGGGATTTCTCTTCATAGACTATTCACGAAGAATACATAGCTAGCTTTTTCGACGGAGTATGTCATTTGATTGAAAAAAAAAATCATTTCCTTCGACTTGTTCTTATATGTGACATGGTGACTTGATTGATTGAGTATCTAGGTAATTATATGTGATATTTAAATGTAATATGTGCTGTGATATCTAATTGACGTGAAGTAAAGTAGAGTGAAATGAAATGAAATGACGAAAGTGAAATGCAGCGCCAAAAATGCTATTATTCCTATGATGTGATGATGTGACATCCAAACTCCAATGTGAAATGCTCCAGCCTTGATCTCTATTAGAAATGGACATTATTCGTCTAGTGCTTTTTTCGCTTCTGGGTCTCCTTTCCTCTCCTTTTCTCCCTCCTCTTTTCTCCCTGTGGATAGGGATGATTTCATAGCCTAGTTTCCGGTCGACGGGCCCAGACTAGTTTTTCTCATCTGACGACCTGGTATTATTATGATGTCTCTTCTCGTGTTTCCAGCTTTTCATCCCATATCCATCCATCTAACATCTTCACCCCTCTCTTTCATCCACTATTAACCACTCATCATGCAATTCCCGCCCACAACTTAAACCAAAACCCTCCTCAACCCACCGACACCCCCTAATACCCTCCGTCCACTAACCGCACATCTGCCTGCTCCACTTTCCCACTTCCCTTCTCTTCCCTTCTCTCCTTTCCCTTCCCCATCCACCTTCACATCACCCTTCATAAACTTCTCCTGCAAATCATGCAACCCCTCAATCCACCTATGAATACAAGTATAACAATACACATATCCTGTTTGACACGCGGTTGGCGTCGTGATTTCTTCGAGACAGATTGGGCAATTTTCTAAGGAGGTCGAGGTGGAAGGAGCTGGGACGACATAGATGGGGAGTTGGGTTATGGTTGAGATCGGGGGATTTGTTGGTTCTTCTACTTCTGACGGTTGTTTTTCTTCTGATGAGGATTTTGACGTGGTCTCCGGTTTTGTTACAGGAGAAGGGGTGTATGATATAATAGGCGGTGGTAATTCTAATCCTTCTATTGCTTTTCGAGATAATTGTCTTGCAAAATCACTCGCATGCCACCATTCCAGGAATTTCAGCGCAAAGATACTGGTTGGTAGTAATAGTTTTAATCCAGAACCTATTCTTCCCATTGCCAGTCTTGGATCCAATAGACTTCTTATTCCTAGATTCGACCCTGGTATTGAAGATGCAGCATTCTTAATCGCTTCAAAAGCTTGGAAATCTGCTTGACTTAATCTTCGTATCCGCGTTCCTATTAACCATAAAAATGGATCGGAATATACACCAGAGCCAGATTTCGAACCCGAAAATAGGTATCGTAGATTAAATGCTAAGATACTGAAATAATATGCGGCATTCACGCTGGGATATACATTCGTAAGAAACCAACGATAATAATGTAGAAATCGTTGTTTGAGCGTTGGATTCGGTGGCATGCGTGTATAATTTGCGCCGAGAAGTGCTCTCGGTGCATTGATCTCCTGAGACTCATCGAGTCGACGTTTAAGATATGGAATTCCAACGAGCACAGCAAGATTCTTCCATACATCCCCTCTTGTAAGTTTTGTCGTTTCGCGTAGACTGGCATTGGCTGCTTCGGCCGTAAGTCGCAGATCGCCTACTGCCGCAGGTAAGGCGCGTTCCCGTTTTAGAGAATAAAAGTTTTCGACAAATGAAGAAGAGTAGGTGGTTAGATAGTGGTGTTCGATTGCTAGGAAGAGGAGAGCGTGGATTTCGTGAAAGGAGTTGAGGATTGGGAGGAGGTGTCGCGGATGTCGGTGTGTGGCGATGGTTAGGAGGTAGTGGAGAGAGGGAGGAAGGAGTGACGAAAGTTGGGTGGAGGACAAAAGTTCGAAGAGAGAGGGTTTGTAGGGGTCCAAAGGTGGTTCGGAAGACATGATGGGTAGACGGTGTGAGGTGTATTGTGGTAGGTATTAGATGGCTGGTATCGTTTATAGCTAGCTCCGTGGTGTTTGCAGTTGACAGCTCGAGAACCAACGGCAAATTTCTATATTCGATACTCTTGATACAGCTCTTTGTAATATGCGTCAAGGATCGCGCGAGATTCAATTGCCAGCTTCACGGTTTGGTGATGAAGGAGTTCGGGGTATGAGAGAAGCCAAAGTCGAGATTATCAGATGAATATTGATAGATAATAAAATTGACACTATTTGCATCTCATATGGCATAATAGATAATCGAAGACATTATATATAAGTATAAAATGTAGTTGAATAATATACGAATCTGTATATGATAAGCTCTGAAAGTATGGGGTGTGAAGTATGAAGGTATCTTTCGTCGCGAGGCTGTGATGCCGAGGTTGAGAGCTTACCTAACCGTTGAAGTTCGGAGTTGTGTGGTGGAATTATCACGTGCTTGGTAAGGAGATTTAGATTTCGGCATATAGAATTAGCTCCCTCCCCTATAGCCACTACCGAGACTAGCAGCTAGGCCTACTACATCACAACTAGGTCATGACGAGGAGAGAGGTACTTGAGTTTAGAATCCTACTCAGCATCTCTAATGATGACTGGCTACACCGAAATGAGTTCCTTATGTGTATCGAATTCATTCTTGATATTTGATTCATTTATATCAAGGTGACCATCCTTATACGATTATAATTAGATCAGATGATGAATATATCTGCAAACCAGACTTGGTAGTTATTAGAGTAGACTTTTCGAACAAAAGCATATTCAAATTGAGTCTGTTAGTTCAGGCACACTATAAGTCTGTACCGTTAGTGTACTAGCACTCATTGTAGGTACTATTCGGAGGATGATTATATTTTCCCCTTTTAAGTTCCTAGTCCATCATGTTCATACTTACTCCTCTTTTCATACTTTCCAATTGACAAACATTGGAAAGTCTCCAACCGAAATACAAAACTAACAAACTAACCACATCCGCCTCGACTCCCTCCTTAAATATTTAACTGCTCCACCTTCCTTTTTTTTCCTTTCCCCTTCTATCCATTGTCCATCCTGAGATCTTATATATCCATCATTATCAAATCAATGGACCTCTAACATTTAATACTTCTTTTACCCTCTACTACTTCTCTTAAAACATGATAAAATCGCAACTCAAATTCAAATCTCATATCTCAGGTATGCTTCTATGCTAAAGATTACAATACAATGATAGGTATACATACTCCATCAGAATAGTAAAGCTTTCTTCTTTTGATTTATTCATTCATCCATTATTAATCATTAATTTATTTATTAATATGCTCGCTATTTAGTGACTGGCTTGGACTTGTACTCATACCTACCCTCCACTCTTCATTTACTGACACATACGTACATACAAATAAGTCTTTAACAGTAATTCCCATCGCTCATTCTTCCCTCCCTTCTTTACTTCATTTCATGTTACTTGAACACCCAACTCCTATTCTTATTCCTATTCTTTCGCTTCCAAACTCATGCCATCCCAAGTTGATAAACCAAACGCCCAAGTAATGAGATGATAATAGTTGTATCTGTAAGTTCGTTCGTCCGTTCGGAGTTAATTAATCTGCTTTAATCGCACTATTTGTTCATTAGTTTCCTACTTCATCTAGCCAATAACATTTCAATGCTCAAAGTCACAAGGGAAAAGAGAGGCGAGGATAAGGCCAAAAATTACGGCAAGGGAAAAATAAACTCACCCATAAACCCTCCTAACAAACCAAAAACAAGTCAAAAATCCCACCGTTCCCGTCGCTAACCCATAAGTCACAGCTACAACCCCACAATAACTAAAAAACAACACTCCACTCACAAACCCCTCAATATGTAATCTTCGCATATAAAACCACACGCAATACATCATGACCCAAACTGCAGATCCTCCTCCTACTAGAAAGGAATGCCACCACCAATTATAATCTTCGGCGCATAGTTTAATGTAGATGGTTACGATTGTGACTTCTGCGATTGTGATGATGAGGAGAAGGGTTATGAGGGAGAGAAAACCAAAGACGTAGTAATATCCGCTCTTATCTTGCCAGAGGGATTGGAAGACGAAGAGAAGTTCGATGAAGATTACTGCAAAAGGTATGAGGCCCGCTAGAAGGATGGATGAGGTTGAACGGATGTACCATGGTTGGACTGGGACTTGACGTGGGATAATGGAGGTTTTGGTAGGAGATTCCCAGGCACCTGAACGGGTGTAACCATAGTATGAACCGGCATAGACGAGAGGGAGTTGAATGCAGAGCCAGAGAAATACGAGGGCGATGAGAGTACCGAATGGGAGGGCGGTACTGGATGCTTGAGCCCAGACGAAAAGATTGAGGATGAAGATTAAGGAGAAGAGAAGACCGGGAAAGAGCGTGGCTGTAATTAGAGTATTCTTGCGCCAATTGAGACCTCCAAATGTTTTATAGACACGTGCGCTAAAGTAACCAGAGAAAACTCCTGCGAAGATGAAAAGGCCAATTCCGACACTGATAAAGCCGCCTCGGAAACTAGGGTTTAGGATGCCCAAACTACTAAGAGAAAGTAGACCGAACGCCATGAAGACGAGTTGCATCCCGGATCCAACCAAAGGAGCTAGGATATATCCATAAGGAGGTGGACGGAAAACATCTCCATGAAGTAATTTCCATCCCGTAATATCTTCCAATTGTTCGTCATCAGAAGAAATATCGGCATCATTCTCAGTATCAACTTGATCCAATAAACCGAGTCCAATTTTCTCTCCAGTTTTGGGTGATCTTGTTCCACTACCAGGTCTAGATCTCCTTTTTTGTTTCGCTTTTCCATCTTCTCCTGAAACATCCTTGCTGTATGCTTTGATATCTCCTCGAACCGTTCTAGCTAAGATCATAGCAACGATACCACTAAGAAGTCCGGAAATGATTAAAGAATTGACGATAGCCAACCAATGAATTCTTGAACCCTCCTCTTGGTTAACGAAGTATAGATCCCACCGGTTTCTCCATTCCACCTTTTCATCTTCCCTGAAATAAACAGAATATGTGTATGGAATTTCCATTGTAGCTCCATCATCCAAATCTGTTTCTCTTTCCGGTGGATGGTATGACGAATGTGGATATGCGAGGGCAGATGAAGAATCGGTATGGTTCGGAGTGAGATATAATTCAAAAGGGGTATCGACATCATTCAAATCGGCTGGACATCCAGATTCGATTCTTTTATCGGCTCCAACACTCTTGGTATAAACTTCGAAACCAACGATCACTTTTCCGCCTCTTTGCCCATCCTTTCCTGGAGCTTTTCGATATCGCAGAACGATGGTAAGATGGTTGTTGATGAAATATCTCGATTTGCCAGTTGGAGAGAAATCTTTGTATCCCAATTTGAAACCGGCAGCATAATACTTCTTACTCTTATCCACAGTAACAAAACTCGTTGCTCCGGGTAAATTATCCACAATCCATTCCACGACATATCCATCCTTAACCAATTCCTTTGCGCGCTTGAGATCTCTTCGACTCACGGTCTTGGAACAGAGGAAATTACATTCTTGATCTTTCCCCATTACCAATTCAATATCCGATTGTGTGATCCGATCTCCCCGAAGAACTTCTCCGAGATTTAATGATATACTTTGACCACTGAGTAGAGAAGATCCGGCATGTCGGACACCGGTAGGAGGGCAGACGAAAGGAAGATCGTAGTAGGCATATTGTAATTGTGTGTTGTCGGAGTAAACTTTATTGACCAGTAAAGGGATTGCTTCGTTATCTTTATAGCTTCTAATTGACCAACCTATATAAATGAGATGATGGTTAGATCATTGTCGGGAACCTCGAGTGGAAAAGAGAAAACGAATGAAATGGCAGAATGGCAGAAACATACCCGGTATGTAGAAAGCATCCGTTATGGAAATAGCTAGAAAGAAGAGTAACCAAGTCCCTATTCTCATGGAAGAATATGTAGCCATATTAACTTGTATTATCGTGTCCAATAAATCATTAAAAGAAAGTGCGGGTAGTAAGTAAAAGTTTTGAGTCCGTCCCCCCAAGCCTTGAAGTCTTGTTGTGAGGTCTGTCAAATCTTTGGACGATGGCGGCACCAAATGGAATTGTTTGATCTCGAAGGTAAATAAATTTATGAATGAAGTGATTTGGTTATCGAGCGTTTATTAGAGTTTCCCTTTTCCCCTGTTGGTAGAATAGAATATGTTGATCACAGCTCCCTCTTCCCTCTTCCCCCTTCTCCCACTCTTTTTGGCCAAGATGTTCTGTCCGCCTAGTGGTCGTATCGCCCTGTTGTTCCTTCAAGATGGCATAAAGCGTAATCTGAGATTGTGTAAAGATAGGAAGTTTAAATCTTCAAGGGTTGGGAGTCTCAATAACGAGCGTAATTGGTACCGAGTACCTTTTGAAGAGAGAAATTAAATGGTGATACGATGGAGGATTGTGAATATCTGTCTTGGTGTGTGAATAAGATGGAGGATTATTAGATGAATTGATTTATTCGATTGTGAGTGAGTGTGAGTGTGAGTGAGTGTGAGTGCGAGTGCGAGTGTGATTGTACGGAGTGGTGATCCTAGGATAATTCAGAGGTTCGAGGCAAACAAGAGGAGTGGGGAGTGGAGTGGAGTGAAGAGTTGAAGATCTATTGAACGACACTACACTACTAGGGAATTCTCCACCCAAATTTAAAATGGGGAAATCAATTCTGGATAGGACTACGACTCCGTACTAGATAGATGGGATGAAGATGAAGAGAGATGAAGAGATGAAAAGATGGAGAAATGAAACGATTAAGAAATTCAAATAAAGTAATGTTGAAGTGAAGATGGAAAAATAAAAGATCGGAAAACATTCTTCTTAACCATCTGATTGTGATTGGTACGGAAAATATATTGTAATACCTACTTGTTGCTGGGGTATCCATCTAGACCTTTCTGTACTCTGTAGATAAGCTTACCTGCCAAACGACCTTCTCCTTTTTATTGATGAAATTGATGAATGAATGAATGAATGAATGCATCCCATATATCCATGTCCCGAGTGAGAGAATGGATAAATTGATTAATGAGCCAAGATTCGATCAATCAATCAATCAATATATGATATTTTATTTATGCTATCAATATTGAGTCAATGGAGTTGGAGGTATCTTATCGTAAAATCCATCGATGCATACAGAGAGAGGACTGCACGGAGTATATAACATCTTACCTCTAGTAAACACTTCAATTCTTAAAATAGTAAAAATAAATAACTATTCATCTCAATGATAGCAAAGTCGTTCGTTCTCTCTATGTACAAGTGACTTGGACCCCTTATGTACCTAGATCTCTAGTGCAAATTTCAACAATCATGACCCACCAACCATCACAACGACATTGAATTCCCCATAGTCTCTTGCAACTTCTCCATCAACATCCGTATACTATTACAGTTCATCATCATCGTCGATTCGATAATTCGGACATCCCCTCATTCCCGTCTCTCCTCATATGTACAGCGCCATGTGTCTCACAAGCAAAGCGTGCCATGTCCGGATAGCTTGGGATGACGAATCTGTCTACTAGGTATGTCTGTGCTTGCCTTATCCTACATAGCCCTCAGGTTCAGCGCTATCCATCTGAAGCAGTACAGTAGTACGCAGTAGTGATTTCTACCGTCAAGAAATCAACGAATATAGTAAGCTTGGGGAAAGAGAAAGAAACAATAGAAGATGAAACAGAAGACTTGTCGTATTTGGGGTTGTGGTGAGGTTACGGGGAAAGTAGGCAGTGTCAGTCCTTGAGGCATTGGCTAGAATCATATCGTTAATCACTCCGAAATTAACCTTGGCATACATATATTCATTCCAGGCGCACACTTAACATGAAGCCATGTATGATTCTGGAAAGTCGAGAACATCGAGTGATGATCAATACCTAATAAGTAGACATGTATATCGACTGAAGCCCATTCATTTGTCGAGATCTCTCAGTTCTAAGCTTCGAATCTAGACCGACTTACTAAAATCTTGAAATTCCACCCTTTTTGTTCAAGGTTCGCTTCCCCGCTCCTTAGTTGTATCGGCCTATTGTACTTGGAGCGTTACCTGTCATGGCATGGTTTCGATACATCTCACGTGATATCCTCTTCGCATGCCATCTCCTCTTATTTTATTGCACATCTGTTTTCAATACATTTTCTAAGAACTTCCCTTCGTATTTTCGGTATGCGCACTATTCCTGTTCTTTACCGCGGCACGTGATCAATGACCTCCGAGTTCGGGTTCCATGTAGAGTGTGCCAGATATTACCTACTCCGTACGGTAGAGAGCAGATTGAAGCATTTTCCTACCGTTTCCAAATTTTCGGATCCGAAGACCCATCAAATCCCATAACCTCTGTCGATATATACAACCTAGGGTGTGGTCAATAGTAAAGATGGTGATCTAATCAGTGGTCCTGTAAGTTTAAAGGAGACCTGGTGCTATGTAAGCACGGCACAGCTCTATGCTGAATATCAACAAACATTATGAAGCGAATTTTCGGGTAAAAGTTGTAACCTTGGTATTTGCTGCTAAACATCGTGTTGAATACTTGTGAAGCTCCAAAATACCAAAAGCCTCCCCCAAAGAATCTCCATTGCCCAAAATCGGACACCAAGGACAAATCATAAGTCTCTGTCTATTCATGTCATTCATAAAGCCAACTCGTATTCGCTTCCGCAGTTTTATTGGGCTTCTGTCCCCTACTTTCCTGTATACAATCGCGTGCCTTGATCGAACCCTGAGGTTGCGCTTTGGTATGATGTCAAGCTTCTATGGCCTGGATGCAACTGGGTTTTTGCCGTCCTCACCCCACATCTTGCGGAGTCGTCTCTGCTCGTTTCTTTCCAATTGCCTTTTTTCCTGCACAAAAGTTTCGAGGATGTTCAGTTGCACTTCGCAGAATGATTAATACTCCCATGCTGAATTTGTGCGAACAAAGAATATAGCATATGGGTTAGAGATATTCCTGCCACCTATAAGTATAAAAATATCGATCGACCTTGTCTCTCGGTGAAATATAAGAACATGTATGTGTAGAGTACAAGACTCGTAGCACGAAATCCGAAGCTCCACTCCTCCGGATCATCAGTTCTAAGTGTTACAGATAATAGAGAATAGGGAACAATTCTAGACTGCATATTAACTAGATTTAGTTCTTTATTCAAACTTAAGATTCTTTTTAAGTCTCTGCACTCGGTCTTCACATTCTCCACTCAAAGCTCACGACCCGTCGACGCCATCGTAGATAATCGTTCTGGGTTATTACACTATTCCATAGTTCTACACAAAATCACAAAAGTTTATAAGTCAAAAGCGCCACCCGTCGCCTATCTCCACTTAAAAATACCTCGGTCATGATATCTAGTGGGATATCCGTCCGCAAATCATTACTATACCAAGTTCGAAAGTAGATGGATGCTACTGCACAGCATCAGCATCTAAGTGATATGCATATTAGAATGATCGACGATGCATTACTCCAGCATCAGCATCTCAGTAGTATGCATATTAGAATGATCGGCGATGCATTACTTTCTTGTCTGTACTTTTATTCGTTCTTATTCTCCGTCCGTTGTATGCATCTCCGTTTTAGCTGCCAGTTTGCCAACGTAGAGCACGCACAGATACTCTTTTAACCAAATTTTCTATATCCTTCACTCGTGGAACATCTGACCCTCTCGCTCCCAATATCCAATAGGATATCCTGCCGTCCTAGACTGTTATGAAATGGCCTGTTTCAACAGTGCCTGCATATCATTGTTCATGCGCATGTTTCTCATGCTCGTCATTGTAAAAGTGTATTCTTTCATTCTTTTCTGCATCGTCTCGTTCGTCAGATCTTAGCCTAGTATACTTTTCCAACGTCTGAGGCTTTTATCTTTGGTCCTATTCTTTAGCTCAGAATACAGAGTATACTTAGATAGCCCGCCATATCCCCTGATCACCAATCTAGCTCGGTACCAAGTTGCCATAGCTTCGATAGCACAACAACGAAGCCACAAAACTGGCTATTGTCTAACTTAAAATACCTCGCATACTTTATCCAATCATGTCGTAAAGCCACAACCATAAAAATTAAATATAATCATCACAAGCCAGGCATTAATGACCAACTACCAAGGAAAGTGGTTTACTGGCCTGTCCTTTCAGAACGGTCCGTCGAGCTACACAGGTTATATGATTGGAGAAACATGCAAGTGGATACATTCTCTGTGCTTGAGCTTCAGAGAAGCCAAGCAGTAGAACAGGCTTAGTATGAGTTCTTATAGATGAGTTTGGAGGGTAGTCTATACATGGTAATTAGTAGTGTATACATTGGATACACTGCTTCAAGGGACAGCAACATAGAATGCAGGATATACCGATCATTCAACAGGATTCTGTAAACTGTAAAGTGTAAACTTTACGCATGGACCAGTTAAAAGCGAATATAATGGTTTGCTGTTGAGTTGGTCTTTACGGTAGCTTTCCGGGAAGGCCTTGCCAAGATTCTGTTGAGTCTAGTCTAGGCACTAGATAGCTATCTGGATGAAGTAACTAAGCTCATGCTCAGATATTTAGACTTTACGAAAGGTGCCTGCAATAATTGTAACTATACGATGACCTACGTGAAAGTTCAAGCCTTCCCTACAAATTTAGGTTCGAGGCATTCGATGGAATTATTGTGGAATGCTGCGTGATTGGATAGATAGTTCCTCAGGTGAGATGATGCACAAATGGATGCGTAGCTCAGGTAGGATAGGGATAAAATAAAGTTTTCGTGCCTGGAATTGGGGGGGAAGACGGGGAGATAAAAAGAGATCTATAGATCTAAGCCTTTCTACTTATATATAGTTTTCCTCTGGACGAAGATTCCACGTTTTATTCATCTATTATTTGCTTATTGATGTATACATACTCTCTTTCTACATAATAATCCAATTATACTACTATCCAATATCAAACTTCTTGAACTCAGAGATTTTTAATACATTCCATTGAAGTTCAGTAGACAAACTAATCTTCTTTCTGCACCTCGACCCTAGCGAAAGTCGTTGATCCACCAAGTCTCGTCTTGTTATTCAAATCACCATTGAAAAATGTCTTCTCCTTCATCATCATCAAATGTGCAAAAGTTCAAGAAACTATTGTAAGTTCCATCCACTCTTTTTCCTCTCCACTTCTTTGTCTCCCCATTTTCGTACGGAGTATACCCCAATTTAAACCCCGCATTCTAACAATCTCCACAGTAAACGCAAAAACCCCACATCCACAACCACAACCACAACTACAATTCCAACCCCGGCCTCTAGTCCAAAAACCCGCATAACGTCCTCATCAACCTTCACCTCCATATCTTCTACCCGCTCCTCCTCATCCTCATTCTCCAACACATCAGCCTATTTTTCTGCCACATCTTCTTGTTCGTCTTCGTACACACCCCACTTCCCGTCCTCGCCCTCAACGGCAACCATATTCGCTTATTCCTTCTCAACCCCGCTCTCAGATGCCTCAGATGCAGTAGATTCCAGAAATAGAATGGATGGGTTGGGTGTTAGGAGTAATAGTTCTTCATCGATTAGCTCTTTGGAAACTCGGAAGACGGAGGAGTTTTGGGGGGAGAGAAGAGAGGTGGGGAAGGGGAAGCGGAAGGGGATTAGAGGGAGGGAAGAACTGAACGGGAATCAAATTGGTGATGATTTGGTCTGTTGGTGAGGGGTAGTGTTAGGGTTGGAAGGTGGATGGGTTGATAGGGATAATGAAACCATAAGGCTATTGGAATTTGGGAGGTAGATGGAAAACCGTGGTCTTTAAGGTTCTTGAAAATTAAAAATGTGATGGAATAGGCGCAATGGATACGATCGGGCATAGAATTGGATGGTAATGGGAATGGATAGGGTTGAGACTTGAGACGGTGTCCATGGACATTAGTGATCAATTGGTCAATGATATGATGGCGTGGAGTCGGATATATCAAGCTTTAATCGAGCCGAGATTTGTTTTTGGATTTTGCGGAATTCTGGTGGATCTTACTAGTTTTTATATATTAGCCAATAATGTAAGATTATTTATTGAAGGAATTTCGAAGAAATCAACATGATTATGTAAAGAGGAAATTTGAAACAGTCGACTTCTCGACTTGAGATTTTGAACTGAAGCGAGTAAGGAACAAGAAATTCCAACGATTCTGTGAGAAGATGAATCCGGGTTTAAGCGTGTGAATGTGTGGGAAATACGAGGACTCATAGCAGAGATTTGTTGTTGTTCTATTGCATGAAAATAAAGAGCAGTCTATGGTCTCGATGTGCGGTCCTGAACCAGGTAGTCAGCAGATTCTAGAAGTCATGATTGGTGGTCTTTTTTCGGCAATTCTTGAATCCATAGATGGAGACTTTTCGTTAGTAATGCATTGAGCGAACGTTGAGACATCACAATATATTCTCCCACCACTGAGATCCTTGAGACTCGAACAACCTTTCATACAACATTGATGACCGTCGCAGAATCAATGTGTTCCCGCCCTTCTACTTAAGCAGTTGTTGATATGACACTTATGGCGGTTGCAGAATTTGGAGAGGATAAATTGGATTTCCGAGCATTAGCCATCGTGACATGTATGAGCAGTGCAACAGTCCGAACCCTTGTGTTTCAATTTCTGGCAGCCTTTTATGCTACTTTTGAATCAGAAAAAATATCAGCTTCCAGCTATACTCAACTAAACATGAAATTATACTCACAGTGCTGGCACCACCATGTTTCTGGGCCAGTTACCGGATTAATACACTCCTGAGCGCGGCATTTGTCTGTTTCAAAAATTAATATGGAAGCCTCCAGTGCGGGATAAGTTTGAGTTATAAATACATTGATGCAGGTGAATTCATACGGAAAATATCATGCTCCATTGCAAAGAGTCTTGCAGTGTAGACATATATGGCTCGTGGCTTCTGGGATACCGAGATTTTGGGAGTGTATGACACTGCAGATTGGATCGAGCGTCAAAGAAATTAACTAATAGTGTGAAACCAGGTGACTGGTTGCATTATTCCAAAGAACAAGAGTGGTAGACGCTGCAACTAAGTGCTCTTATTACATGGTGAGGAGAACTAGATACCAAATCAGCCTTTGCTGAAACGGCTACGGTTGTTGCAATGAGTTCACGCTATAAAAGAATAGTGTTTTCAGAACGATACTAGATAGGAAGGAGTGGTTTTCTGAAGATTCGTGTTCCATACCATCTGATGAGCACCAGGTTATACATACTAACAGTTGAGACTACACCAATCCCATGCGATCCAGTGAGTATATATGATGAAACTCTCATGAATATAAGCATGCTCTTTTTCAGCTACAAAGCTTCTTCCCACGAAATGCAGATTTTTCTGCCTTCTCCACCTCGCTTGCCCCATAATCAACGAAATAAGCATGGAAATTCCCATGCAGCGATCCTGCAAAAGAAATAGCTATATGTCAATCAACCCTTCAATAAGAAATCCTCCACATCAATACCAACAACTGCTGCCAATTTGCCGCAACCCAGTGGGCATTTCCCTTTAGTTATCCGCACATGACATCTCAAGTACTAGTGATAAAGAACTAATGGTTAGAGTGATCCCGCTCAGCTATTGCGGAGTAATTCTGGATGGGAATGCACTAATTCATAGAGTGGGAACTTTTGCACAGGACAAGGGACGAATGGGGAAAAATGGCTAAGCTGGAGATATCCAGTCTAAAAACAAAATAGATTGCCTCATGCTTAGTATCATGTCTTTGATCACCGCCACCCGCTAGGACACGAACCGATAGTCGCAGAGCACAGCATAGAGTATTCATGAATAGATGAGACAAATACATATGATTGAAGCTACAGTATGTGTTTACGCATATATATTTGCCGAGTACAAAGAAAACAATTCACACAAACATCCACCAACTAACCATGATTTTCCTTCAATTCCCTAGTTTATTTCATATGTCCTAATATTTGGATACCATCTTCCTAGCATTGGGATTTTGTATTCAGAACCTCACATCTAACATCCGACGTAGATAGCTATTGCAATAATTAGTCACAGTTCCTCCATACAATACAGAATTTAGAGAATAGAGAGAAGAGCTTGAAAAAAGGGATGGAGAAAAAAATCATACCATTAGCATAAAGCGCATAACTATCCGCATTCAACACGGCCTTTGCACTAGTCAACGCGACAGCCGCCGAGTAACCATATCCATTATCCGCGGTTCCAGGACTGTAAGTCGCAGGCGCATGAGTAAACTCATGTAAACTGGTGGTAGCCCTGTCCTGCGCATGACAAGTTCCCGAAAGAGTCGGGAGCGCCGAGTAATAAAGTGGACAATTGACAATTTCATTCGTGGAAGGGATCGTGTACGCGAGAACATTGGAAGAACAGTAATTATAGATATCAGTGCAGTAGTACGTTGTGCTTCCGGATGTAAGCGAGGAACATTGTGATGCGACGGCGGAGAGACGAGCAGCGACGACAGAGCGGGTAGCGGCGGCGGTAGTCTTGAAGTATTCGGAGAATTTTGTTGCGGAGCCGGAGGAAGCGGCTGTGGAGGCAGCGCGCGCTAGCTGGGCGCAGTAGGAAAGTGCTTGGGTAGTTTGGGTCTTTTGGGTCGTGGAACAGCCGGATTGGAGGATGGTGCGGCGGTCGATGGAGGCAGGGATTGCTTTGGCCATGGATTGGGCGGCGGCGCCATCGACAGGGATGGTGAGGGTGTTGGATTTGAAGAAAATGGTGTCGCTTATTTTGGTGGATCCAACGGGGGCGACGGGGATAGTCCCTTCGGCAATGAAGGTGTAGTTTGTGCTGGAGAGGTCGTGGACTTCGGCTGCGTTGAAGGTAGTTTCAAAAGTTTCACCTGCTGCGAGAGTGTGGAAGACTTCGGGGGCTAAGTCTGTGCGCTGAATGGAACGGAGGATCCCTTTGAATGGAACAGCATTTTCTTTCTCGTGTGTTAGCTTCAATACTTCAAAGACACACGAATATCAACCAAATTCATCGCTCAATTGTATTCGGGAGAAGTAGAAATACTGAAAACTAACCTCCTTCATAAACATCAACCTTTTGAACAGGAGCAGAGTCAAACAGTGTTCCATATTTCAACAAATTCAAGGCCTCAGTTCCGGTGTTTTTGACCGTAGCATGAACTACAGCGTTCTGACCAGCAGCCAAGGTGACTTCAAGGACATTGTTATCCCTAAAAAAATCATTAGCTCCAGTCTCTGTGACAGTACAAAACCAAGAGTAGAAGATTCGTCAAAGTGTGATGCCTTAAATGTGGTGTAACGGATCAACCCAATCTTGTGAGTTAATAATCAGATGGATTAAATAGCGTATAGACAAAATGCTCCAAGCAGAGTTCAATTTCAAATACATTCGTCATTCGTGTATTAGACAGGAACACTGTTGGATTCTAGTCTGGAGTATCAAAAACTTGTAACTTGCCTCTTTATAGCCGCAGAGTTGGCAATGGCAGTCAAACTGGCAATTGTCAAAATATTCGAGACGGCGCGCATATTGGATTGAGTACTGAGATGAGGAGGAATGATATCCGTTTAAAGGGTTTTGAAGTTGCTGAAGATGAAGATGAGAAGCTTGAATTCGAGTGACTGGCGACCCGTTATATATGATAATTTGAAGGCCATTCGAAATTCTTCATGCTGTTGAGCGCCGGAAGTTTTCGCCCGTAGAATACTCATGATGGTGGTCTGAAATGGAAGGTACTAGCAATTGATAAGAGTATGCAGCCGTCATCTTCAAGATGTTGTCTTTTCACACAATCTCCTCTTCGAAGTTTGAATTCGCCTGCCTTTTCGGCAAACTTTAATGAAATTATCAATGTCCCTGGTGATAACGAACGATCGTGATCCCACTCGGGACCCATGTGCTCTGCTCCAAATCCAATACATCGCAATGTATGATTGGAAGTACTTTGCGAATCCTATCCTTAGTGTATGAAAAGTATCGTGAACCAACAGCTCGTGAATGCAGAGTGACTACTTACCAAGATAGGAAGTTGAAGACAATATTTGCCAGTTACCAAGCCAAGGTACCAAATAACGAAAGTATTTGACAATATGTAGGCGCTCTCGAGTTTAGCCAAGAGCTTTGAAATAGATCACCAAGCTTTTCTGTGGCTATCTTGAAGATTGTACCATTTCATTGTAGGAAGCTGGAAAGGATCACATGAGTGCCAAGTAGATTCGGGGTACAGTGTAACATCCAGATGTCAACCTATGAATACATTTGTTAATTGCTTTACCATCCACTGCCATATATTCGAAAAGTCCAAGAAAGACCAAGACAATTTGTATCTTGGCTTAAAAGAAGAAATGGACTTGGCAGGGCTTTATATATCTTTTCTTCCTCGATTCACCTTCCCAAAAGAGGGATGATCTTCCCTGACAGTCTCGAGCTTCTTAACAATGATGTGGCATTAAAATTCTCTGCGCCAAGAAATGTTGAGATAGCGCGGGGGAGTATAGAGATGGGAAAGGAGAAAACAGATAGATACACCAATCATATGTACCGGATGATTATAAGTCGAAGCCTTGAGAGGTGCATCCCCTTGATTACAGATCTTCAAACATTTAACCGCGTCTCGACTTTCCTCATCCGTCCTCTCCTTCCACTAATCATGATCTCTCAGTATTCACTAGACATGAAGAAAAACACCATTCAAGACTGCGATAATAAAGCAATTGCCGCTGAATGCGACCTCGGCATTGAATACTCTTGATCTTGATAAGAAACTGCCGTCGGGGAAAAGTTGTGGCAGACATGCAGTAAAACCCCACACTTGGGTCTTCGACCTTCTACATCGAGATAGTCTGTCTTGGCCTTCACCAAAAAAAAAACGAACGACTGCTCATTTTCCTCGAACACCCCATTTTGCATACCTTGGACTTTCAAGACCTTTTTCCAAATCTCAACGATAACTTTCCCCAGATCTCAGCGATAACCTTTTTCATATCCATTTTTACGAGAACAACAGATTTGGGTAATGTTACTTCGTCGTGGACAATACTCACCCTATTCATCTGAACGCGAATTCCGAATCAGACCGAAACTTACTATCCTACTTATTGCCCTTATATTGTTCGGCTTCTTTGTCAGAATGGAGGCATCTCCCACTGATCAACATGATGTTCCCATCCAAATATCCATCTCAGATGTTACTTCAATCGACAGCGAACCATCAAGCCCACCAACCATCAGCTTAAAAGTAACACTGCGTAACACCTCGGACAAACCTGTCTCCTTTCTTCGATGGTCTACTCCCTTCGACATACGAGCTGTTCCTATGGGAATATTTAAATTTCAATCCGTCGCAAGTGGAGATTTTGCACCTTGTCTAGAATTGAAACTCAACCGAAAGATTCCAAGAGAAGGTGTTTTCTCGGATGATGATATAATTACCATTGACGCGGGTGCCGAGGAATCGAAGACTATCGAGATAAAGGCTCCTGAGGTTGTGTTGGCAAGAGGAGAGAAGTATGTGGTAAATGCGCAATGGTTACTGGATGCATGTGTGATCGAGAGAGGGAGGAAGCCCAGAAGCAGATGCTAAGGTTTTAGAGAGGATTTTGAGAGTGAGGGTGTAGAAATTGAGGTGTAAATTGTGAGGTCAAAGAGTTTCCAAGAAATTTAACATAATTTGTTTCCGTCCGCAACCCTTATCTTTTATTGAGAAGCTCGTCGTCCGGTACTTCCTACCTACCCCTCCCCATTGAACGATAAAAGGAGATGAATCAATGATATTTGAAAGTCGATAGAATGAGAAAAAAAAAAATAGAGAAACATAAACATACGACAGTGAGGATTCGCTGGTGGTCACCCACCCAACTACTAATCCACCGATCTGAAGCTTGTGTATGGCAGAGCGGACGGGATGCCCAATTCTCTTCAGTCTATGGCCGTATGTGAAGGACTGTGAGTTAGATGCTGTAACATTGTGAGCATTTTCAGACTTGAAAGGAGGCTTTTGAATTTGGGCACCGTAATGACCGCAGAAGTAACATGAGGGGCAGAACTTTCTGTGTACAAATGGCATTTTAGCAATACCTAAGTAAGTACTAGGTAAGTGAAACTTTCACCACCATTATAAATCATGGGGAGTCTCTCTATAGTCAGCATGGAAAAGCCTCAATATTTGAGTTGAGCTGAGCTGAGCTGAGTCGAATTGAGTTGAGTTGAGCTGAATTGATCCAAATCTCGATTCTTACACATCTTGTCTTGCCTCCTTATTCACGGACTCAACCTTTGAATATCCCACTCCCCATCTTCTTTCTTCTCATATTGAAATCGATCATGTAATCGACTATCTCTCCCTTGCCAAAACTCCACCATCTCTGGTATAATTCTTAAACCTCCCCAAAATTCCGGCACCGGTATCTTTTCTTGACCCTCAAATCGCTTCTCGACCTCTTTAACCCTCTCCTGTAACTCTTCTCTTCCGTTCAATACTTGACTCTGCGGACTAGCCCATGCCCCAATCCTACTCCCTCTCGCCCTCATATCATAATAGACCTGACTTTCCTCATCAGATAATCTCTCCACCTTCCCCTCAACTCTAACCTGTCTTTCTAACTCCTGCCACCAGAACGTAAGACTTGCCCATTTGTTAGACGCAATATCTTTCGCCTTTTTACTCGTGCCCCAATTACTATATATAACGAATCCACCTGCTGCATCTAATTCTTTAAGGTATACCATGCGCGCAGACACACGGCCAGAAGGTAGACTGGCGGTTGATAGACAAACGGTCTCGGGATGGTAAACACCACTAGTTTGAGCGTGCGAGAACCAAGAATGAAACTGCGTGAGAGGATTGAAATCAAGATCTTTGCGGTCGAGTGCACCCTTTACAAATTGGTCTGCTTGGGCATTGTTTTTCTCGTTGGCGGGCGCGACTGTAAGATTACTGTTGATTAGATATGTGTAGAGCAGAGTTGGAGTGAGGTTTTATATCAGAGTAGGATAGGACTTGCAGATAAGTTTAGAAGCAGAGGGCGAAGGGTAGAGGGCCATTTTAAGGAGTGTAGGACGAAAAAGAAGGTTCGGAGTCACTCGCATGTATTATCGAGTAATGTGTAAAAAAAGAGGTATGTATTTTCGAAAGAAAGTGGTGATGTCCAAGAAGATTATTATTATTATTATTATTACTATTATCATTATTATCATCATCAATGATTCACTCACTACAAACTCTAATCATCAATTGATTAGGTAACCTTGATGATGCGACGGAATAAGCGGCCGCACGGATTCTCTATCTTCTTGTTATATAATATGAACATGAAGATGCATGATCATCTATATCTTCATCTATACCTTCATCTATGTCTTCATCATTCTTCATCGTTTTAATAGATCTGTTATAAACACCATAAGAAATGAATGCACTCATTATCTTTTATCCCTTTGACTTCTTCCACCTCAATGTGATAACAACTTTACTTCTATCAATCATATCACGAATACAGATAATCTTCCAAGAGACATTCTTCATGATGAGAGCAATATATAGGTACACACTACAAACTATAAACTACACAACAATACTTTCTTCTCCGACCTCTTTCAGAATGTCTTGCAGATCTCACCAACAGCGATGTCGGTCGGCGACTCCCTTTGAACTACCGGGACTCAGATATCAAGAATCTCAAGTTCAAAGCGTCATTGATATACAAAAAATTCCGGCTTGATGGCATTTTTGTCAAATAGATGGGATTTGTAAATGCAGATTTCCAACCCCCTTGTGTTGATCATTTCCCAGGGGGTATTAATCTTACCATAGCAACGGACAAAGATCGATTTGGTATTCGTCACCACGTCCTGTTTTCAGCGATAATTGTTTGATATTCATATTGGCTTACCGAATGCAGACTATGATGCGTACATTACTCGGATGTCGAGAAATTCTGGTTCAATTCAAGATAATTGCACATTGCTTTTAAGCTTGATAGCGAACATTGTATCCAAAAACGAGTTTTGATAAATATCACTAATTCGCAGAGCACGGTAGGTCTTATATTGATTTTAGGAATTAGCTTCGGGTATTAGACTTCATATGTTCGATAGACGAAAGAAACTATCTCAGTAGCTCAACAGTACCGTCTTTAGGTCCAGATTTAACATCGGAGCTCTAGGATTAATTGATAGCTGAGGCCGTGAGGCATAATTCTCGGCAGAAGCCCTCGCCATAGCTCCCAAAGTTGGTAGAACTAGCTATCATCTGTACATCTATCCTTCTGCTACATACAAACTTCTGCTATAGCTATAGATAGCTATGACGTTTGCTGTCTAAACAAATCTCACTCCTCAATCGGCTTCATGATTATCCCCATGTTTACTGTCAAATAATCACACAACTTCCGGGGGCTTTCTAGATTCCCCTGCTGAGTCCGAGGGGGTTTTCCGATCGACTGGATTTCGTTTGAATTGACGGAACCTTTTACTCCTTGGAAATGTTCCTAGTCCCTGGACCAACCATTCAACCATTCTTTACCCGTCAAGTGCGGAGTAACCTCCAGCAATTAAATACCAATCACATCATTGTTCTTAGCCCCTACATCTTCCAAATTTTACCTAAGGTCTTTTCCATAACCAAGATTTAGATGCTGATATAAAGCTTTTTGCCGGTTGCGGTACTACCTTATGCACCAAACCGCTTTCTTAGCTTTTCTCCAGTTTTTCTCCAACTAATTGTTGACGTAAGGATGATATTGAACAATTTATACATTATTTCTAAGCTTTTTCAATCTGTTTTTCTTGGGACGAATCAAGAGCCATAAGGACACTAAGCTAAGACGTGTTCGTCATATTTTATTACTTCATAGTTCCACAACAGATTTCCTCTACAAAGCGTCATGAAAGCTGCATAACTTGCCCCGTGGCGATTGAGTTCCCCTCTTATATCAATCGAGTATTTTCATTCTGATTTAATTTACTTCAAGCTACAATTTCTTGTCTATTTTACGTCCGGCTTGAACACCTAGAAATGTTTTACAAGACAGGAATTACCGCTGGCTTAATTGCAACGGTGGCAGCTGCTCCAGCTGCGGTCACCAAGATCATTGAACGCCAAGTCGAAAGCTCTGCTTCTGTCACAAGCTCTACAACAGCTTCTGCAGCTTCCGCTTCTTCTTCCTCACCATTTCTTCCTTATTCCTACAATCAGCAACCATCTGTGAATAGTGCAGCAGTTTCATCGGTCGCTTCAGTTGCCGGAATTCCTGCATCAGAAATTCCAGGAGCTACTGACCCAGTCCCACCAGTCATCAGTTCTCAAGTCACTGGTGTCACAAGTCATGGCCCATACAGTGGTACACCGACGACTACTGGAGCTTTAAGTACCATTGCGCTCGCAAGTGAAGTACCAATCTTGCCACCTAGACCAGCCGAGCAAACATATGTACCTGATGGTACACTTCACGACCCACAGCCAATTCCATATCAACCAGCTGGTGGTTTAGGGACAAATGGCACAGAGCCTGTCTATCGTGTTCAATCTGATTTTGATTATCAATCAATCCTCTTAGGTCTTTACCAAGAATGGATTGAGCTCGATCTCTTCCATCACATTCTTGCCAGGTTTCCCGAAGAGGAATTCACAGCTGCTGGTCTCACTCCTAGCGACAGACATCTTATCGAGTTCATGGCAAATCAAGAATCGGGCCACGCTACTATGCTTTCGAACTTGCTTGGAGGACCGGGAGGGGCAACACCACAATGCACGTACAATTATCCTTTTACTACAGTTACTGAAGCATTTGACTTTTGTCAAAAACTCACCAGATATGGAGAGTCAGGTGTTTGGGGTTTCCAAGCTCATCTTGACTCACGTGAAGTTGCACAGCTTCTTGATCAATCCATTGCCACCGAAGCTCGTCAGCAGATTATCTTCCGTCAATTTTCAGGTCTTTTCCCCATGCCAGTTTGGTTCGAGACGGGTATTCCACAATCATGGGCTTGGACTCTTCTCGCACCATATATTTCATCTTGCCCTGCCAACTCTAAACGTCTTGTTTGGCAAAACTTCCCAGAACTTAAAATTCTTAACCAACCAAACATCGCTCGTCGCAATGCTACCCAAACTGGTTTCAACGAAACTGCTGGATTCGGTCCCGCTGCACCAAGTAACTCAAGTTTAGCACCAATAGATTCATGCGTCGGTAATAACGTAACTGGATTTGATTGCTCAGCGTCCATTTCCCAAAACCGATCAATTCCCCTGTCCTACCCCGGTCGTGAAGTCTTCCTCCAATGGGAAAACCCAGGTAAACCCGTCGGACCAAATAACTCTTATATTACGGCCTCCAGCGCTGGAACAGCAGAATGGGCAATGTGGGTTTCGCAATTGAATATCACTTATTCACCTCTTCTCAACGTTACGACGAACAATGGAGCTAATTCGGCTATGACGATTCAACCTGATGTTTCGACTTTCGAGGGTGATCCAGCGATTAATGGGACGATGTTTTTGGCACTGACCGATACGAATCAGACCTACTCGGCGTTTAATTTATCGAATGTAAATCCGCATGTTGTTGCTTTGGCTATGTACCAAGCTGGTTAGGTTTAACTGGTGTTTTTGTTGTTGGGTTTAGAAAAGTATTTGTATGATATTTCGTGGCTTTTTGTGTATCGTGTGGGTGTTGGAGTTTAATGATACGATATGTTGTGATAGGATATTGTATATTTGAGGAGTCATCATAATCTTTATAAGAAGTTATATATAAGTAGCAATAATGGAAGAGGTCATTACATGTATCTACCTACAAGTTCAACTTTAATTCATTGTTGGGTATTCCATTATTAAGTGGCCTTCCTCGTCCCTCTTTTTGAGCGAAGATATTTCGTCGCTCCTCAATCTTCTTGTCTTTCATGACTTGTATATAACATTCCTAGGGCGGCTTTAAGGTCGAGGTGGAAGGGGCTGAAACGTGGAATATTCGCACTTCAGGAGCTGTAAAATATTGAGCTTCCATACTACAAACTCTTGGAATCACATCATTTGCAGGTATCATTATGGAGAAACATCTTTCAGAAGTAATTAAAAATCTAATTTGCATTGTAAGTTCTAGGTTTTTGTCCCTTTGTGTAACTCCCAGTGTCTTTATAAGATTATTGTTATTATCCATTATCATTTTATTACCTTTATATACATTATGTATATTTATATTCCGTATTCATCTTCAAAATCTATACGTTTTTGATCGGAGGTTTAACTAAAAAAAGAGGGGAGTGAAAATGGAGAAAGTCCTCAAATGATCAGATGTCTGTTGACTTTTGGGAGTATAGAGGGAGAGGCGAGGCGAGGTAGAAGGAGGCAGGAGCTCCGAAGGCTGAGAGATGGTGGAGTATAGTGAGGAATTATTTTGCTGGCGACTTGTGTTGATTGCCTGGCGAATTCCCTGACGGCTCCTGAAGACTACAATTTTCCCTGGCGGTGAGAATGGAAAAGTGGAGGGCAGAAGACTACAAGATTATTAGATCCATTGCTCCGGGCCAGGAGTTCGATCTTACACAAAATCTCAAAACTTGCCGATCTTTAAATATCTTTGAGTATAATCATGACATTCTAAGAGGCAGGATCAGGATACTTATTCTCGGAGGGTCTTCAAGCTTTACATTCATAAACAACACGGGAGTTTACGATATTTTTTGCAATATTGTTGTCAGCTGTTAAACATTCTCGTCTAGAAATAATACATCGTCGTAAATGCTAACGCGCTGCATGTTTTGTTGTTCCACAGGCTTTTTGCTATGAAACATTTGCTATTCTAGGATAGGACCTTAGCCCTTTCTATTAGAATTCACACCATTCTCAAGCCGAGTGTAGCCATGGCTACCAGGTCGTAGTGCCCAAATCAAAAGACGGCGCGAAAAACTACCTGAAAACATCCTCCGTTTTGAAAACTCATTAAGTCATCTGCATAAACTCAACTCTAATTTTTACTACGCTCTGTAGTAAGATCTTACATATCAAGATTTAATCTACTTAATAATTCCATGGGAAGGATGTGGCATTGTACTATTTCACTCACAGCACTCATAATAGTATACTTATAGATGCACCTCTAAACTTGGGCCAAAGCATTTTTGATTCTTGTCCTATGTTATGGTCATGACCTTAGGATAGTCAGATAGTCGTTGTCAAAGATATCTTCCTGTTGCCCCTTTTCTTTTCGCTAATTCTCTGGGCTACACGGTTTGTCCAAATCCCCATCAGCGGCCGAAACATGGAGATGATTTACGGCTTCTCGAAAAGTCAAAAACTCGGCCCATTGAATGCTCCTATCATCTGTCTTGAGAATTCACATATCCAGATATGGTATTCAATATTTTTCGTAGCTGTACCTTTTATATACCCACAAGTTTCAAGTGGTTAGACAACCAACATCAATTTGGCCCACCAGCAGTATACTAGTTCCCTAATGATGATAGAGTATGACGTATTAGTCGTTATATATAGTCGTCAAAGTTTACCATTCCTTCCAAGTGTTGTCCTTTACTCTGTATATTCACCTGCAAATATATCAATGAGTAATCTTCTGTTAAAAGCACAGCATTATTGCTAACTATCCATTTTTGTCTTCATATTTGCCCCCTTACTACAAGAATCCTTTATAGATCCACATTCGCAACACATTATAGAAATCATAATGAAACCACGGAACATCCAGGAGAGCTTTGCGAGGTGCTTATGATCGATATCCAGACAAGATTTGGATGCTTATATCAGGACCACACCAAGTACCAGTCTTAGCCCTTGTTTTGAAGCATACAATTGACGGGTTTGGCATTGCTGCCTTATCCTTAATGGAAAGGCGAAACTTCCTCGATGGTGATTTGCTACGAAATACCGGAAAAGCCTTTGGAGATTCCACGCCTGCGAGAAATATCTTCACATCAATCTGTGCTGCTGTAGGTATATATTTTGATTACTGTAATGTTATTTTCATGACTCCCCCATCAAGAGGAGGATGGTGACTGGGCTGGACATCTTTTGGAACCTGATTGTACTTGTCATGAAAATGTTGTAATTTTAGCTGAAATTTCGAGTCAAGGAAGGTGTAAGCGGAAAATTGAAGCCGAATCGCAGAACTCACCAAAATCCCGTGATGCCTTATCTATGAACTTTCGTCTTCCTAACTACAACGTAACACAACGAGATACATTCCGAAATTTGGAGTATGCGTCGAACTACAGACAAAATATTGATTGAAAACATAGACCAAATTTGTTCTGATTGTCCCATTAATCCCGCACACTTTCCCTTCTGCTCCCCGCCGTCTGTTTCGGATTTGGGCTTTTCTCAAACTTACTTTCTTGTCAATTATCTCCAATATCGGTTTACAGATAGCTGATATAGATCCCTATTCTGATAGACAGAGATACAGACAGCAATATTTTAACAGTCACCTTGGTTGATAGGTCATGCAAAACCTCCGTTTGCATGCCAAGTGATGTGATACATGAGAGAGTGCAGAAAGATACGAGATCATTAAGTCGATTAATGCAGTCGATATCGAAATTGCAAGACCGGTGCCAAGGAAAACGGCGCGGCGACCAAATTGGCAGTGATATATGTGCACTGAACTCAGACAAGACTTCTGGGAGTTCCACAGTTGAAGACGAAACAAACGACCACCTGCTAGAAATTACACGGTAATAAAAGGGACTATCGTATTCAACCAGCATTGATTGTATCGCTTTGCCAGATCAAAGTTCCTCCCGACCCGGATCTACTTTTAAATTCATGGCACTAGTTTCATTCTTATTTTTCAAAAGCCGACTGTGTGCAAAAGCCGTGGATTCGAGAATGTCATGTAGTGGAAAGAAAATTTCTAAAACTCGGCGCCAATGACCCAGAAGATTTCTTTCTTAGCGTTTTCCAGAACGACCTAGTGATCCTAGGGAAATCGAGCGGCAGCTACAGATTAATAGTCAGGGTAGCTGTGTGTGCAGCTGTGTGTGGCTGCGTGGCTTCGTGGCTTTGTGGCTTCAATGGCTTGGAACCTCATTTCAAGCGGACAAGACGGAATGACGAAATGGTACCTGCAATTTCCTACTCGAGTAGATCCTTGAGAATTCGCATGCCCAGCAAGGCAAAAAAAGAAAAAGTTTTCACGAAAAACATGACTCGAGCTCTTGATGTATCACGTGATATTCTATGTCTGTCGGTGCTGCTATCTTTCCGAGAATTGCCTACTCCACTATCTTCAAAGCAAACCTCGACCATCATCATTGATGTCCATTGTTCAGTACCATCCGCCGGCATAACGGCACCGCCTGCATCAAAAAAGGGGCCCCGAAATCCAGGTTCTTGCGCCCCGAACTGCATACTCCATCCTCGTGTCCCATGGGCCATTACATAAAGTAGGGAGAAATGGGGAGGTCCCATGGGCGACGATGTGGTACGTTTGCAGCAGTGGCACCACAAAAAGAAGAAAAGAATTTCCCTCGAACACCACATTTCGGCCAAATTTCAAGAATTTCTAGATCATTATTACGTTTATTCCGTGTCCCCCCTCTGGAGATTTCATACAGAGTAGTGGTCAAGATGATTATGCGTTACATGATTGATCTGTAGATATGGGAGTATGGCCGAGAAGATATCCACGAGGTGGAGTTTTGAATGGGTTGTCGTTGAAATAAAACCGAAATATGACCTTTTTGATGTGGGTTTCTCGCCAAGCAAGCCAAAAAATGATAAGTTCGTTCATACATGCCATACATAGTATCTTCTTGGGATGTCTGTGCTACTCTGGGAATAGACGAACGAGTCAATCGATTCCTTTTCTGCAGAAATGGCTAAAGAAAATGATAACGGCAGAAAGGAAGGAGCACTGGTGGAACGATTAGTCCAATTCTTTCTCGACACCTTTCTATATACTTTCATCCGCCGGCATCCAGAAACCAATCAGCTCATAAACACGCCATAGGCACAGATACACAACTTTCAAAGAGTTGTCTTGGATGACGGGCGCCAATCCTCGATCCCTTATGTCCTTATGCCATGCAGATCTTGTTCATTTTTATCTCCCACTCGCTTGTCGGATTACGGACGCTTGGCCCATTTTTTAACTGCCGCTTCGTTCCTGCCACAAGGCCAAGGCCAAGGCCATTGAACCTTGAGCTTTTTTTTTTCTTTCCATTTTCATAGGCTTGAAACCTTTTTATGGGTCTAGCAACTACACTATCAAGCGCCAGTAGGATCATGATATTCGGAAGCAACAAGCTTTGAGCCTCAAATACATTTCATCCACTTCATCCACTTCATCCACATTTCTAGTCTATAAACGGCTAAGTGAGCGGCAAATCATCATGATGCTCCACCTCACATCTGTGTTTTGATATATCCAAGACGGCATCTGACAAGTCAATATATGGCAAAATTCCTCATTATCCATGAGCAACAATGCAGAGTTGATGTTCTCAGGTTGAAAGGCCAGGTAAAAACGAACACGAATCAAACACATCAATGAGATTGTAATAATCTCGAAAATAATTCGACTGTAAGGATTGGAACGCTCCCTTCTTTAGTACTCGGTGCTATCGCGGACGTCACTTTACGATGGACCCGATTTTCTTCATATCGGTTGGATTCGATATTCAAAATCTTTCGTTCTCGGCCATTTAGCCATTATTTCAATATGGTCTGTTCTCCCAAACAACTAACAGATCAATTCAATACAAGCAATACCCTAATCATGTCGTGACAAGTCGGAATGGGAAGCTCAAACGGGTGTCGAGGATACTGGCCAGGTCCCTCTTTCTTCACTCCACCCACCCGAATATTCTTTGGTAGATTCTCCATCTTAAAGAAAATCTTGAAATGTCTTGAGACCTTTTTACTAGTTTCTTCCATTTTGGGGGCTAGAGTCATTTTCACAATTGGATTCTTGTCCGCATGACAGAACGATGGGAATGCAGGCTAATTCATGGAGGCATCACATCGGGGCCCCCGATCATGATAATTTGATGGGGAGTTGACTCCACTCCCATCCTTCCCATCTTCGTGGTTGTTATAAAATCCTTTCGATCCCCATATCCCCTCCCTCCATTCTCCGCGTCATCTTCTCCTCAACTTATTCTATCCGGGGCTTTCGATGTTGCCTTGAAGTCTATTGACACTGTACTTCTACATACACATACACAGTCAAGGAGAAGTCATAGAACAGAGCAATCATGGGGTTGTTCAACAAGAAGGAGACTGCTGAGTCTCCTGTTATTACCGACAAGAACCTCAGCAGCGCTGAAGGAACTCCAGCAGCACACACACCAGCCGATACTCCTCGTGTCGCCAGATCCTTAAATGGTTCTGCACCAGAGCATCATGATATAGTACCCGAGGAAGCTCTCGACAACTTGCCTGTCACCAAATTAGCTATTATGCTTGGTGCTATCGCATCTATCGGTGGTTTCATGTTCGGTTATGAATCTGGTCAAATTTCTGGTTGGTTTCTTCACTTCCACATGATGCACCAATAGATTACTAACAAACTCTGAAGGTTTCGTCCAAATGTCCGACTTCTTAGATCGATTCGGTGAAAATGGTGAACTTTCTGCTGTCCGTCAAGGAACCATCGTCGCCATTCTCTGCGCCGGTACTCTTGTTGGATGCCTTGGATCTAGTTACCTCTGCGATACAATCGGTCGTCGTTACACTATCTCCAGTTCTGCATTCTTCTACATCATCGGTGTTATCATCGAAATCACTTCTTCTACTCACTGGGTTCAATTCGCTATGGGGAGATTCACTGCTGGTTTGGGTATTGGTGCTTTGAGTACTAGTGTTCCTATGTACCAATCTGAGTCTGTGCCAAAGAACATTCGTGGTGCTGTCGTTTCCAGTTATCAGTTGTTGATTACTCTTGGTATCTGGACTGCTTATATGGTAAGCAATCTCTTACTCAATGGGTCCCTATAAAAATCTACTAACATATAAAATAGATCAACTACGGAACTCATTCTGCCTATACCAACAGTGCACAGTGGCGTATTCCTAACGGTCTCTCCGCACTCTGGGCCATCATCCTCGGTACCGCTGTCCTCTTCATGCCCGAATCCCCTCGCTTTGCATACCGTATCGGACGTGAAGATGAAGCTCGCAAAAACATGGCTCTCCTCAACGGTGTTGACCCTTACTCCCCACTTATCGATTCCGAGATCCAAGAAATCGAACAAAAGCTCGCAGCCGAAAGAGAAGGTGGTGATCACCCCTGGTACGAAATCTTTACTGGCCCTAGAATGTTGTACCGAACACTTCTCGGAATGGTTCTTCAAGCTGGTCAACAATTGACTGGTGCCAATTTCTTCTTCTACTATGGTACTACCATCTTCAAGTCTGGTGGTATCTCTGATTCTTATGTTACCTCTATCATTCTCGGTACCGTCAATGTCGTCGCTACCATTGGTGGTCTCTGGATTGTTAAGAACTGCGGTCGTAGGAAGGCTCTCATGGTTGGTGCTGCCGAGATGTTTGTTTGCATGTTGATCTACTCTTTCGTCGGACACTTCAAGATCCAAGGACAAGCCAATGCTCAAGCCCCTGGTGCTGTTTTGATTTGTTTCACCTGTATCTACATTGTTGGATTCGCTACTACATGGGGACCTTTGGTTTGGGCCATTGTCGGAGAATTATACCCAGCACGTTACAGAGCTTCTTGCATGGCTCTCGCCACCGCATCGAACTGGCTCTTCAACTTCCTTATCTCTTTCTTCACCACATTTACCTCCACCGATATCGATTACTACTATG